TATAGTTTGCAAGTACCGCCTTGTGGTTTGAGAATACTGCCTTGTAGTTTGAGAATGCTGCCTTGTAGTTTGAGAATGCTGCCTTGTGGTTATACTACTCTGCCTTGTGGTTTTAATTATGCTTGGAACAATGTATATATGAGTTATATTATACTTTGCAAGTGCCGCCTTGTGGTTTGAGAATGCTGCCTTGTAGTTTGAGAATGCTGCCTTGTGGTTATACAACTCTGCCTTGAGGTTTCAATTTATGCTTAGAACACTATATATGAGTTACATTATAGTTTGCAAGTGCCACCTTGTGGTTATACTACTCTGCCTTGAGGTTTCAATTTATGCTTAGAACACTATATATGAGTTACATTATAGTTTGCAAGTACTGCCTTGTGGTTTGAGAATGCTGCCTTGTAGTTTGAGAATGCTGCCTTGTAGTTTGAGAATGCTGCCTTGAGGTTTCAATTCATGCTTAGAACACTATATATGAGTTACATTATAGTTTGCAAGTGCCGCCTTGTGGTTTGAAAATGCTGCCATGTAGTTTGAGAATGCTGCCTTGTAGTTTGAGAATGCTGCCTTGTGGTTATACAACTCTGCCTTGAGGTTTCAATTTATGCTTAGAACACTATATATGAGTTACATTATAGTTTGCAAGTGCCGCCTTGTGGTTTGAGAATACTGCCTTGTAGATTGAGAATGCTGCCTTGTAGTTTGAGAATGCTGCCTTGTGGTTATACTACTCTGCCTTGTGGTTTTAATTATGCTTGGAACACTATATCGGGTGTCCCAAAAAAAACGTCCCGCTTTTTGAGCTCTTATAACTCTGCAAGATATAAACCAATTTCTTTGAAATTTATCAGGAAGTAAGATAAGGATATCATCTATAAGCTATTAAAATATTAAATTAATCGGATGTACATTATGTGAGTTTCGCCAAATACAAGATAACATAGCAAGAAATGTAATATCGGAGGACAACTCAATTATTTCACCTTATAATGCAGATTGATGAGCATCACCAAATACAAAAGATAAACAGCATAAGATCAAAAGTTGGTACAGCAAAAGATGGACAACTCACTTATCTAATAACTTGTGCTCAATGTAGCCTCCATCTTCCTTCACAACTAAATAGAGTCGTTTCTTCCATACCACTATCTTTTTGGAAAACGCGAAGTTTCATGGTAAAGACGTGATGGCTGAATTTGACGTTTACGCTTTCCATACACCCGATCATCTTGACGATTTTTGGGCACTTCATGAGAAAAGTCCTTCTCATCAGTGAAAATGATCTTCTTGACATCTGCAGCTGAATAACGATCATATAAATTGCGACATCTTGTTTTTCTTTTTCCTTTAACATATAAGTGAGTTGTCGATCTTTTGTATTTGGCGATGCTCATCAATCTACATTATAAGGTGAAATAAGTGAGTTGTCCTCCAATATTACATTTCTTGCTATGCTATCTTGTATTTGGCGATACTCACATAATGTACATCCGATTAATTTAATGCTTTAATAACTTATAGATAACATCCTTATCTTACTCCTATCTTATTTCAAATAAATTGGTTCATATCTTGCAGAGTTATAAGAGCTCAAAAAGCGGGACGTTTTTTTTGGGACACCCGATATATGAGTTATATTATAGTTTGCAAGTGCCGCCTTGTGGTTTGAGAATGCTGCCTTGTAGTTTGAGAATGCTGCCTTGTGGTTATACAACTCTGCCTATGAGTTATATTATAGTTTGTAAGTGCCGCCTTGTAGTTTGAGAATGCTGCCTTGTAGTTTGAGAATGCTGCCTTGAGGTTTCAATTCATGCTTAGAACACTATATATGAGTTACATTATATTTTGCAAGTGCTGCTTGTGGTTTGAAAATACTGCCATGTAGTTTGAGAATGCTGCCTTGTAGTTTGAGAATGCTGCCTTGTGGTTATACAACTCTGCCTTGAGGTTTCAATTTATGCTTAGAACACTATATATGAGTTACATTATAGTTTGCAAGTGCCGCCTTGTGGTTTGAGAATACTGCCTTGTAGTTTGAGAATGCTGCCTTGTAGTTTGAGAATGCTGCCTTGTGGTTATACTACTCTGCCTTGTGGTTTTAATTATGCTTGGAACAATATATATATGAGTTATATTATACTTTGCAAGTGCCGCCTTGTGGTTTGAGGATGCTGCCTTGTAGTTATACTACTCTGCCTTGAGGTTTCAATTCATGCTCAGAACATTATACATGAGTTGCATTATAGTTTGCAAATGCCGCCTTGTAGTTTGAGAATGCTGCCTTGTAGTTCGAGAATGCTGCCTTGTGGTTAGAACACTATATATGAGTTACATTATAGTTTGGAAGTACCGCCTTGTGGTTATACTACTCTGCCTTGTGGTTTTAATTATGCTTAGAACACTATATATGAGTTATATTATAGTTTGCAAGTGCCGCCTTGTGGTTTGAGAATGCTGCCTTGTAGTTGAGAATGCTGCCTTGTGGTTATACTACTCTGCCTTGTGGTTTTAATTATGCTTTGAACACTATATATGAGTTATATTATAGTTTGCAAGTGCCGCCTTGTAGTTTGAGAATGCTGCCTTGTAGTTTGGGAATGCTGCCTTGTGGTTTTAATTATGCTTAGAACACTATATATGAGTTACATTATAGTGCCGCCTTGTGGTTTGAGAATATCCCATTGTAGTTTGAAAATGTTGCATTGTACTGTAATACTCTGCCTTGAGGTTTCAATTTATGCGTAGAACATTATATTTGAGTTGCATTATAGTTTGCAAGTGCCGCCTTGTGGTTTGAGAATATCGCCTTGTAGTTGTGAATTTTTGCTTACAACACTATATATGAGTTTTCATTATAGTTTTCAAAATCAAATTCGCAAAACGTGAAATAAGTGTTAAAAATTAATTCCAGTACAGTATGTGTTCTTTTACTAACAGAAAATAGATTTCAGATTTCAGATTAGAGACCTTTATTGTATGTTCTTTACATTTGAAAATACAAAGCATTATTATGAACTAAAATTAACTATTAACAGTTCATATGGATAACATGTACTATACTGTGTTACATCATGTATAATTCTAATAATATTGTTTCTATATTTGACATGTTTAATATTCAGATAAATACAATAAATATGATTTACAGATGTAATGTTGCATTATGTTCTTGCCTTTCTTAGTTGTCCAGATTACATACATGTAGGTATATTATATATAGAATAAACTGTTTTTCATACAATTATGACATCACAATATACAGGTACATTGTACGGGTAAACTTTGAATTAAAAGAATTAATTATGATTTTACCTTTACCTGTATATTGTGATGTGTGTTAATGTATGAAAAACAGTCTACCTGATGAAGATTTTATTTTGTTTTTATTGCAAATACGTTCTTATTGCAATTATACATTATTTTTAACAAGAAAACCCTTCTTATTTTCACCCTGAGTCTCATTTAAAATCTAAAGTTAGTTTTGTTTATCTGAAATGTACCTTATCATTTCTCACAGTGCGCCAGAAGTACGACTTTTATAGGTCCCTTACACATGCCTACATCGGACCTGGTAATCTGACATTATCTTCGTAAATGCTTGCTCGAAAATCGAAATTTCCTTGAAAAGTCCAGGGTTTGATGATGGGGTGGTACTTAATTAACTCGCTAAATATAGTTTTATACCAGTGGGACGAAATACAAGTATCAATCCTTTAAAGTTTGTCCGAGAGAGAAATCTATTTAACAATAGCAATGGTAATACTAGTTAGTTTTGTTATCTAGAAATTAAATCACAAAAGCTCAGTGACATTAGAAGTACAAAAACAATGTCGTGCATTATAAAAACAACAAGTCTGTCAACCACGGTTGTCTCCCGGTTATCTTGTTGATGAATGAATTTGCTTACTTGATGAATTAAAATGTGCATCTGTTTAAAGTGTATTAGGTATCCGGGATCAGGTATACTGTATGTTCACGAATCAGAGGAATTATTAAAGTATTTCAATTAAACACTCATGAATATGTTGGTCTGTCATGGCGGATTTTAACTAAGATATAAATGTACATTGGTTATGTATTAAGTTTCTACATAGTGTATGTTATCGCAAATTGTACTGTTGTGCGAAGAGCGTGCAAAGAGATTTCAATAATTAGTCACAACGCATGCAAAGAGTTTTGTTACAGTCTTTACACGTCTATACACTGTGTACCAAGAGGTGTAAAGGCGTGTCAAGAGTTGAATTCGTTGCGTGCCAAGAGGTGTCAAAACTAGGAACGCCTATACACGCGGCGTGTCAAGAGCCGTATCTAGACATGTGTGAGTATCATAATGTTAAGAAAATGTTCATGTTTGCGAACAAATAGTTCAGAAGACAACATAATCGTTTATTAATTCCTCACTTAACGTTTATGTAACTTAAGTGAGGAATTAAATCGACGTTGTTACCGAAACGAACCTTTTCGGTAACCGGCGTAATCGAACGGATCACCAGTGAATTTTGTTTCGATATAAGTTAGTCATGACTCAAATAATATTGACCCTATTTATTGGAGAGACCCTCCAACAGCTTGCTGTATGGACACAAGGTGGTATGTCTCCCTAGACCGCCTTTCGGTATTATTTGCATTAATGCCGCGATGTACACTCTATGACGTTGCATCGAAAAGTTCCTGACTCTATAATGCATGTTGGCTACATTACTCAGAGAAATAGTTTCACGGTTTGGGTTGCTCTTGTTTCAACCCAAACTCGAATGTATACAACAAGAAAATGTTACACGCTACTATTCAAAACACCTAGAAATGCATAAGATACTTTGTTTGTCTAATTGTATTGTTTAGTATATTTTTGAAACTGCCTTAGTAACATCTAACATTCAACCAATAAACCATTAATAAGGAACAGACAAATAAAAACAAATACATAATCAATACTAATAATCCAAATGCAGGGTATAGTAGAGTGTGTTAATTCTTTTCGAATTATCTTTAATTAGACTGCCCCGAAGAGCAATGGTCCGAATGGTCATGCGGAACGTGTAGATGCGGGATTGGTGAACGAACTTGTACACGGACACAAGTACTGCGGAAATATGAGCCAAAAACAAAAAATGATGAAATTTGTAAAGAAGTGCTTAAAATCCTGAAGGAAACCAAGGAAGAAGCTTGTGAGCCACAATGTAAGTGAGAAACGTTTACATGTAGCCATAAAGCGTGATTTTCGATTGTTATCAAAAGTAAAATCGAGCAAAAATAGATACCCAGCAATTTTTTCTTTTCTATTTGATTATAATTGTAACATGCATCTCCTCTTGCAAATACTTTGAATCTGTTAGTAAGGGTATTTATTGGATAATACTGGTTTGGGATTCATATATCGTCACTAATGATACATATGTTACCACAGGCTGTAGTTGGAGTGATTGGACCAGGTGGAAAGGTGCTGAATGTTCCAACACGTGCGGGAATGGCATGGAGAGTCAAACCCGAACTCGAGTTAAGATATTCGGAAGAGATGGAGAGCAGCGCTGTAGAGGCGAATCCAAACAAACAAGAACCCAAATGTGCAAGATAAGGGATTGCCCAAGTAAGACCCTAAAATGGCCTAAATGTTTATTTGACCAATGCAACTGTAAAACAAAAGTAGCAAACGACGCAATAATAGAAGGCATGTACAGATTGTTTCGTAATGACCGCCCCTCTCCCCAAGTTAATCCCAGGTCAAATACCTCAATAATCTATACATTAAAAATGTAGCACTTAGATGTTATGCTGAATGTCAAATGGGTTCAATCAATCGATGCACAGTGACACACAAATGATACACGTAATGATGAATAAATATAGAAGAACATGAAATTAATGACTTTAATTTTGACATTGTTAACTTTCCACATTTGGATAGCAATATTCCACTTAACCCAGCATATGGGGTTTATGCTTTGCTGAAAAGTACAAGTCATTAATTTCGAAATTTCAAGTTTTACCACTTGAGATGCTGAAGGATGTAGGAATGGTATAATAAATTGGCAATGAACTCACAATATTTTCACTTGGCACCTTTTGAGGTGGATCCCGCTATGGCATTAATGGTTGACAAATAGGGATCGAAACCAGCCATAGATTTCCCCTGATGACCATTGTGAATTGTTGTGTTTTATGGATTATGATGACGGCTTTGTGAACGGATGTTGACCTTTTGAATTGCCTATGGACTTCGAGACTGGATTTTATCTATCCCACATCATTTGAGACTTTATGATTACTAGTATCTACAACTATTTTTGATGTTATGAGTATTGGCTATCAATTTTTTCAATTTTTCTTCAACATGTATTGTAATGACTTCAGTATGAATGAAATGTCCCTTGGTGTTCTGGTCCTGGATTGTGATATTGGTTCTCGATTAGAGGGGGAGGGGGATGTTAGACATTGTTTCTTTTCACGTTAGATCATGGTTTTGGGATATATAGGGTCTACTTTTCTTATGAAAGATTTACACTTACAGTTTGCTTTTCTTGTTGGGTTTCTTTAAGGTTTTTAGTCACCCTTCCCTTTGGCATTTGTGCTTATATATCCATGTTTTCAGTAGCTTGCCCAGATACACCATTGTCAAGATACTATTATATTATAGCCTGTTTGTGGTCGAACTGGGGACAGTGGGGCCCTGGTTCATGTTCTGTAACATGTGGGTCTGGATTGGAGAGTCAAACACGATCAAGGAGCAAAGTATGGGGTACAGACCCTGAAGGGTCTTTAGACGATTGTTCTGGTAGTGCTACCGGCAGTAGGAGAGTACCATGTGAGGTGCAATGTAAGTTGACTTACTGATCCGGTTTACTTCAAAATCTGTCTACATAGTTAAAGCCAGGTATCACATTTGCCTCTATAACTCACCGTTGTCATAGTCCGGTGGCCAAATACCTCTGACAGGCTAAGGGTCGTTTTAAGGTATAAAGTTTTCCTTGAATTTTTCTATTGCTACATATGTACTCTTCAAAGTGAAATAATCTGCAAAATCATATATGTTGAGCATTTTTTGAAAGTTTTAACATGTTAACAGTCATTAAAAACTATTAGACGAGTAGGAAAATCCTCCAAAGCCTTAAAATAAGGGAGTTTAATATTTTACTGACCCCCAGCAAAATATTGGTACCATCAGAAAGCTCTGATATCATGCATTGCAAATTTGAGCTTTAATAGAATTTTGACTCGGGCCGTTACCATGGAAACGGACGCTATAAATAACTCCCACTTTTAACGAGTGTTAATACGATAAAATATGTATTCTCATATATCTTTTTTATTTTCTATCAGATAATTATAATATGGGTATCAAATGAAAGCTTGTGATGGCATCTTTACAATGAGGTATGAATTATGCAAATTAGCTGATTTACATAACCATTGTGACGTCATAACTGACAATTTTTAAAAGATTTTAACATAAAACTTAGCTGTGTACCTATATAAAGGTCCCGTTATTTAAAATTACGATGTATTTTTTCCGTTTTTCATATCCATTTGAAAGAGCATGACACCAGCTTTAAAATAATGTATAAAATATGCCATTTCGGTCTTATAAATTTTTTATTGAGCTCCAAAAGGGTAACATGCACAATCAAAACATTGTTTTGAAACTGATCCTCTTTGAAAGAAATATCAAAAAGAAGGCTCACGGTATGTTTTATCTTGGTGTATCGCTTTCGTTTTTCGTCAGATAATTTAATGTTTGGTATCAAATGAAAGGTAATGCTTTTCCTTTTTGATGAAGTATAATTTATGCAAAATAGCTCATCAGCGTTTCAATTGTGACGTCATTACTGACATAATTGACACAAAAATGTCAGAGTAGTCAAATCTATCTCATTTATGTTAAAAGGTATAGAATTGTTATTTTCTATCGGATCTTAATGATTAAAGTATCATCTGTATACTTGTCATTCATTCCTTTTTAAAATATATATCAAAAACATCTAGTGAATTGTGATTGAATAAGAGCCTTTTAGTCATTATTCGTGTATTTAGCTCTTTTATAATTAAATTCAAATATTAACCCTAAACCTAGCAGGGAGTTAAATGTGTGTTTTCCCAATTTTACAAGAAACAATACCACACCATTTTTTTCAATAGCCACAAGACACATTTTAGTACAAAAATAAAATTGATGAAGGGGGTGGGGGTCAGTAGTTATTTACGCATGTAGTAGGGATTTGAGACAGGGAATATCACAAGGATGATATTCATATCATCCAAGTATTACTCATATCACCCCGACATCCTAATAGATGAATAACGACACTTTACTATGGTCAAAAGCAATATGTACCAAAAAACAAACAATGAGAAATAACATTGGAACAAAAATAAAAATAGCACTGGAAGTCATTTTGGTAGTCACTGTCACTGTTCCTTTACCTTTAAGAATACTCTTCTCAACAATAAAGGAGGAGGGAAAGTATCGCAACAGATTTGGGACAGTCACATGTTGGATTTTGGCTATTCTCTGAGGATTTAAGCAGGTGCATATATTAGATCAAAGCATTACCTCCAGGAAAAGCACTCATAGTGATGATAAAATAATTTCGATTCTGAGACAGGGAAGATGCAAACAACTCACCCACATGTTCTTTCTGAAATGTTTTCCTAATTTTCAACCCCTTCCACCCCTGCTTTTTAATTTTTTGCATTAATATGTTGCGTTTCGACACACAGTTAACCCCTTTAAAGGAATATGTGATTCCATTGGGGTTTTTAAAGATATCCATTATGGGTGACCAAAATTAGCTGAAAGCAATGGATTGAATGAGTTTTCCCTATGGGAAGATAACATGGAAAATATTGTTTTCCACTTTATCTAAAAGGAATCACTTATTATTACATTTCAGAAAAAACATGTTGGTGAATTGTTTGCATCTTCACTTTCTCAAAGTCGAAATTATTTTATCATCTCTAGGAGTGCTTTTCCTGGAGGTAATGCATTGGTCTAACATGCACCTGTTTAAATCCTTAGAAAATAGCCAAAATCCAACATATGACTGTCCGAAATCTGTTGCGATACTTTCGCTCCCTCTTTGCATTAATGGGATGATACACTCCCCTCCATAAGTTTGGCAACCTTTTTTCTCCATTGAACTACGTGTTAAAGCCTCTTTACGTTTGAATTTTTATTTACTTAACCGGCGATGAAATAACTTATAATATTGATGGAAACGTAACTTGACTTTATTTCCAATACCTCCAAATGTTCTTAATTTTTTTCCTCAATTACAATAGGTCGAAAATTGATGATAAATTTGATGAATTTTTGAAAATCGTCATTCCCATGTAATCCAATGGGAAATGGAGGGTTCGGGGCAAATCAGAAATCAGGATATGTTTTCAGTAAAAGATTCAGCAAAAAATATTTTCATTTAGAAAATTGAATTGTCTAACTTTTTCGAACACTAAGTGTTTAGTTTATTTGATGAATATTAAAGTTACAGCGCTTCAAAGTCATTTTTGAAAAGAATTTTTCGCCTCCTGTGTTATTTCAATGGGAGAGGTTTTTTGAAAACCAATTTTGACTTTAAAGCCCTATAACTTTGTTGAACCTGAAGAAACATATCAATTTACAAAACAAATCTTCTCACCAGTCTTTTCCTAGGCACATAAATGCACTCTTTGTGCAAAACTGGAAGATTTAGACAATGTGTGGAAGGAGTGATTCCTGTTTGAAAAATAACATGTGACTCAATTGGGGAATGCAGAAAAATTTCGAACATGCACCATGGCGTTAAGAGTTAATGCCTTAGTCCAATACAACCAAAGAGGAGATAAATCGATTGGTCCAAGACAACTGAGAAATATGTGTTTTGGAGAGATAGAGAGTACAAATGTTTGATTTGACATGCATTCTATGTTTTCAGCCTGACCCCAAGGGGGCGTGTATGAGGGGGGGGGTCGGGAAAACAGGAATTTTCAGATCTTTTTAAGTATAGCTTTATTACACTCAAATGAAAGGCAATTAATAGTAGATTGCAAACATTGTATCGTTTTTCTGATTCGGGCCTCCTAAATATAAAATGGCTGCCTAGTTTGGAATTTCGCAATTATTTTGTGATCTTCAAGTATGCCTATTTTATACTCAAATAGAAGGAATGTGAGAGCAGGTCACTGTCATGGTATTAATTGTTGTTTCTGAGTCATGCCTTAAAAAGTCAAAATGGCTGCATAGAGCAGGAATTCTGTATTACTTAGAGATCCTTTAAAAGTATTGTTACACGATACTATATTAGATTTCAAATATAGTATTGTCTTAATGATCTGTGCCTTTCAAACCCTTGAATGGTCACACATATGATGCTTAAATCGGTGGAAATTCTGATATATCTCTACTGTATGTATGTCTCAATATCTGTGGAGTTGCTCTGATTTCTAGTTTGTGATTGATTATATAATATTTCAATAGAAAATAAATTGTAAAAAAGATAATACCTGTACTACATATTTTTAATAGAAGCACGTGCAATTATATATTCAATGAACCTCAATTTATAAAGTCATCATGTGATACAATAGATGAATAGATCACAAAATCAAAATAACATTTTGTTATTATAACAACAGTTATTATATAACATTACTCTGTATCCTAACCTGGAATTAGGAGTAAAATGTCCAGAGAAAACTGATGCTTTTTAAACTACAGTGTAATGTGTCGAGAAATGTCATTCGAATGAAAATCTGACCATACTAACATTCCATTTCAATAGAGGTGTGAAAAAGTTGTACAACAATTGAACAACAAAACCAGTGATCTTTCCCCTCTAAGAGAACTTAATCACCAACTAAGTTATCAACATTAATTTACCTCTACAAATATTGCTTGGGGTTATACTGTTGGAGTTCTAGGCTGCTGCTGTTGTATCTAGGATGATACAGATAATCTTAGACAATTTTGATGCAAATATCTCCTTTTGGAATGGACAAAAGTCAACCCATGCATTGGGGATATTGGCAGTGCAACTAAAAAGGACATTAAGCCATTAAATCCCCAAGTATGAAGGTTACTAAACCAGATCGCTAGAATGAAAGGGAATCAGTGAAGCCTGCCACCTGAACAAAGTACTAGCCATTGGCTGACATGAAACCATCCGATCCTAGCACAATGATGACCATGATCATTTAAGCTAAACATCTTACAAATGAATGAGGCATGGAATATACAATTTTAATCATAGATCAGCAACTCTAAAAAATAGCAATAGCATTAGGTGTGCCTTGAGCATATTCAACCAACTAGGTGGAATGAACAAAGTTATTATGATTTTCAGATTCATCATTAGTCTGAGACCATGTTACAGGTGAAACATAAATATGTTATGATTATCAGAATCCACAGAATGTGACACTGACTGAAACATAAAGCAAAGTGATACAATGGGTCAGTTATATTGAGTTGGAAAGTTGAAAACGTTAATGGTTTTAGAATTAAACCACACTTTGAATGTTATGGGAAATATAAAAATATACAGATCGTCCCAATCAATCCGCCTTTGAATCAATTGAATTTAGTTGGAAAAAAGTTAAATCTTTGGAAATTATTACTGCAAGAGTTTTACCAGAAGATCTACAGTGTGTCCCATCAGAAGTCTTGCAGCAATTAAATGTGGATGGCTGGATGCTCTTCGGGAGAAAATGACTGTACGTCATGTAGATGCACACGCCACAGGTTAAATTCACCATGCAGCTTGGAATTGTAAAGCCAAAATAACCCGCTACAATGAGCAAATTAGAAGGGCAGTTATAGCAGTTGATCAAAACAGTGATGACGCAGTCGATGAAATGAATTAATTAAGACATAATTGTATGCATCTGTTTAGTTCTGAAGAGGTTTATTTGTGTTAAATAAGTGCTTAAAACTTCACAATATATTTTTAAGTGAGATAAATTACTAGAATAATTGAAAAATAAAGTTAAAAATTTGCTGTAAATCGGGCAACAATGGTCTACACGACCTGTAATAAATAGGTATAAGGGACGTTATTATCACAATACTAATGACATTGCTCACTTTTTAAAGTTAGCTTCCATGCGTTATGCAAAAAATAATCGAAATAAATTAATATTGGATGGAGGGGGGGTCGAATGGAGGGGGGATTTATATGTCTTTACGATGGAACAAATTCACAAGAACTCGTGTATTAGAAAAAAAACTAAGCTCAGTACCCCAGTAAGAAACTGGATATTATATCTCTGGGGAATTAAAAATGGGAAAATTTGGAGTCATAAGAATAAATTCAAGTAGCATGTCTTATCATGTCTTATATACACATTATCCCCCCCCCCCCTCCATCCAATATTAATTTATTTCGATTATTTTTTGTTTGACGCATGGAAACTGGAACGTGAGCAATGTCATTAGTATTGTGATAATAACGTCGCTTATACCTATTTATTACAGGTCGTGTAGACCATTGTTGCCCAATTTATAGCAAAAACATTGACTTTTGCACGTTGGTGATGATGCGCCTTTTTTAATAGATCTCATATCTTAGAAGGGTATCAGTTAAAAAAAATTAAATGACCTAACATATTTCACCATGCACTGCACCTATTCATTTGGCAATTCAGTTGTAAATTTTCTCTTGAAAAAATAAATCTTCCAAATTTGTTGAGTTTTCTTGCAGAAATCGCCTAATCCCCCCCCCCTCCATCCATTTTGTACGATCACCGGGCGTGAGTATATCCTCACTAATGATACATATGTAACCACAGGCTGTAATTGGAGTGATTGGACTAGGTGGATAGGTGCTGGATGTTCCAATACGTGTGGGAATGGCATGGAGAGTCAAACCCGTACTCGAGTTAGGATATTCGGAAGGGATGGAGCGCTACGTTGTAGAGGCGAATCTAAGGAAACACGAACCCAAATGTGCAGGATAAGAGATTGTCCAAGTAAGACCCTAATGTTAACCAGACCAATGTAACTGTAAAACAAAAGTAGCAAACGACGCAATAATAGAGGGCATTTATAGATTGGTTCGTAATGACCGCCCCCGCCCCCATCTACAGTTAATCCTAGGTCAAATACCTCAACAATCTATACATTACAAATGTAGCTCTTAGTCTTTAGATTCCTGTGTTCACTGTTTCCTACTATTGCCAACTGTCTATAGCATTTCTTTGTTTATTGTTTTGGCTCTAAAAGATGTAAAATATTATATAATCTTTCGAATATAGGTTGTGGCATATGGGAATCGTGGGGACCCTGGAAATGCCAACAAGTCTCGGGAGTGTATCGTACTAACGGATGCAGGATACCAGGGAGACAAGTGCGAACAAGGATCTGTCCAATATGTCCCGTAGGCCGAAGTGTTGATGAGGAACGTGTTCACCGTCGAAAGAGACACGGTCGCTATCCGTGCGATGGGGTATCAATACAGGAAAGTTCGGAATGCTGTGTCAGATAACTATCGTGATTAACAATTCGGAGCACATATTGCAATACCTAGAAAACATTAAACGCATTGTGGACTGACATGTTAAGTTTTAAATGGGTTATGGGTAATTGCTTCCGTTGCATCTATATTCAGATTTTCTGGTATTGTGTTAGCATAATGTCCCTCTATTCATTTATCCTAGTATCCTAGAATTCTAGCAAATGATGAACTTAATCTATCTCTCACTGGTCCGCATCGTCTTTATAACAAAATGGATGAACTTCCTTCTGTTTCACCAATTTCCCCAGCAAAGAGTCATTTCTACCCAAATATTTTACCAGTGTGTTGATCCGTTTACTGAAAAGCTTGTCAGTCACGAACAAATAAATCCAGCAGCTCAAATAATCGAGTGAGAATTCCCTCACTTCAGCAACCAGGTGAATTTCATAACGTCTTGGTCGCGTCTTGGTAGCATCCTGGTTGCTAAAGCAAAGGATTTCTCACTCAATTTTTGGAGCCCTTGAATGTATATACTCGTGACTGATTTGCTTTTCAGTAACCGAATGTTACTATTTACACATACGGGTTAAATATTTGGATACAAACCGACCTCATTCCTTGTGAAAATGATGAAAATAAAAATTTCCTCTGGCGGAAATTCATCCATTTTGTTACGTAGCGTCTTTATAACCAGTCGGAGACCAGTGATCTCTAATTACTTCCGAGGACGTCATACAAACTCATGTTAACCAAGATATTAATTTACCATGGCCTTATCAATATATAATGGTATTTTCCTCATATTCGATTGCATGTTAAATCAATACTTCTAAATTTTGGGATAATCTATAGTTTAGAATTAATTTAAGTTTAGAATTTTACAAAAATCTTCTCCAATGCTAATAGTGCTTTTTCCTGTTGTACTTTGCTTTGCTTTACTTTATTTTAGATATTCTAATTTATGATGATTAAAAACTATTACCCAATGCGTTTTAAGCATAACACACATGGACCTTTGTCATTGGTGAACATCTGTGCTTCAAGATTCATTTAAACTGATCTCGAAATAACTCTTTATCAAGTGAAATAAATTAATAAATACGTTTCGTGAATTAGTGTTCTGTTTGTTACATACATGTACAATTTACTGCCATTTAACCTTTTGACTACCGGGTTCCTTTATTCTTTTAAACTACATGAGATTGGCGGAGTACAATACAATATTACAATATGTACAATAATATTCCTTACCTACTTCTACGTCTATGTTTGAATGACAGAATGGGCTTTAAGGAATTCAGGTTAAATTATTCGACACTTTTGCTAATGACCCCCGAGATATCTCTAACCTGTTCCCCATTCATTAAGTGGTATGAAGATAAGGTAGTCTCTCGTTCATGTTAAATCACGTCTTACAGAAGATTATGTGCAATAAAACTGATATTATGTCCTCTATATCACAACTCAGCTACATGCAGTTACCCTAATCTGTAATGGATTATGTGTGATGAAAATAAGGTGGACTCTTGTTCTCGTTATATCACGTCCTTAAAAGATTACAATTGCATTCTTAGGCCTCGGGTAGTGATGGTAAAGGTGCTTATTTAGACAGTCTTTCTACCAAGAATCATATCTGCTGCTTTCTCAGCAATCATGATGGCAGGAGCGTTAGTGTTACCAGACACAACAAACGGCATAATAGAGGCGTCCACTACCCTAAGGTTCTTGATACCCTTCACCCTAGGAATATAAGATAAAAAATGCGTCTATTGGGAGGTTAAGATACACGTTTATAAAATAAATTGAACATAAACGCTTTGAATCAGTCTTGCGTGGAAAACATTGGAAAAGGGTTGTAATTAGGTCCCTGGAATAGTAATCCTTTGTGGGGCATACTATATTACACGTTACAAGTTCTCTTAAAAGCGTGTGGTTATATCCATATCAGGGAGGTTAAGTTACACGTTTTTAAGAGAACCTGTATATGAGCGTGTAATATGTCGGCCCGCGGAGATCACTTTCCTGCTCTCAATTCACTTTTCCAGGGACCTAATTACAATTATTTTCCCATTCCGTTTACCTTTATACTCCATCAAAACTCAAAAACGTGTATCCTAACCTCCCTACTATTTCATTAATAACTATAGATGAGATGTGAAAAACTGATTGAGACACTCGCAAATCAATACTAATCTGTTGATACCTTTACTTATAAACAATATAAGAACAATAATGCACTCCATAAGAAAATTATGTACTACCTCAGTTGAGGATCAACTACGGAGTTCTTGTCATTGGCAGGGCCCATTCTACAGGTTGAGGTAGGGTGATATAAAGTCCACATGTTAGCCCGGGTGAAGCACGCCCAATATTCGTCGCTGTTAAACTCATGTTGTTTACAGTTTGGATGGTGCGATTTGACAAGTTCAAATCCTCCCTTTTTGAATGCTTCCGTCTTGGCTAATTGGTCAACAATGACACGGATTCCTATAAATCATAACAGCATAAAATGAGGATTAAGTGGGAAAGCCTCTGGAAGTATGGCTCATGGTGACTGATGTTTAACAGAGAGCAATACAAAAAACGAACGTTTCATTTACTAAACGTTATATGTTACCCTTTAAAAGGCGACCTTACCTGCTACTATATGTTTGACATCAATTGGGTCCTTAAAGTAATTAGGTTGAATCAATGGATGGTCAAATGGATCTCTTGTTCGTAGTCTTATCGTTCCATTTGTAGCTGGGTGTAGGAGAGTGACCAGAAATGAAACACCGTATTTGTCGTCATTATCCTTGTCCGAATACAAGGCCTCCCATACCTGCGTGTTCAATTTATCACTAGTTATTTTATATGCTTATTCTCTAAGAGGTAATTTTGTATACTGAGTGAAATATGTTTATCCGAACACCTTTCTAATCTGAACACCTCGGGAATTTTCTGTATGTTTTACAAGTGGTGACATTTAGTGGCGGTGGTTAATGTTCGGAGTTTGGCGAATGTAACAAATGACAGGTGGTGACATTTTGTGAATGCCTTGTTTATATGTCATACACTGAAATGTTAAAAAATGTCCACCTGCAAATTTGAACACTTTTGGAAGGTTCCGATAGTGTTCTGATAAGTCAGATTTACTGTTCATGTAGATATAAACTATGTACTTGAGTAAAGAATAGGAACTTGTTTAGAAATTCTCGGACTTTGTGAAAAGGGTCATATATATTTGAATGTATGTATACAAGTAGTCAAAATCATTTGCAATTAGGGAAAGGCCATGTAAAGCCAAGACATGTAAGCTCACCTCGTCAGTATAGCCCATGTTGTCCTTTATGTAGTCGGTGCCCTTATCATTGCCCCATAGGAGAGATAAAATACTGAACTGTATGTATGGGAAATCGTGGTGCTTCGGCTGATATGGGGTCTTCATGAAGTACTGCAGGTTGTTTAGTGTATTCTTTTTTAAGCCTTGTATGTTAAACGACATACCAGCTCGTTCAATAAGTTCACGGAATAATGCTCTCATTTCAAAATTTTGACGTAACATCCAAAAATATCTGTTTATTGTTTCATAGAATATCAGCGTCTTTAATTTAATTGGTCAAAAGTAATAGTTTCTATGGTAACAGATATTTTTGGGATTTTATATGAAGATTTCATGAAAAAAATCAAAAACCTTTGAAATTCGAGCAATTCTCTTATGTACTTATTAAACGACCCGGTAGATGTAAAGATACATACATTAATGGGTTGATACTATGTGAGCATCGTGAGATATCACAGCCTTCTCTCAGTTTCCTTTCGTGTGCATTGCAGAGATGGTCTGAGTATCAGAATGCTATGTGAGAGTCCGGCTGAATCTTATTGTAAAGGATTTTTAAATGACTATTCAATCTAAACCAAAATATATGACAGTGACAAAAACACAAAATCAGAACTTTCTTCTCTAAAACTGGAATACTTCCTTGCTTTATATAGTATATATGTATAAGTTAATAAACAATAGAGGGGTTTCGCACAACTAGTTACAGCTATTTATCCGCAACCGAATAGTTGAACTATTATGCATAAATCTGGTGAATGCGTTACGTAATAGTTCATTTAAAAAACGTTACATGCGAAACCTCTCTAATGTGACACATTTAGTGACGTTTATAAGAGACGCTGACCCCACCTGTTCCAAATAACTTGTACTTGAGTGTTTCTTTGAACGAAAGAAGTTCTTTTTCCGTAATTGAGTGTGCATTTGTTTTGAACCTGACTTGGTCTGCAGTCGGATGGTCCTGCATGTTTTCGCCTACTGGTAAGTCTGCAACAACTGGTATCTAGAGATTGAATATAACATATCTGTACTCATGTGCTCTTTTTCAATATTCAGAATATAGAATACAACAAACGGAATACATGGGTCAAGATTGCAGTAAAAAATCCCATTGACGACCATTATAACGTTTCATTTCATAATATATTCATGGGCACAGATCTAGCTCAGCGAAACAGTGCTCAGTGTTCATTGGAGTCTTGTCTAGCTTGCCGTTACAAAATAAGCATACGGTGACCACACCGTTTTTGAGATAACTGAATCTGGAGAGAGCTACCACCGTAAAGCTACCTGTTTCAGAAAATTATTCTGCTCTACATAGTCTCAAAAATCACTCCGCCATCTATAAAAATTCTGTTTCTAACCAAACTTGTAAATGTTTCCTGATAGATTAGTACTTACCCTATCGAGAATAAACCTTGATTCATTTATCAAACACTGGATGGCGCTGCGACGGGACAGAAAAGGAGAAAAAGCTTTTTTATACAGAAAACCAAATAACCAACGGTAACCGCTAGTATCCCTACTCCGGACTATATTCCATGTCTAATTTGAAAGTAGATGTGTTACACTGAATGTCATACTCACTCCAAGCTCCTCTAAATGTCTCTTTGGTCCTATACCCGACAGTAGTAAGATATGCGGTGAGCCTATTGTCCCACCAGACAAAATCACTTCCTTCCTTGCCCTGACCTCTCTTTTTACCAGATCCTTCACATAGGATACACCGACTGCCTTCTTACCCTCTAATAAAACCTGAAGTAGGAAATAGAGTGTAGTAAGTATTCTCTTAAATTCTTCCACCAGATTTCGCCCTTTTGTCTTCGCGAACAGTTCAATTCACGTTAAAAGTGTTCAATGACAAGACAATTGATTTATATGGTGACTTCTTTCCATGATTAGGCTTATACATCTTATACACAAACATGGCAAGTAAGGGCCGTTAAGAAAGGGGACCGTTATCCCTGGGGAACCATAATTTATATTTCACACCGCCGTTACTGAAGCTTAATTAGTGATTTCTACATTACTTTTGTCACGTGTGCTTTCGTGGCAACATGAAGATTCTTTCTTTCCATTGCTGGGTAGAGGAACGCATCAGCTGTACTTGAACGGATTCCATTACTGTCTACCGTGACTTGAGAATAGGAAAAGCCTGAAATAGTTTTAAGACATTAACATGTGTGTATTCATTCATATAACCCGATCAACTACAATAAACCATTCATAATTCAAGGTTTGAGATCTAATTTTGACTTTGTGTGTTTTGTGCATTACGTCACGTTACGTTACGTTACGATACGTTTCGTTACGTTACGATACGTTTCGTTACGTTACGTTACATACAACGTGCGTATTACTTACCCAACTGATTGTCTCCATTTATATCTTTGGTTGTTGGTAGACCCGCCTCCACAGCGGCATCATATACACTCTGGATGCATTCTACTTTATCGACAAACGACACTTGGAGAGGCCCAGTTGTACTATGGTACTCTGCAACACAAAACGATTCGAGGATCGATTATGATTATGAGACCAAAGGGTCTGTTTTTAGAACCGTCGTAATTTAGGATATGGTCGCAAGCCATTGTTCGTCAAAAGGTAGACAATGGTTTTCTCGGATCGTGAGTTACGATCGTACCAAAAAGGCTATAGTGCATTCTCACAGCATCCTACGAAGCTTCGAAATAAAGAAAATTTCAGGATAATAAATCACACCTGTCCCTTTTCACTCTTGAAATAATTTTTGGTCATCGCAAAATATGATATACATTTACCTTTTTCACATGTAACGCTGGAACATTAACCTTTATGTTATCCTAACACTAAATAGTGCAAACAAGTTTTATTACGTTATAAGAATCTGCGTGGTGTATGTGTATGCTTTCTTAATGTGTTCTCAGATGTATAATACGAAAACAAACTCATAAATTGATATACCTGACTTAGCTAGGCTTGGGTCGAGATGTGTTAGAGATTTCTTGAAGTAGGGAAGGACATCATCGTAGCTCCAACCAGTGTTACCCATGTCTGCCCACATGTTGTAGTCATTCTTGTTGCCTCGACAATATTGGTTGTAGTTATGTGAGCTACAGCCTCCTAACACCTTGCCCCGCGTCCATCTACTCGCCTATAGCCATATAACTGTTATATAAGCTTAAGTATGATTTGTCATATTTCAACAAATTATAATTTATCAATAGGGAAAGCAGTAGCCCAGACACCTACGTGAAAATCGTGTCATATCGTGTTTTACTCAAACTTCATAAAATGCATTTAATATACTTTGACTTTTATGAAGTGCATGAGAAGGAGACTAATGATCAAAACTTTTCAAAAACTATAATGAGGTTGCTCTATAACATTAATAGATAGTGTAATAGTGTAATGATAAAAATATGTCGTGTGCTATATAACAATAATACTCGGTGGAAATACATCATTAGTAATCACGGTACATAAAAAAGTATGTGGCGAGATTACAGAATCATGCTAATCGCATTTGTTAATTGATCGAACGTTCTGATTGGTCGATAGTGGTGAAGTCTCGCAAATTGCCCGGATGAGACCGGGCAAATGGTTACTTTAAAATATTACTAACAATATTTTATGATATTTCGTACCCTATCTTTTAAACCACTACAACAATGCTCTTGTGGAACTGTTCTGTACTCCCAATCTATTTTGGTCCGCTGAGGCAATGCAGCCTCTGAGGGAACAGGCATAGTGTGGTGCCATTCTATACCAGCCTCTAACAGAAGGACGCTGACGTCCTCGTTCTCTGATAATCTAGCGGCTACTACGGCTCCAGCGGACCCTCCACCAACTACAACGGAAAATTAAATTAACCATAGCCATGCCACAACTAGATCCGACTACATTCATGTGCATTACTAATTTTTGCGCAAAATGTGCATTCGTGTACCAAGATAATTAATTGAGGGTTGAAAGTTCTTTAGAATATATGAATTACTAGAATATCAAGTGGTCTACCTTTCAATATTGTAAAAATCCAAAGTACAGTCTGACCTTAATACTTGAGCCAATAATCATAAGAAACAACCATGGTCCTAAATACTTCGATTCTCCATTTATAGAGCCATTACTCTTCAGACAAATTTAACCTACTTACCAACTATATAATCGTATTCTTTATCCAATACATCATTTATCTTAGAATGATCAATCGGAATATTTTCTTTCGTCCAGAGTAGATACACAATCGCTGCAGCAGCAACTATGAATGCAATTTGAAACGAAGACATTCTGCTGAAGCGTTGATAACTTGATATAGTAAAAAATGAGTGTTAGTGTACTTGAGACCTTGATCTAATGTAGGTCCAAATTGAGGGGGCGTCCATTTGATGTAGGTTTTCACATATCTTATTTTTTTAGCTTATATTTTTAAGCGTATATCTCTAATTATGTTGGCCTTCATTTCATCACGGTATTCACAGTACCAAATGTCCACAAGGGTCACCAGGGAAGTTATGATCATTTTATTGAAAAGCATTCGTTTGACTTAACTCCTTAAAGACAAGATACCTTTCGTCAGTTTAAAACTAAATTCTGGGCTAAGCTAGAAAAACATAATGGCTGTATCTGTATCTAATTGTAAATACAGCGTGGGCCAAAAACTTTTTTTCAAAATGCAATAATTTTTTTTTAATTTTTTGATACAAAATCATACAGTAATTTGCATACCAAATGAAACTTGAAGTTGTTATCTAGCCATGGATCATGAATTGCCCAGTTTTACTTGAATAAAATATGTCACCAGCGTCTCACTTAAACATGTGGTGTGCCATGAGAAATAAGCATAATTTGCAAAATGCTCCTGAACTGATACGGCCTGATGACAGCCAAGCTAATAGGCCTGATGCAAACCCCAGTGAGTATAGGGTATGGGAATGTCTCCAGGAGATTGTATTAAGGCGCCAATCTAAAAAAATGCTCAACTCAAGCTGGCAATTAGGACAGGTTGAAAAAAACTTAGCTAACATTTTATTGATATTGCTATATCAGCAAGGCGACTAAAACTAAAATCGATCATCAAATAGGGTGGCGGACCAATTGAACTCCTCTTTTAGATCAAATATAATCCACGTTGAAGAACTTGTTACATTATATTATTGCTAAGAACCCCTGGCACAATATAACTGCAAAATTTGGGGTATGTAGGTTGGAAAATAAAAAAGTTGTAGTGTATTTTAAAAAAGTGGCGTTTTTTGGCCAACCCTGTATATAGCATGTATCTGAAGCACGCTGAATCAAGTTTCGATTACGAGTCTCATGCCTAATAGACTAGATCCTATCTAGAGATTGAGTTCGGAAAATGGTTATAGTTTTAATCCTTAAGTCTCACCTTGGTGGACCCCGCCGCAGTACACGTTGATCATGTACATAATAAGCAGGTCATGTTAGTAGTCTGTACTCTTTAGATAATGGTTAATGTATTTGTACATGTATTTTTCAAGTAACCTGATATCGCATATTTATTTGTAAATATGTGCTACACACGATTTTCAATGACATATGCTGTACTTTTGATATGAGGCCCTTACTCGAACAATTTACAGACGGTTAACTAATCTCGTTTGTTGACCCAAGATTTTATTCTTCAAAAATGTCAGAACCTGAAAAAACGAACGTTAACCCTTAGAATGACTTTCTACTGAGCTAACCCTCGACCAACGTATTTTACCCCGTCAGATATTATTTTTTCAGGATGCAAAACAATCAGATGTGCAATCTTTTGTGTAACAAAAGGATAATTGTTAGATTTACACTAGCGAGCTAAGACGTCTTAGCTAAAACGTTTTAGCGTTAAAACGTTTTACAAATGTAATGCAAATCCAGATTTACTCAAGAGCTCTCGGCTAATAAGAGCGCTTAGCTAAAACGTTTTAGGACCCTAGTCTTAGCCAAGACGTCTTGGCGTTAAAACGTTTTACAAGCGAGTGTAAATCCATCGGTTTTAGTAAAGAGCTCTTAAGAGCCCGGTTTTTTGCGTTGCGCCGAACGAAACATTTGAGACTTTCCATTTACATATGTCGCATGGTCCTTTATTTTGTCTTATCCCTTGTTCCCAATATCATCCCAAAATTATTGAGAAGAACTTATTTGCCTGGCGATTTATCATAATCCTAATTCATGCATAAAATCTTCCTGCTCTCTTTCATGCTTTTAACAATGCTGTCTTTCGGACATATTTTTCTGAAACCGATGAATTCTTTAGTACAAAGTCGGGTACAAAGTATAGAAGCGGGAAAGGAATAGCTTTATTGACTGAACCGTCCTTCAACCAATACTGAACTGCTTTTTTCATTTTACATGTATACCTACATATCTCTAAGACGTTTTGGGAAAACAGGTGTAAACCCGATCTTATTTCCTAGCCAAAACGTCTTGGAATGCTGCGCGTAGTGTAAATTGGGCTAGTGATATTTAGGTCCAGAATTGTTTAAACGAAAATATAAGGTATGGAATTTGGGACCTAATTGCCATGCAGGACAAATGAAACTGTCGGATCTAGCTCCTTTTTACAGCATTGTTAAAGGCCCCATGTAAAGTTTAAGCCAGTTTGACTATTATCGTAGTCCTAGACAATGTAATCTTGAGATCTTTTTCAAAAAGTTGTTTTGAAATACTTTTTGTTATAAAAATTGTAAATTTCGTAAAAGTTAAATCCTTGTTGCCACACTGATCTATATCGAATATTTTGCAAGGATTAAAATTAGAGATTAAAAGGAGGGATGATGAGATGGGATAAGCATGATGAACACTTCTTTTCAACTAAAATAAGCCATTTCTGGCTCATGTCATTACTTGTCATATCTTGTTTATAGAAAAACTTAAACTTTTTACAATTATGTGTTCATTAGGTATATTCTATAAATGTGGTTACAACATTTATCATTTGTGAGAGTAAAACCTGTTCCCCATATTCTACACTTCGAATCTTGAATAACTCGAGTCACCGTTGAGAGCTTTGTAATAATTTAGAAGAGAGACATTTCGCTCGATGAATATTGAGTGAAATGAAATTTTGCGTTTCACAAAAATAACTCATATCATATGATCTGTATATGTATCTTTTATCGATCTAATAAATATTTTTCCATCGAAAATAAATAGTTTTCTTCCGAGGGTTTTCTGGTTCAAGCTGCTATCACTATAATGTTCACTCTAAGTTTTCTAGATATTCAATTGTACATGTATTGCTAGTTAACGAAAATCTGCAATATTATTTCATGAAACTTCATATAATTGTCCTCAATTCGAATCCCTTTCGAAAAGTGGTTTGAGTCCTTTTGAAACAATCAAAGGCTGTTCATACGTACACACTTCACTGCGCCATCTATTGTTATACCTGACCTCAACCTCTCCATCGTCATTGAAGAATGTATTATAGAACGCGCAATCCCGTTTCCATTGTTCTATACCGGAGTAGGGAATCGATGATTTGAATAAATCTTCGTTATGAGAATTTAGTTTTAACCAGTTTGGATCCATTAATTTCAGATCAGGTTCATTTTGGTGTAGCATAAGCGTTGTACCAGTAATGTCAATTATTGGGACCCCAAATTTATTACCGTACACCATGAACCAAGAATCAAACCCGTATTGGCTTATGACAAAATCAGGAAAGTGTTCCCATGGAAACGCATACTTTGACGTGAGAATGAAGTCGTATGCACCGTTGTTTTCTTGAGGTGTACCGACCTCCGACAGTTCTAATATTTCTTGGTCATTCCCAGAAACCAAAGATAGGATATTTCCCTCGCCGTTATCGTACGGAATATTTGTTCTCATTCCCACGATTATATATGCACTAAATTGTCTTGCTTTAAGAAATTTGTCAACTGCATGTATTGTCTCGTTCAACTGCTCACCGTAGAACAAAATATCGCCATTTGTGAAACCATAATAATCACTTGATGATAGTTCTTGAGCTTTGAGAAACATGTCTTTTAAGACTGGACGGCGTAATATCGTTATATCTTTCGATTGGGGTATGTGAGTCCAACCAAACTGCTCGCTTTGTTTCTGGTGGATGTGGTTGTTGGAGAAGAGGACTGGAGTAATGTTGAATTGCCTCAAGTGGTGCCAGTTCATCAATGTATTGTTCTGGATATGATCACGTTTTCGTTCCCGTTCAGCAAATGACGTGAATAACGTTATAAACGATGGGTGAAGTGGTTTACGCGTTGTAGTTCCCACCGTTGACGTTTCTGTTGTGGTTTCGAATAGCGGCTTTTCATTTACATTCCCCTCACGCTGGTAGCGCGTCTCTCTAGTAACTCTGTCATCCGGCTTTTCGTTGAGTCCTATGTGTACAAGCGTCCAAACAAGCGTTACGACAAATATAAATATGATAACACTATAGAGCTCTATCACCCTCATCCTCTGATTATGTAATCTGTTTCGGCGTCTATCGAAGTGTTAGCATTATAAATTGTAAGTAATTTCAAAAGAAATATTATTTCGGATTTACTAAAGCTAGTGAGATGAGTTTGAAGTTATGTGCGCTTCACGGACGCGTTACGGCAGAATTCAAGTAAACGTGTAACAGGTTAATCAGCCAGAATCATTTTAAACTAATTGATCGTTGCAAACTAAGCCATTGAATATAGTCTTGTTATTCCTTTTCATCTTAAGACATACGATGTATCCGTCTCTAGACTTTCTACCATTACTGTTACATGTAGATGTCGGCCATGTTCTTTAATTGATTGGCGAATTCTATGTCCTCTTCTCTTCAGTTTATGACAGCGTAGAGAACAATGGTGATCACTGCGATACAGTATTTCAACGTAGGAACACCATACATTGTGTACAGGGACAAATGACCTCCGGGCCATCATCGACAACTTTACTAGCGTTATGGTTGTAACGTGATTTATAGGTAATAAACTGCTAATACTGAATTTGTAGTGAAGATCCACTTCGTAAAGAACAAATGCCATGTCCCTGTAATGTAGGTGATAGGTATCCTTACCTGAAGATAACATCTCACTTCATTGGTATGTGGAGACCCCTTCCAGTCCACTATTGGAACACTACACGAAGTGAGCGGAGGGAAACCATAGGGATACGGTAAAGGACCTGAACAAATATCAAAACTAGAAAGAAGGAAATCCTCGGAGTAGCAAATCCCACCGAACAAAACATGTTTTGATAAATGGCGGCTATCTTGAAAGCTGACTTTGGATGACATAGACTTGAATTGACTTTTGTATTTCATTTAAACAAATAGCTAGTTTTAAAGGCCCCATAAAAGTTTTTTTTCTAAACAATCTCTCAAATATTCAAAGGAGGGGGAGTTGTTTGTAGAATGAATCGGATGAGATAACAGTAAAATAAATCTTTAATACACACCTTATTGGGTTGTTTTGGTTTAAGGAATGTGTACAGTTTACACAATTTGAAATTTTGTGATAAAAAATCAATTTTCTTCTAAGATAAATTGTTTTAGTGTCAAAAATGCTACGCTTACTAAAAGAATAACCTATTATTTTTCAAATAAAACTAAAATCAAGGTAAATGCTTTTTTATAACTGAACTTATGCACTTTCAAAGATAGCAGGTGTTGCGAATTCCCCATTGAAACCGTAACGCGAAACTGAATAATCAACAATTTTATGTTCAACTTGTTTTTGTCTTTAGCATTCATATTTCAAGATGTACAACAAATACCAATCAGTGATTTAGTAAAAATAATAGATAAATGCTTGAAAATAGATAAATGCTGAATCCAATGGGGGAGTTAGGCTGCCATACTTATGAAGGGGAGTGCACCTAAGTGACACTACTACAGTATGGAACCAGTCAAAATAACAGAAAAGTTTATTTTAAGATTTGACGTTTATCTGATTTATTTATAAAACTGAGAAACATAAACAAAAGAGGCGTATTATAAATATCATTTAATATTTGCAAGATGAAAAGGGATATAAACCTATTGTAGAGTTAAAAGTATAGCTTTATAAAATGAATTATTTTAAATCACTGTTACTATGAATCTGTGATATCAATAATGTCTTATTGTCCGTATTGTCCATTGCACCTTTTTGCAATGATGTGAATGAGGCGTATAAAATGGATCTTTCTTCAGTTTTGTTGGGCTTGAGAATATTTCTCCTCTACGCCATCTATAAACAGTGTTAGCCAAACATCTGCACAGCACGAAGAATCTGTAAAAGCGAAAAGCAAGACCATGATCAAAGACAAGGTCAATGTACAGGGCAGATCAATTACAAAAGTTGCATTTAAAAATTATTTCTTCAGATCACAGTTTATGGGCGTCGCCAAAGTGTTCCTGACTACCTAACTAATCTGACTCTTGCCGAAGTATTCTGACTTGACCAAAGTATTCTTCGAAATTCAATGATAGCATCATTTCCCCTTTAATCAAATGTGAGAAGGACCTGATACTGTTTTATGAATCCGATACATAGTATCCTTTTCATAGTCTTGCTTCAAGACCCTGGACCCAACCCCTCCCCTATCTACATCAACAACAGGGTCGTGTAAGTATGGAGGGATTGAAGCAAGACTATACTTTTCACTACGAAGTTCAAGTTTATTCTACCCAAGATGTCTCATATTGCATATATTTCAATTGAATGAAGCAAAATACAAACCATCTGCCATTTTTGCGTGTATTCCTGTTTAGTAACAATATGATCTCCATTAATGTCAAATCGCAAACGAACAGTCGCCAGATCGTCAGTCTCGATGCGCCCATTCTTGTTCAAGTCTCCAGCGTGGAACAACATTCTTCCCATGTGCGGACTACCGTAACCGCGTTTCTTGAAACCGCGGACGTATTCTTGGGCACTGATGGAGTCATCGTCTGCAACATAATCAATACCCAATGGTCTTTCATACATCATAGATGGTAGAGAGTAAAATAAACGTGTTCTCACTAAGTTTTGAATTATGTGCTTTCGGGAGATTTGTTATTCTGGAATATTCTAGAGTTTTTCAAAAAAAAAATTTTAATATACAAGCATCGTGAACAACGATTTTAATCTAGAGAGTTTCGGTTGATCACGTGGCTCTCTCGCGAGACTTGTTTAACTCACCGTCATCGTCGAAATGTTTAAACATATTATTGAATTCATCAACAGAGATCAAATTGTCGCCATCATCATCTGTGTGGCTGAACATCACATCAATAAAGTTGTATGACTGGAAGTACATGATATAACATGTTATAAAGTTGTATGACTGGAAGTACATGATATAACATGATATAAAGTTGTATGACTGGAAGTACATGATATAACATGATATAAAGTTGTATGACTGGAAGTACATGATATAACATGATATAAAGTTGTATGACTGGAAGTACATGATATAACATGTTAATCAGGAATACGTTAAATTAAAATGTTTAAAATGTCCGCTAGTGTACTGAGTTGTTAATGCGTGGTGTATACGTGCATATTATACTTTATCTTTTACTAGAGATTACTATAAGACTGATTTTTATAAGCTTAATGGATAAGAATAAGACTGTTTTTTTAAATAGATGACAGTATACCCGGGCCTCAGATGTTAATTGTACGACCGCCAGACTATTGTTAAAGCAGGACCAGTAGTCAGCTTTTGCCTTACGAATACTGTAGAAGTGGTAATTTTGCCCAATCATTTAATTTGCCTATTGCCTAATTTTTTGTCTGTTTCGGAAAATTAAATGTCGGAAATTTTATCTTCATAATGTTATCCAATGGGAAGTTTCTTGTCATTACGAAAATTAAAATCAGGAAAATGATAAAATTTGACCATTCCTTTCTGGCGTTGTTTCCTAAAATTAACACTCGATACACAGCATCTCGTGCAAATTTTGGAAAGCAATAGCTTCAAGAAATGGTCATTCAACATTGCACTGAGTCAAAGGCTTAAAGCTGCACTATACTTAATTTAGAAGAAAAAATAAAAAAAAGTAATCATTGAAACATGTTACTCACACACTAGCTCAAATATGACACAAAGTTTGATTTGCTTTGATATTGAATCAAGAAAAAAGTAACTCACAAAGAAAAAAGCATTTGTAGTTCAGAGATCATTAGACATGCATGCACATGTTAAACAAAGTCTGAAAGTGCATGTTTTAAATTACTATTGATTTAAAAGATGGCGACACTTCTATAAAAATGAATGTATCATGTAATACAAACAACTCTGCCATCTTTCAATGACATTGATAAAAACTTGATATATAAATCTTGACAGATCGAAATATTTTTTGATAATTTAATGTAAGCTTTGATGTGGTCTATTTGAGCTGTTGTTGGTGTCAAATGAAAGATAAGGTTCTTATCAACACATTGGACATACTATGAAATTTAAATGGAAGTCATTATTTTGCCCAAAAAATTCCCAAAGTGCGCCTTTAAATCCTTTGATATTACTTACTATGGCTCGTCTGGTGCGTGTGTTTGGCTCAGCAAGTAGCATCTAAAATGAACAAGCAATTAGTATGATTTGTGTAAGTTTAAATTGTTTCATTCAACGACAATATCGTTTTTTAGTACATTTTAAAGATCAAAATAGCCAATTCATGATTTTGAGAAGTTCGAATCCTCCAAGCATTTTTTCAAATTGTTAACTATTCACGTATTTCTAAAAATGATACATGTTTCCATCTTTATTTGTAAGAAAAAACATAAAATTTGGATCACCCTATAGTTATTCTTAGTTTGCCAAGATGGTACATTTAAACTATTAATAATCGCTTTTGTTTATTTTTGCGTCTGGATATCTAGGGTAATATGGTTATGGTATTTTAATAATAAACATTTCTGTGATGATAAAGTACATTGTTAGTTTGGAAAGTCGGTTGTGGCATTTTTAAATAATATGTCCGCCGCTAAATCAGATCAATTAATTGGTAAACATAAATATGCATTTGTGTTAGAACTGTAGGGATCGTGTCGAATAAACAGTGTCTGCAGACTATTTATGCAAATCTCCTGAAATAAAGCAAGAGATATCGCACATTTTGCACAGTGCTGGCGAGTGGTGGTAGTCGGTCGACAGGAATTTGTTAACATTGGTTCAGCACCTTTGGAGTATATCTCAAACACGGGGACAGATGCCATAACAACAGAATATCCCAAAAATCTGGGCATAATGCAAAAAATTGGCATCTCCGATTTGACCGATAGAAAGGGCACTTAGACGTAACAGAAACTGCTAAAAAGGACTTAAATTACAGTTTTCAGCAATTGCTGTTGCTATAAGCAAATATTAAGAAAATTACGTTAGATATTCATGGCCTTGGTAGAGTGATTCAAAAGAAGAGAACGATCATTTATGCCATAGTTATTTTCATAAGATAATGCCACGTTTTAATAATGCTTATCTAACCTTGCAAGAACCCATAACAAACTTCACTGGGGAGTATCGTGATGCAACAACACCGTGTTGTTGCATCAAGATGGCCAGACTTCCGGTGATAGATTTTCGTACGATATTTTGTTTCCCCAATTAAACCCATTTCTAGGACGAGTTGCTCAATAACCATACACGTACAGTTAGCGCACGATCTATATTTAAAGAAACTGTCATTAGTATACATATACCATCACCAAGAAGCAATAAGTTCACGGTTTTAGTTCCTCACTATTGATGCAACAACACCAAACCGAAGATGCAACAACACTCCTCTAGATTTGAGCAATGATGCAGCAACACCAATTAATACTATAATTTCAGAAGACTATCTCGAGAGGAACAGATTTTTAAATGCTACTATTGCAATACCGTTACCAATTAGCCTACCCATATTTGCGTTCTTCTCAAGGCATTCAAAATACACGTCCTGCGGGCGAAGATCTTTATATGTATTTTCAAAAATTTATACTTTTACATATTATAATGTACTGGACGTTATTCTATAACATAGTTCAATCGCCTTTAACATGGCAAGCTTTAGTAACCCAATCTATTTTCATAAACCACTGTTCCATAGCTTGATGACCCTGACTCCAGTTAGTATCATTCAAAATGGTGGACAAATATCTTTCGTTCTCGGTAAACATGATGAGCTATTGGATATTATCATGATATTATCTGTCATCCTTCTGTGGAACAGTGATAAACTAGTAGATGTACGTTACCACTGTTTATCAAATTATAACTAAAACAGTTTAACTGTGACATTCGTGAGCTGATATGTTGATGGGATGATTGCTTCATCTATGATATAATATGACATGATTCTTTATTTCCTACAATTTGGAGAGCCAACGTGTAAAAACGTCTAATTGACTTTATTAGAGAGGCCGTTTAGTTACACGTTTAATGGAAATCTTGCACGACGCACATGTAGAATTATTGCTCTCTTTGGATTCCTTCTCTCCGACTGAGTAAAAAGGTAAACAAAAGTGATAAGATTTAGGGCCCAAAAAGGTAAATTGATAGGGGTACAGTTATCCCAGATATCCCGGGCCCTCGGGAAATATCATATTGTCTCTCGAAATAAAACCAATATTGAATCCCTCTCAGTAAATAACTTTTATATAATAGCATTGTATAACTGCAATATCATTAAACCAACACTCATCCTATACAACTCTTGAGAACGATGTACAACTCCTGGATAGCGTAAACTCCCGAGCAGCGTATACAACTCTTCAACTTGATATATGACATCAAACTTTGGGTGGGATAACAAAGGATATACAATAAACAATTGTAGACCCCTCTTGAGGTCAACTGGCAAAATTGTATACCGATACTGTAAACCTTGAAAGTACTGTTGATCAAGACCAGAGGTCGAGGACACTTTTGCCAGTTGACCGAAAAGAGAGGTTAACAATTGTTCTGTTAGTCCAAATAATATAATAATTGGACGAATATATAATCGAATATCACGTGAACATATTTGATAAGTAAAGGTATCATATTTTAGCAAAAAATCCCCAAACCGTCGAATACTTGTAATTTTTTACACAACTTATTTTTTCAAAATTAAAAAAATTTCAACATTAAAAAAACAATTTTTAAAAAATAGGGGTCAACAGTACCTAGTAGTGGTCAACTGTTTACAATTGTTGACCTCCCCAGAGGCCAACCGGCAAAATTGTATACCGAGACTGTAAACCCAAAAAATACTGTTGACAGAGACCGAAGGTCGAGGTCAACAGTAGTTTCAAGGTTTACAGTCGAGGTATATGATTTTGACGGTTGATCGAATGGAGAGATCTACAATTGTTTTGTTAGTCCGAGTAAACTAATAATACACATATAGACGACGATCATCAATCGGCATGGCTTCATTTCACAACCTTTTCTCCGAACCACGTTAGCAATATTTTTTAGAAAATATGGAGACAGTGCAAGAAGCTTAACTCTGTATTTGGCACATCACGGCGTACTCGTTAGTGAATTAATGTTAATTTTAAGTTTCTATTTGTATTTTTGCTATTCTTGTCGCCTAGTAAAGTCATTTTCCTCAACATTTACAAAATGTCCGTCTTCCATGTTTTTTTTGTGACGTCATGAAACTTTTTTTCAGAAGTAGCGGTCAACAGTACCTAGTAGCGGTCAACAGTACATAATTTTGACCGCTAATCACCCAATCAGAATCGAGTATTTCAGTTGAGGTACTAGCAATACATTTTGTTGCCCGCTCATCAACCAATCAGAATTGAGTATTTCAATTGAGGTACTAACAACACAAAATGACTGATATCTGTTGTCTTTCCAAAATTATATTAGTTATTTGTAAGCAATTTCCATACAGTAAATCAAGGGCATTTAATTTAGAAAATGTATAATCTTTATTTTTCAGACAGATACAATATCAATGAGATTGCCTCCCGGGGATTCTGTACTTTATTTAGTTTGCCTTGTATATCCTTTTAACTTTGATATAGACAAAGAAACCAAACAAAATACGTTTCGTTCATGGACCACTGACCCACGCGTTTTATTCATGTCCCAACCTACACCTGTAAACAGAACATAAAACAGTTTCTCTTGTTGTTCAATGATACATTATATTGGCGTTTTTGCATCAGCACATTGGTGTTGTTGCATCATCGATAAGAAACAGAGTGGTGTTGTTGCATCAATAGTGAGGAATTAAAACCACGAATTTATCGCTTCTTGATGATGCTACGTGTATACCAATGACAGTTTTTTAAAATATAGATCATGTGCTAACTGCATGTGTATGATTATTGAGCAACTCGTCCTAGAAATGGGTGTAAATTGGGAAAACAAAACATCGTACGAAAATCTATCACCGGAAGTCTGGCCATCTTGATGCAACAACACGGTGTTGTTGCATCACGATACCCCCCAGTGAAACTTGTCTATTTATCTTTTTCAGATTCACACGGGTCGCGGTCAACTCGCAAAAATCGTTAGTTTAAAGTTTACACCTACCAGTCACTATATACTGCACAGTTTTTCTTCAAAGGTGCATTGAAAACAAAAAATATGCTTTCTGTCGGTACATTACTTTATAATACAGAGATTCAATACTGTACGTCTTTTTCATCATTCTCGTCCATATTTTCCGAAAAGAAGTCCATTTCAGACCTACATCGCTGCGTCTACAACTTTGGTATACGGCACCAGATAAGTAAATATGGTGTCAAGGGATCTTATATATTTAAAGGTATCACAGTCACTGATCCTTTGCGCAGGAGTGTTTACTCCAAGGATCATTATGCAGTTATGATATAAATTCAAAAATTGTTGAAACGTATAAAAGAATTATCATGCCCATCAATGAAATATATATTTTATAGTTTGATTTAATTTGACGCCAGCTTTATTTCGGCGAATTTTGGCGATTTGAAAAATTCGCTTATTTGCATATAAGCATCGGTAATTTGTTCTTTTTGTACGCGTAGTTTCTTCGCCTCGCCAATTTATAATACGCCTTGACCATTAAAATCCTAACTACATCCCTGGTTATTTTTGATTTTAATTGTTCAAGAAAGAGTTGTACATCGTCTGTACTCAATATATGTTCCGACACTTTTGGCACCCCCTGGATCCTAGATAGAGTTCTAATCCGCCAAATACCCTCCAAATATTAAGAATTGGAAAATACATCAACGACGTTAAATTTTTTGTTTTAGTAACGTTAAAAGCGTTTTTACTGAGTTTCAGTTGGTTATAGTACTTACGTCAACATCGAAGTCTAGGCCAGTAGGGACAAGTGAATACAACTCGAACAACGCCATGGTGTAATCCTCAGGCGCATTTTGAGCTCGTCCATCGCTGAAACATGTCATAAATAGAGGATATCCTATGATTTATGAGTGATATGATTTTTATCCACGAATGGATATGATATCTGCACGAGCGAGCGTAGCGAGAGAGTGCAGATATTAATATCCATGAGTGGATTAAAATCATATCACGAGTAAATCATAGGATGTTCTTTTTATTCCATAGTTAAAGTCATCATCAGAATTGTCGGAAATTAAGTCATTTAATAACGCAGATGCGAGTAGGTAGTTACCAGATTCACCACCAGGTGGCTCGTTCGGGTCAGATAGCATGGCGGGTATAGGAGAAAGTTCCCTTAAACTCAAATCACATCTGTTTTAATGATTCAATTTTCATATAACCCTTATGTATCTAATAGTTATGCAAACTGAAATATGTCCAGTAAAAGATAATGTTATCTATCCAATACAAGAAAAGACATTTCACTTTTTGTGATTTTGTATCATGGGGTCTATGGGGAATCAACCCGAACAAGAAGTCACATTTTCAAAAAAAATTAAATTTTCAAAGTTGATAAACAATTTTTGAAACCATATTTTTAGATGTACTTTTACATGCAGATTTCAAATATGACATCACTTTGACTGAATTTTGAATTTTTAATGACGTAAATCAAGATTATTTCTACTCGCATCTGGGTTATTCGAATTTTCCAAACGATCCGGCGATGTTGACACTTAGCCTCGTTTTGAGTCTGAAGTAGCAAAAATCCATTAACCATCGCATACGACGTCGTATGTCATGGTTAAAAAACCGTATGCTATGGTTAAGTGAAAATTTGTCAAAAATATCATATTTTACCACTGATCACAAAAATACCGTTTTTATTTTCACATGTTATCCAATGAATATCATGCTAACTATGGAATAATATCTTATAAATTCCGTCTTGAAAATATCTCCTGGCTATAATTTTTCTATTTATGATGCGCTTTCAAATCTTCACTCTTCAAAATTATAAAATCGCATTTGCATGTAAATGTAGCCTGATTAAATTTCCAGTTTTCTCACTATTTTTTAGTAAGTAACAATGACAATAAATTGTATTTTATACTCAATTATACTAGCTAAATAACAATAATGAAATACTTACCATGCAGCTATTAAAGCGAAAACAAAGAATAAGGAACGCATTTTTCAGTTGCTGACAATTAAATTCTGTTTAATTCCTAATCCTTGTGAAAATGCTATCCTAATATGAAATATCGTTCCCCAAATCTCTGCTACAAATAATCGTGTGTGTCCAATTAAAAACCTATCATAGCACCAGATTGGCTGTTCGTACGTCACGTGTTGTTTTTAGTTCAATTTGATCTGGCATTGAAATCTTAGCCCTGACCCATTATTTTCTTACAATGTCATAGTACCCGCTAGATTGAAAGATGATCAAATGTTTATTTCGTTTGCTTATAAACAATTAGTGGCGTGATTGGAACGTATCCGGTTTTTGGGGCACCGAAAGGTTATTAAAACTAGTTCATAGTTCTAGACATCATGCACTCAGTTCCTTCCCTCCGAAAACGATGGAGTAAAATCTCAGTCACATCCTACGGCAACCGTAGGGCGGCCGTAGCTCCCCAAATCGAAAAAATGCAGCATGAAATATAGGAATAAGCAGTATCACGTGAATTTTCTCAGTTTCAATTTTGTGAAGCTACAGCCACCGTAAAGCAAATGTGACTGAGTCTTTTAAGGTAAAAAATATTGCCAAAAATAAGAACACTTGTAACATTACATAAAATTCATCTTGACCTAAGCGTAACTTCATTCATTGCTCAGTACTCCTTGGATTGGTACTTTGTTACAAAGTAAGATGTAACGGTAGAGATTAAAAGGTGGATTGGATCGAGTGGATTGGATTCATGTAAAAGGTGGATTGGATCGGGAATCTTCAAAATGTCGAATTTCTTATAAAAATAATTCTGTTGATCTCCCTCTTAACAATTTCCCTCTACAGTATTACAGGTCCCTTTTGAGAAATCAGAACAAAGCAATGACAAATACATACTCCAATTAGTTCATGGGCACTCTTAAGTATTTAACTGCTTTCCTTGTAAATCAACTTTTGTAAGACATAGATCTTTAGAAAAAGAAAACCTGTCATTCAAATTGATGTGTGAATGTTCACAAAGCATTTCTGGCACGTTCAGTTTGGATTGAAAACGGATGATATGGATCTTCAAACCAGTCTGCCTTATGATTTATGAAATGTCTCAAATTACACTTGGAATGAATAAGATCGTATATCAGAAAGCGGGTACCAGGTCATCCTTCTAGCCCACCCAAGCAAAATAATATTACATCTATTATTTGACATTGTGCAAGTGAAGAGAGCACCAATCTTCCTAGAGGGAGATCAATAGAATTTTTTAAAGGAAAATCCATATTTTGAAGATAGCCAATCCAATCCACCTTTTACATGAATCCAATCCACTCGATCCAATCCACCTTTTAATCTTTACCGATGTAACATGGCGCTTTGTCCCGAATCGGAACTACGTTACTATGGTAAATATGATATTGCTAAAATGTGATAAAAGTAATAACTTTTCCATATGACGGACCCCTCTTGTAATTTGTTGGCAGAAAACGCCGGACACGTAAACGGAAGCTTAAAACGGAAGCTTAAAACGGAAGCTGTTAAAATAAAATAGCTTAACCCTTTTTGAAGTTCCGTTTACGTAACAAAGGAGAGGTATTCGATGATTCTATCGTCATCATTTTATTTAGTCAGGCGGAAAGTGCGTCTCACATTCCTCCTACAAAGTTTGTTCAGTGGGACGAACGTGCCCTCCTTTAGGAACCCATTGATCTAGTATTGGAATGAAGCCCAGGGGTCACGAACTTTTGATAAGCAGTTTTATATTTCAACAACAACATTAATTTCCTGCATACCTGACTACCAAGGAGGATTGGCTCCCAGGATCGAAACTCATATTTTCCAACAATTAAAACGTCGAAATGTCATTATTTTCTAAAATTAAAACCGACTATAAATTAAAAATAAACATTTCAAAAGATTTGAACCATTACAGTATCTCGATCATTTCTTGTGAGTTTTGTAATTTTTCGTTAGAAAATAAGACCAAAATTTACGATTTAAATGTTGAAGTGAACAAAATGGCGGCTGTTTGAATTCGAATTTTGTATCACATGCCCACATATGGGACAGAATATGATGTTGCACTCTGGGAGCCAATCCTCCTTGCCTGACTACAGTATATTTCTATTTCCCATGGCCCTTATGCGATGACAGCTTAGCCGCAATGTGAAACAACAATCTTCGATACCAGGCTATTTATAGTCATATATAGAATATATGTTGTAGTAGTTGACCCTAGGATGAACTTTACTCTGGAGTTCAACAAACTAATAAAGAGCAATGCAGTACAGTCATAACCTGTATAGGAGTTTCTCACGAATACCCCCTTGGGTTCATTTCGTATGAGCGTTTATTTGAAAATCCTAATAATCGCACATGCGCCTTTTCAAAGTAGGAAGTAATTCTAGAAGGGGTTGGGCGTTTATTAAGGAAAAAAATATCATTTGCCACAACAGGACTTTATTATAACTTGATAGTGTCTTGAACATTGACCGATATGCGACCCTTTGTCGGCTTGTCTCACTCTGACCCTAAGTTCTGCAACTTTAATTGTGAAATCCCTATACTTAATATGTACTCAAGTGTAGATATTACTTGTAGATGTTGTACATGTTATATATAATATATGTCTACACATTTAAAGAAAGTTTGAAAGAACTTTCGGCCAGGGGAGTGAACCTTTACAAGGCATTAACACGCAAAAGTAACCACCACCCATTCGTTAAAGATGCCAAATGCAGACACCAACTGCCAACGGCCAAAGCAAAACACCATCCACAAAAAAGTTGGAGACATATTTCAGTCCAATTTCAGTATGTCTCCACCATTAAGGTGTTTATTTTATGCTAATCAACAAATGGCTGTAGTTTGTACTGGTTTTTTAGTAAAACTGTTGGCTCTGTATGGAATTGCATTGTAAGTAGATATATTCAGTCAATCCAAACAGGAACATTATTGATGGGGTTCATCTGATCTTGTGTGTAGCGTATTAGCCCATACTTGAGTAGATATATACATTCCACATGGACACTAGAGAACTCAGGCCTGTAGACAGGATTTGCCAAGGGGGGTTCACCTTTTGAAAAATCCCAGTGGGGGTTCACTTTTGATGATTTTGGGCCAAAAATGGCCAAAATCACTCAAACCCATCGAACCAGCTTACAGTCATTCCACATGGGCACTAGAACTGATATTGTCATTGCTCACCATATCTAGTTTTGGTCGTCTTAGCCCACAGTTCAGTACATATAGTTATATACAGTAGATATTTACAGTCTGTTCGCTAAGATGTTGCAACTCGAATTGAGACAAATCACAAATGAGATAATGTTTGTATAAAAATATCCATAAATATAAAATAATAGTTTTCTCTTCATTCAGTCTCTTGTTTTTCCCTAACTGCATCCTGCAAAAGAAAATAGGCTCATTAAACAAACAATGTAGATATTATGTGCGATTAATAGAACTCTCTTGGATTAGATACTCATTTTCCATTCAGGCCTTGTTATGAAGGTCTTTTTTGTACAGGAGAAAATATGATTGTGTTTACTGAAAACATCTATATGTATGTGACCTGATATGGCCCCCTATTGGTGAATCCGTTAACTACCTACTCGTAACGAGGTAAGTAATTTTTAATTGAGAGATAATTTGGGGGCTAAATGAACATTGGAATATTAATAAGTATGATAATCTGCAGTTAAAAGTACTAAAAGAACTACTGCACTCCTTGTATATTTCCTGAGTTTTAATTTCGCCAATTTTGAGAAATCACAATTAGGCTACGCAAATTTTAAATTTCACTGATTCCACAAGCTTAAATTTCATTATTTATACAGGCTGGTATAGATTTGTCGGCTGTGATGGAGCATGTTATGTTTCATAAAAACAATAAGAAAACCATACAATTTATTTTTTAACTCATATGTTTCGTTGTATCAAAGAAAATTACTTACCCCATGCAATGGATACATCATTTGCAAGTAACCTTCACTTCTGTTTAAAGTTCAATAACGCTAGGAGCAAAAGCTATTGAAAACGGCGCCAGAGTATCATACTCTATTTCTTTTTTAATGGCATGCTATAGTGACATGATAATATTTACATATGTTTTCAGTATAACTGAATGTATCAATAAGTTCTGGATGTATATTGGGTCTTTTTAATTTTTTTATAAAAAAATAATTTTTAGATGTTTTGTCCGCTGTGACGGAGCAGTTTCACAATTCTCATTTGCAACTGCTCCGTCACAGCGGACAAAAAAAATAAACATTATTTTTTATAAAAAAATCAAAAACGACTCAATACATCAATATCTCAGTAATTCCTTCAGAGTTATGCTGATAACATATTAAAATATTATTGTGTTACTACATCGTGCCAATAGCTTTTCATCCTTCCATTATGGTACTTCTTACAGAAATGAAAGTTATCCGCAAATGATATATCCATTGCATGAAGTAATTTTCTTTGGTCTAACGAAACATGTGAGTTAAAAATAAATTGTGTGGTTTTCTTGGTGTATTTATAAAAAATAACATGCTCCGTCACAGCGGACAAATCTTTCAATACCAATATGTAAGTAAACCAAGTTATCTCATATATGATTTTACCACAATCACAAATTTCACTAAATTAAATCGCACGCGAAAATACTGGAGCACTTACTCTGAATCTTTCTTCGAGCAATGAAATTTCTGAGATCAAATCTGTAATTGCGTTTGTGAATGCCTCCATAGGGCTATAGTCTGAGGTAGTCTGTATCCGCACAACAATCTTGTGCTCTAAGGGGTGGGGGTTCTTATAGCCTGCAAACAACACTTGAGGGTCTTTCAACAATTGTCTGCAAATGCAAGGATACATTCATTACACAAAGGCCTATCTACAACCAGGGGTAAGGCCAGGGAAACTGTTTAAAAAATTGAGTTTGAAGAGAAAATATTTTCTACTGATTGGACAATCTTTGATTTAAAATTATACATGTTCTTGGGCCTATGCTTTCTGACAACAGGCAAGCAAATGAATTCAATTCAATTCAATAAATAGTCTGATTGAGCATTTGAAATATAGCTTTGAAATCTCGTTGAAGTCTCGTTTTTAATGAGATTTTAGGATATTACATTTTTAACCATAAAGAATCCACATTCACAAAACAAATGTCATGAACACAGACTGGCTGCTGATTCAACATGGAATGTCCCTGGAATAATTTATATAAGCTCTACTATTCAAAAAGCTCCACATGTTTTTGTTTCACCCAAATATAAAAGGAACAATATGAAATATATTTGGAGCACAAGACAACCATGTGGGTTTACGTAGTGTAGTTATATTTCAACTATGATTGGCTCTTATGGCCATGACACGCCACATATACATTAATTTAAAGTAGTTGTACACAATGAAGGTTAAGGAGGTTTTACACAATACATTACACAATATATTTCTTTAACTGATCCTTTGGAAAATTACTTTACTCACCCTCTTATCATATTCCCCAATGTGTGGTCCTCCTTATTTACTGTAAACATAGCTGCATTTGGAACCTTCGTGTCTTTGACGATTTCAATTCTGAAAATGTACAATAAAACAATAGTCTATATGATTTTTCAGCCATTGGAAAATGACCTTGCCTGTTACATACTCAGGGGTTTCACTAGCAGCAGGCAACACTCACAAAATTGCCTGTTGTTTTCAGGGACTTTTCCATGTTAAATTTACAATTTCCATTAATTTTGCCTGTTGTTTTCATTCATTTAGCCTGTTGTGAGAAATATTCTAGTGAAACCCCTAAAACTGTATTGCTAATGACTAAGTTTGGGATAACTTGCTATGAGGGAGGCGAAAAACATTTAATGTCTGAAACCATGAACAGTTTTTCTTGCATTATAGAAGTATTAACAACTTTGACTAAAATCTTATCTCTCCTTTTTAAAATTGTCTCACCTATTGAAAAATGTATGTTAGTATAGACTGCAAATATTTGACAACTTTGACATACTGGCTGCTATATATTCATGCAAACAGTGACTTGTAACAAAGTAATGCAATATAAATATGAGGAACATGGCCATTGTGCTAAAAATGAATATAGGAGAGGTTAATTTGCAACAAATACTGAAGAGAATGGTCTTTCTCTTTTGTAGTATCATGTACATCCTATTTTTCGACAAAAATTCAATTGGGCCAATATTTTCTCTATGAAAAAAACACTGTCATGTAAGGGCACAACTATCTGTAAGTCCATTTGAAATTAAACTTGAAATTTTGGTAATTAGGAGATAAATATTTAAAATATGAATGCAATTTAAAATAGGACAAGCTTTTGCGCTCAATAATGAAAATGTGAAGACTTGAAATCATGTGGTCCTAACTTGGACCGTTAATTTGAATTTTTGACCTACTGGATGTTTGAAAATCAAGGATTACGAGTCTCATACTGCACCATTTTTCTTTAAACTTGTTCCATTCAAAGCATAACAAAAATCCCTTTCTGATGGTACATTATTCTCTCTAACAGAGTCCCTACTTCCAGCGGCATTTTGGTCCCCAGCTTTAAGAAGGCCTTCTAACAGCTGGGGACCAAAACACTGCTAGAACGAGGGACTCTTTACAATAAAGTAATGCAATATAATAAAGTAATTTTGTTATGCTTTGAATAGAACAAGTTTGAAGAAAAATGGTGCAGTATGAGACTCGTAATCCTTGAATTTCAAAAATCCGGTAGGTCAAACATTCAAATTAACGGTCGAAGTTAGGACCGTGTGGAAATGAAGCGGTTGTATGTGATAAATATACATTATCCAGTCATAATTGTCAAGTAATATCTTCTGGCCATTATACACTAAAGGGCTCAGGATCAACATTCTGTAAGCATATTATTGCGTAAGCGCATTCAAAATTTCATTGTAACCACTTGAACTCAATTGACGAATGTACATGTAAAGCAAAATGATCCTTTTTTAAGTTCTAAACTTTTGGGTGATTGCATTTATGGGGAGATCTTGGGGTCTGAACCAACAGTAAGTAAAATGAGACAATAAACCAGTAAAAGTTTACTCTATTATCGCCCACCATCCAAACAATCATGGCAATGTTTTGCATGAATTATGCACCACCCGATGAGTATAGCCCATTGATCAGCATCTAAAATAATCCCCACCATTCAAATAACTCCAAAAGAAACAATACTTACTTCTTCTCCCCATCAAAGAGGAGAAATGACTCGAAAGTTGGCGGAGCATTCATTGTAAATTCGTATTTTTGAAAATGTAAGGTAACACTCCACTAAAATTAAAACAAGAATTCACCATTTCCGGTTTGAAAGAATTACGGAACTACCAGACTATATCATCAAGCATTTTCCTCTCCAGGAATAAGTCATGGTTTATAAGATGCTTTATAATCACTCTAAATGTTTGTCTATATTTCATAAGATATTTAGCCAGCAATCAATGGGAGCCTATTTACTAGTGTTATACCATAGATGACACTTCCGGGTCAAAAACTCTAAAAATGTCCAACGATCCAAAATGGAATAAAAATGTAGAAGATTTACGTGGAAAGAATGAAGCAAATCTACCTTCGGACGCATGGATGGTAAGGTGATCATAATATATTGATCCGAATCATAATTTGCACTCTCCAATCATCTTTTAATTGTCATGAAATCAATTTGAAATGCTAGCATGTTTATTTTCCCCAATTATCGCCCACCAATTTAATCATATTAGAGATTTAGTAAACATTATTTAATTTGGTTGCCGAAAGACTTTGTCCAGCATCCCCCGAGTTGAACTATAGTTTTGTCTCGCAGAAGTTTGCTTCAATAGTAGTAATAACGTCAAACATCAAATATGTCGGAAAATGGTAAATGTCGAAGTTACCCCATTCCTCATGTCGACATTACCCCACACGTCGACGTCACACCCCTTTGCCCTAGATGAGAAACGCTGGTGGTGAGTTAGACTATTGGAGTTTTGACTTACATGCATACCATACTTTACAGGTACATGTGTTCACGTAGAGTACATCAACGGCTGACAAATTACAGTGGCCATATCTCATACCAGGAATATAGGCCTGAAAATGTCCCAATCTTTTGCCTGTGTGATTATGATATGGTAGAATAATCCATGCCTCTCACACTTACAAATACCTACCTCAATAAATTCCTGGATATTCTAGAATTCAAACACATTGCTCCATTGGCTGGTGTGGATCCGTCAGTGGATCCCCTGCATGGATCTACTCTTACATGTATGTTGGAGACTAAAAATGTGAAATTATCAATGTGTGTATTCCTGAAATATTTCATAGGCGTAGCCAGGGGGGTACTAGTCAAGTGAACTCGACTTAATGTTGTTGTTTCACGTTTCTTTTTGACGATTTGGATATTTGTTTTTTATTTTTGTTTTCAACATTTGCGTCGAGGATATTAAGCCCCGTATATTGCGGTAAATGCTTTTCTGCCCTCTATGCCCAACAAAAGTTACACAGATAAGATAATGGATCCAATGCTTCAACTAGAATATATTAAATCTTACCTTAAACACAGGAAACACTTGATAATTGAAGAAATGTAATCATTTTGGTATATGTTTGAACCAATTTCCAATATGGCTTTCAAGGTCACTCAAGGTCACTGAATACAGTCTAAATGTGAAACCATGCAACCAAAACGAAATCGTAATTATATATTACCAACATATCTGTTTTCGGTTTCTTCACCCTCCTTGGTGTCTGAGAAGGCGATTCATGTCATAAGACGATGATTAACTTTTTCGAGTTGAAATCTCGATCTCAATATGGCTGCCGTTATTTATTGTTATTTCGTTTTTCGCTTCACCTAGAGTTTTACTTTTACACAATCATTACCCAGAATGCATCTACACATGGGGAAAAAATTTGTTTCCAGAAAAATTCTTATACTTCTTCAATTATCAAGCGTTTGACGTGTGTAAGGTAGGATTAAATACATTATCGATGAAGAGCATATTCTAATACATAATTTGTGTGATTTTGGTTGCCTAAACAGGCCAGGAAAGCATTTCCCTCAATTTACAACCGGCAAGTGTGTACGACCCTAGTATGCAAGAAAATAACAAAAAATAAATATCCAAATTATCAAAAAATAATGAGAAATAAAGCATACGACGGTCGGATTTATATGACTAGGGGGGTACACCCCTTATAACCAATAAAGGAAGGGTCAATATAACCTACTTGAGATTTGTTTTGCTCATCGTATAGGAAAAGTAGTACTTAATATACTAGTTCGCTACTTTGTAGATGTATGGCACGTATATGTGTACATGTATTGGCAATTAATGTTTGGTGATAGCTAGTAGGAGTGTCAGGGACCGCTGACAGATTATTATTTTGAACCAAAAAATTTAATTATATTTTTGGCGGTCTCAGTTAATCAATGGGGTAATCAGGTCCTACGTGCTTTTTACAGGCCCAGAATCAATGCTCGCTTATAAATGTGGCAAAATCTTTTTTCGTTTGTTGGATATTTTTTTCACCATATAACCGAACGGGAAGTTTTTGAATAGGACTACATGATCTGAATGGATGTGAGGATTCAATGGGCTGGGATTTGAGAAATTATGATTTGAACTTTGCCAATTTTACATGTATTCCAATGGGTGAAAAAGTAAGTTGCTTTCTACCTTAAGCGCTAAGATGCTTTTTATTTGCAGCTTAGAGTTCAATTTTGAAGGTAGTTGCATCAATTTTTGTTAAATTCAAAACAAATCTTAAAATGGGGTCGCTAATGCCACAATCACACCCTCCCTGACTGAAAACTGAAATTTTCTGGCGTTACCACCCTGACGAGTGAAAGCTGGCTACACCCCTGTATTTGGTATAGAAAATAATGCCTGAAGTTTAGTCTTTTCTATTTCCAGGTGCGACCATGTGAGGCCTTCAAAGATGAGTACTCAGAATGCAAAAGTAAGTTACTATAATGCTATTAAGTTTTAGGGACAACAGGCCCTTAGCCAGGATTTTCTAAGGGGGTTCACTTTTGACAATTTTGGTCCAAAAATGCCCAAAATTACTTAAAAGTGCTCAAAATGGTGAAAAACTCCATGGTTTTGAAAGAATTTTTGGCCAGAGGGGTTCGCTCGAACTACAGGCTACAGGCCTGGACAATATATAGGGGTAATGCACTGGGAGGTTTTCGATACAGGGAATATCTCGAGGGATATATACAACATATCTTCCCGAGGGACTAAAGGGACCAAGAGACGATATATCAGCGATTGCATTAGGTTAGAAAATTTCTGAGTCCCAAGGACGCAATTTTTTTTAAAAAGTGTGTCCTTTGAAAAAAAAGTGTGTCCCTTATTTTTCAGTTTTTGATTTCTTGCCGCGAATTTAAAATGGAAGTAAACGTTAAGTACGGACTGAATAAATGCATGTTCGTTCATTCGACAATGAAAACATTTTATTTCATGAATAACCTAATATTTGTTTCTGAATAGGAAAAACTGTTGCGTTTTGGGCCTTTTGGGCCTTTTGGCAATTTCAACAGACTGAATTTTTTCGACCATTTGCCGCTCGCTTCGCTCGCATTCTCCTTCATATTTGGAGGTGCTCGACTCAATATATTGAAAATAGAAGGATATATATAGGATGTCCCGATGTAAAATCATAAAATCAGTATTTTCCTGCCACTTAAATGCAAACTGTATATGAGCAATTGATCTATTTGACTTGTTCATTTCTTAATGTGTATTTCAATGTTGCCCCTTGTTCCTCCTCACTCTGATGTAAATAATAACTCAATATTCCTTTCTGACACATTATTAATTTCAATGAAATATAAAGATCAACATTCAATAGTTTGATATGGATTTTTGACTTGTAATATTTTATTTGTTTTCAAATGTTGCCCTTTGTGCTTCCTCACTATGATGTGAGATAATGCCAAGAGGATCAATTGTATTACAGTGTTTGTTTTATCCATTGAAAGTTGGCAGGACAGTGATAAAGTTTTTTTGCTACTGACCCATTAGTCTCAAAGCAATGATGTTTTGGTTTTGAGAGTAGGTCAATAAAAATGGTGGCCGGATTATTGTAAGATAATTATCTTAGTGTTTCTGTAAAACACTGCTGATTATCTGCCTATTATACTTAGATTTTGCCTTCACAAGGTTGGCCAATTTATACTCTTTCATTTGATATGTCAAACTTAATTGATTTGTCTCATGTGTCAGCAAAATCTCTCATCATTTGGACCGGCAATTGGTTTAACTGGGGTTTGAAGACCTAAAAAAAATTTGCGTCCAAAAAACGGAAATATTTTCAATTTTTGCGTCCTCCAAATTATTTTTGAGTCCTTAACATGTACGGGACGCCGTTAATGCAAGCCCTGTATATTGTATATCACAAGGGATATTTCCTATATGAAGACCGACCGTTCTGAAATAGTTATGATGTATATAGCCATGGTATTGCCCCGGAGAAGGGCTTGAGCGGGAAATACGCTTTATATATCCTGGATCCTTGTTGGAGCGGGACATATAAAATATATTCACCCGGATATGGAATATATTTCCGGTTAATATGTCCCTGAAACCTCATCAGGTTTGGAATACACACATATACTGCAACTGCCAGATTGTTGTATAAACAATAAATGTGTGCTGCAGAAAGCAGAACAATAGCAACTATACCCTTTATGTTATGAAATAATCCTATAGTACCCCCTGAAATCGTAGGAATTGAAGTCCAATTCGGCCGTGAAAATTGTTTTTACCACTTTAAAGCCCATCACCTTATATTTTCTTAAACCAAAGAGGTAACTCTAACATATTGTATTGCCAAAAGTTACTTCTTGCAACCTTCCGGCAAAAGTGTGCCAGCAACTGATACAAATAACAAAACTTCTTGGAATTATGACGTCATGATTCAATGAACCAAAACGTGCCATCAGTGAAAAGTCAAATAGGGACCAAAATATGTCACAAAACATTTAATAAATATCGCTTATTAAGCAAATCCCACGTCACCACGTGTAATATGAAACTGCTGACACATTATTGATTGGATGACATGTCCAAATACATCCATCATTAAATACAGTAGAACCTGTGTAAGTGGAACACCATTGGGACCACCTGGGTGGTATGTTCCACTTACAGAGGTTCATTAACGTTGAGTAGATAGGCCAGGGGACTTTAAAAACACTGTTCCACTTGTGAGGTGTTCCACTAATAAAGGTGTTCCACTAGGCAGGTTCAACTGTGAAATTGATTCTTTTAGGTTTAAATTACTTTTCAGTTGTCCTTTAAAGAGAACTTCATCTTCACTCTTTCAGTTTACAATAAATCTCTGAACTCAACCAGCCGATCAATGTTCGTAGTCAAAATATGTACAACTTTCTATATATGGTCATTTCCTCAGATGTCATTGCATAATTAATGAGCATGCATTTGGGACGTGTTCCATCCATTAAAAATTTGAGTAACATATGAAATCATTTGATTTTTCCAGGTTGGAAGGGAAGGTTTCACCAGACATATGTTTATGGAAATCACTTCGACTGTAGCCGCTGGAAGGAAGATTTTGAGAACTGTATGAAGTTTAGGAAATATGACGATCTCGATGCTTTAGTAAGTACAATTTAGTATTTTAATCTTTGGACAATTGAAAAATATTGTTTTTTGGCAAACACTGCACAATAGGAGTGTTTCAGTCTTCAGTTACCCTGCGTGCAGAGTCTAGTTAAACTACACTCTGCCTAGTAGATACCATATTACAGTTTAGTAGCCCCGCCCCCACGACGAGTATCGGTGACAGTTTGGGTAAATCACTTTTGACCAACGCGTTGACCTTCCACCAATCAGCGAGCTTGAAGAAACATACGCCAAATGCGTTCTAATTAAATTTGCGCTTGTCATTGGTCAATTCCGGGCTCAACGATGACGTCAGAAGGAATGACCATATAAAGAACGTCGGTCAAATTTGGCCAACAAACACTGATTGGCGCGGTGAGTTCACAAGTTTATTTTAGTTTGAAAGAGTGAAGACGAAGCTCTCTTTTAAGAAGTGAAGTCAAACGAATGCAAAGGGTAGTCTTCAGTTGATATTTCGGATCAAAGAGTCTTAAATAATCAATGGGAGTCAGGACTTGTATAGATGGCAGTCCACTTATTTTCTCTACTAGGTTCTACTTCACACTTGTCTCATTGGGTTGTGTGTAAATTTTGCTGTTTTCAAACTTCAAATTCACTACATGAGTCAAATAAATATCAATTTTTCTTCTTAATTATTCGCAAACATGTTTTAAAATTCAATATACAAATGTTTTGGATATTTTAAATAACATTTATCATTGGAGATTTAGGAGCAATTTTTACATGTTAAAGTATACAATTAAACCCACTGAATTTTTCGCCATCTATTTTTGTCCTTGAGGCCATTACAATGTATGTAGATCATTTTTATGTCACCAGGTACAAATAAAATTTAAATACGGAAGTCATATTTTCCCTTTAAATGAGTCAAATATTGCCTCAATATAGCCTGTTGTACTTGGTTACATAATATTACATAATATTAAATACAACCAAGGGTCAATAGTTAGGAATTATAAAACAAAGCTACTAGTTTATTTACAAATAAACTTAAAAGGCAAAGGGCATATTGACATGTTAGCTTGATATACTCTTATATAATAACAAATAAAACATCTTAACTACTACTTTGACTACAAATAAACATCAAAGTCAAGGGGGATTTTGACATCTTAAAGGGGCAACAAGACATGTAGAGAGTAAATTTTTTACTTTTTTTCTGAGCTATCAAGGCAAAATTTGGTTTAAAATCTTCTTTGACATACCTATTTTCTTAAATTGTACGAATAAACTATCAATTTCGGCATCAAGAAGTGTAAATTCAGTTCAAAGCTTCTATTAAGGGAGTCCCATTTAAAAACTTTTAAGATCCACCATGTTTCAAGAGGAATATCAGCTGAAGTAATGTTCACCCAGGGGGTTTCTTTGGAGATAATTAAAATATATGTTAGTTTTGATGGAATATCCAAACTTAAACATATTTTGACACTGGTCCACTAATTGTTGTACCTTTAAGTTGTTCAAATCTGCTCATTACACTACTTTTCCACTATTTACACTTTTCCACTATCCAATTCTTTTTTTTGCAAGGGCTAAAACTAATGTTAAATTTTGCAAGGGCATGCAAAGGTTAACTTACCCTTGTAAATAATTAATGAAATTAACCTTTAAGTATTGTGTGCCATCACTTTATCTTTAGTTACAAACTACTGATACCCTAACATATGTTACCATGGTAATTATGTGTAAATTATGAAATATAGAAATTTACTAGAATTAGAATGAAATGCAAGGTAGACAGGCCCTACCCTTGAAGATGTGCAAGTTTTGAGCAATTTACAAAAAACGTTTTTAACATAATCATTGAATGATTGGAATGTATTTTGAAGGGTTGTGCTACAGTAACTGAACCAACCAATTCAGAATATCTTTTCTCAGTACTATATTTGACTGGAAATTATCTGCACAGAATGCATAATTAGCAAAAAGGATTTTACCTGAATTGACTCATTATAAAGCATATTTAAAACATGGACTCGTGTACCAATGCAGAAAATTCTAATTAGTGCCAAGACTGATTGTAGAAAATAATATAAGCTCAGGATGTACAATCAGCCCTTCAGATTTATATTGCATATATTTTTACAGTCGAATACATAACTGTACTATATGCTATATTATAAAACAGAAAATTCTACAGTGCATAGTAATACACACAGATAGTAAACCACCTTGAATGACTTACAGACCTTTCAAGTGGAGTAACGATGTGAGACGAGACGAGGAAATATATGCAGGAGTTTTACAGCACAGATCTAATGAACATAAAAACTGAGTTAAAAATCAATATCTGTACTCTACTGATGAATCATAGAAAATCTGTGAATGATAATTAAATCGCGAAACAGAAATATCTAGTTCATTACTACTAGGAGAAAAAATATAGAACGCATACAGTACAGGCGTTCTTTTTGGATGTGCACAGAGCTACGGAAAGCTAATTGTATAATCGATGCAAAAATAGTTGGCTTATGTTGATGAAGAGGCTTTAGAGTGACTATATGGTATTGCTCCATGATTCAGCTGCATAATTTAGCTGCACAATTCAGCTGCATAATTTCTGACTAAATTAAAGAGTTGGAAGATATGATTCAAGGTATCAATACAACTGAGCACAGGATATTATACAATAACAAAAATACATAAATAATGTAAAAAAAACAAAAAAATATTTGATACTCTGGTACATTTACAATCATCGAACAGTATATAGCACTTGGATTGACCTTGACCGTTAGACCCTATTGTCTACTAGCTAGTACATTAGGTAGAAGAAACTCCCTTTTAAGTGGGAAAATTGTTAGAAAGGGCATGATGCTCTGAATGATTGCATGATACTTCAAAATATACTGGAAACAAACCACATGCTTTAATTATCGATCAATTAAACGTGACTAATTCAATCGATTGCAATCGACAGTATTGATTGGAAATTGGGATTAAAGCAATTTGATTAACATATGTATTAATTCTGTACCAACTTCTCATTGGATATAATTAGTGAACTACAATACTGTAATACAAGCTGTACCCATTCAACTGATATTTTCAACCTACTACTGCACAGTACAGATACACAGAGCATTACACTTTGTGTGGGAATTGTACAGTTGCGTGTTAATGCAAAATTTATTTTTGGCTATTGGCACAAACTGGGAAAATCATAGTTAGTTAAATTACATACAGCTCAACTACTGCATGTAAATAGTGCTATGCAATGAATTTTAAATAACATACTACAATGACGATGACTTTTACAAAAATACTTTCTGAAAAATACAGGTTAACTAATGATGATTGTAGGAAGTTTCACTTAAAGGGGCTGTCCTCAGAAGGACATTAAGTGAGTTATCTTGTATCGTAAAATAGCTGTGAAGGATTGCATTGACATTACAAGTTCTAATAAGGACATTAAGTGAGTTATCTTGTATAGTAAAATAGCTGTGAAGGATTGCATTGGCATGACAAGTTCTCATGAGGACATTGGCATATAAGGCCATAGTTGATGTATTGACTATTAAACACATTAAAAAACTTGAACTAAATATAAATTCGCCACAAAAGTGTAAAAACACAGTTTTAGATTTACATTTATGTAAAAACAAAGTTTTAGATTTATATTTCTGTAAAAACAAAGTTTTAGATTTACATTTTAGTAACTGACCTCGAACACTTCAAGGATTATGATGCTGTAACAAGAAATTAACCAATCTACATAATATTGCTTTTGTAATTAGGCTACTAGGTGAAATGGATATCTCAAAATCACTGGTTGATATAAACTCTCAATTACATTCCGCATTGTACTTCAAAAATGCTGAAAAACTTGTCGAACTGCTAAATAACGGAGCTGATCCAAACTATGTACATGAAGATGTCGCAATTTTTTTACACGCTGTATTCTGCGCATACCACTTTGTGAGTTTAGCTGATTACGAATGTGTTAAAATACTGTTGAACTTTGGAGCCGATCCGAATGTGATTAATCCTGGGGGAATGACACCACTCAAGGCTGCGATTGCATTGAATGATCCTAATATGGTCGAAATTCTGCTTCAAAACGGGGCAAATGTTTCGCATCCTAAAACCAGTATATCTGAATTCCTAGCTAAGTTACCTGCATGGAGTGAATTGCATTATGGGAAAGTTGTTATTTTGTGGGATTCGGACAATACGTATAATGAGAATGACTTTTTTAAATCACCCATTCATATCGCCATAGATAACAGAGTGCGTCACTTCAAGGAAACTGATGTCAATGCAAAATATGGTGAAATGTACCTCAAGGACAATGCTAAAATTGTTGAAATTCTTGCTCGACATGGTGCTAAACTAGCAGTGAATGGAAGTACCCACAATTCTGATTTGAAATATGCTGGGATTGGTTTAACCTCCTGTGCTTATGTTCAATTGACCGCTGCAGCTTCATCAAGCAATCCTATTGGTGAAGAACTTGAATCAATCGACAGATCAGCCACCGCTTTATTTGAACGTGACATCGAATTCTACATCCAGTTATTACGTATTGGAGTGATACCATATCCTTATAAAGGAATACTTAAACTTTATGTGCAGTACAAAACTGGAAAACTCACAAAGACTTTATCGGATATTACCTTAAAAATTCTAGAAAGTCTAGTTCCACCCTATGTAACCCTCATAGAGAAAAACTATCAGTTGATATCAAAGGCTGAGAAAATAAAGTTTGAATTAATTAACCAGACTGTTCCATCATTAGGGAATATCGCAAGAATGAATATACGAAGATGTTTAATCGAGACTGAAAGAAAAGTAAATATAATGAACCTTGAGGAACGTATTAAGGAATTAGAGGTTCCCAATGAACTGAAATACTACCTGTGGTATTACGATCTATTGGCTTTTCTTGAATGATCAGTACATTAATGTGTGACCAGGCGTCTGGGGTCCCTAGCTAAAAATTCTTTCAAAATCATGTAGTTGTCACCATTTTGAGCACCTCGAGTGATTTTGGGCCAGAATTGTCAAATTTGAACCACCTTGAATTTCTAAAAAAAAACTGAACCCCTGCTTGTCTTATTGTAAACTCATAAGACTGTCTATCTGTTTTGTTTGGTCTCAGGTAGAACCTCTTCTAATATCAGACTAGCATATGGGCTCAGAGTAAGGGCTGTTGATCCATTCTCACTGGTCAGTATCTAATGAAAGTAACAGCCGAAACATTCGCATCGAAGATGGCGGAAGGTAATAGTTGACGTATGCTTTGATATTTGAACCAGATCAGGCTGTAACCTTAGCTTGGTACTGACCAGTGATTCTCAAATATCAGTATACGAGGGGTGATCCAAAAGTCTTGGACGCCTTGCTCCAACTTTGCTATTTTCTTATATAAATGCATGAAACTTTCAGATAATAAAGATCAACATCTTAACAACTTTTTGTATAAGTTTCAAAAGAAAATAGTATATTTTAGGTACTTTCTTAAATAGTTTTTGATACCAGGTCCCTGCCACCCGGAACGGTATTTAAATATAGCAAATCGCGTCACAACTGTTATAATATGGCAAATACTTTAGGTGCAGATGCACAACCTAACACCAGTAATGATATGAGAGAATTTCCGATTTTCAGTCCGAGTGTCATCTGCCCTCATCATCTTTACATATTAAGACCTACTTTTCAACATATTTTCCACGAATTCGAACACATTTTTCATACCGCTTTACCAATGAATGAAAGACACTTATGAAACCGTCATTGCTTATGTGATACAAATGCTGCTGGAGTGCCACTCTAAACCTCATCCAATGAGCAAAAAACATTTCCTTTCAATCCTCCTTTCAACTTGGAGAAAAGGAAGAAAATCACACAGAGCCATATCTAGACTGTATTGTGCATATGGTAGCTGCTCAATGTCAATAATAGTGAAAATATATAGCATTATTCTTTGTTCCACTTTCATTTCTTTCATGTTCTGCATTTCAGCAGCCATCTTGGAGCAAAAATGATACCAGAATGAGGACTGATTGTCTGATGTCATTTTCTTAGAACTTGACATATACGGCCATTGTCATATGTGACAATATGATTAAAACACAATTAATTGGTTGCCTAGTACAGGGTTCGTACACCTTTTTCAAAATGAATTTCCCTGACAATTCCCTGACATTTCCAGGCAAAAAAGGAAATTTCCAGATCTAATTTTCCTCGCGCGCCCTCTAAAAAGTCTCAAACAACTGTATTATTCAAGACAAAAAGACTTATTATGAAACATTTGGGGTTTCTCCTTCAGTACCATTTCTGATGACTTAACTACTTGTACAGGCAGTCTTATTCACCAATTTATTTCTGATACATTTTATTTTTAATATTACATATTTTACATTGCATAAGGCATACATGTACAGGGGCATAGCCAACAAGTATCAAGGAGGTGCATCTTTTGGGGTTTGCATCACTGCGATCGAAGGAAAACCAGAAGGGGGGTACGGGGGTTCACCCCCGGAAATTTTTCAAAATTGACAATTGTATATGGTGCATTCTAAGCATTTCAAACTATAATTTGTTAATGTTTTGTAATGAATCCAAATGACAACTGAAACTTTAAAATTTTGATCTAAATCCTACTAGAAAAATAGCAACTCACTTGAGGGGCAATTCCCACCTAATGAAACATATTTCTATTGAATACTATCATTGTGAACATTATATGATAGCAATAACCTGGCATTACTATTGTCTTCTCCATTTTGGGAAAATTACACCAAAACAATTGACACCATATTAGAAACTCCTTCTCAAGTAGCATCACCAGATCACGAAAAGGCTCAGGCCTATGATACCAACTCAAATAATCGGTATTTGTGTTATCAGGAATCAAATTTCTTTAAATTATCAAAAATTTCATTAAAAAATGGTGGCATTTTTGAATTCAGAGACCATCTTGAATATTTCTTCTTGAGCAGGTCCTTTGTCCCTAAGGCTACATCATACAAAATTTGAGCCAAAGTAAAATGCTGGGTTCATCTTTACAAGAAGAAAAATTTGGACCAAATTCAAAAACTGTTAATAGTACCCCACACACATTTTGGTTGCCTACTTCCATCTGCTAAGGTTTTCAAAATTGGCAAAGCCCCTGAAAGTTGAAAAGACTGACGTACGATCGGACTGTCGAACAGACAGCTTCTTAATATGAATACAATTTTACATTGTAAAGAGCTCCCAGATTTTTTTTTGTTTTTCACCTCCCCCCCCCCCCCTCAGATTAACCCCTCATCAAACCATGAAATATATACTAGTAATTAACTTTGAATGGCCTAAGACTAAGCTTAAAAAGCATAATTATATTAAATCATCTATACATTATTTTTATTGTTCGGTTTCAGTGTAATGTTCACACTGTTCTTACAAATAGACAATACCAGATCTAATGTCATTCAACCAACCCTAATGAAAAGATTTGCAATTTGTGGAAACAACTAGATGATTTTGGATTTCACTTATATCCTGTCATAGCCATAAAATGTATTTTGCTGGAACATTATTCTTTCAACATTGATACAATTCCCTGACATTTCCCTGACACATCTACTGTTTCAAAATTCCCTGACATTTTTGGCCCTTTTTGACCCAATTTTAAAATTCCCTGACATTTCCAGCACCTGGAAAAATAAATCAATTTCCCTGACATTTCCAGGTGTGTACGAACCCTGTAGTAACAAAGGAAGTAAACTAACATGGTTTAATATTCAAAATTTAAGGAAAGATAGTGGTCAAGACTTGCAAAACAAGTCAAATAGCGACAACATTTAAGGCTGAAAGTTGCCATGTGCGAATACCGTTCCGGGTGGCAGGGTCACTATATTAATAACTATCGAGAAAACTACATAAAATATATCATTTCACCATGAAATTAATACACAAAGTAGTTAGGTTGTTGGTCTTTATTATTGGATAGTTTAAAGTAATTTTATCAAAAACCAACAAAATTAGAGCAGGGTGTCCAAGACTTTTGGATCACCCCTCGTACAACAGACTATATAATGGTTTTTGAAAACACTAAAATTTTATATTATGTCAGGTTTTGAAAACACTCAAATTTTATATTATGTCAGGTTTTGAAAATACTCATGTTTTATATTATGTCACGTTTTGAAAACATTCAAGTTTTATATCATGTCAGGTTTTGAAAACATTCAAGTTTTATATGAAGTCACCCGAATTGAAAGAAAATTAAATACTTAATGTCAGGTCTTGAATTACTTCAGAGCCCAGAATTATATGTCTATATGGCACATTTTGATTTTGCGTAATTTTGAATTTCTATTGCCACCTCATTCATTCAATCGGCACATAAATTGCATAATTTACATTTTGCTCAAAGAATACCTCATCTGATGTTTCACTGCTTTATCAATTATGAGATAAAGAATGTCTAAACTTAACAAAAACTCCCAAAAAAGTTTAAAATCACCCACATTGGAAATGGTGTTACAGATGGTGAGGGGTACAGTCAGTTATTTCTACTTGAAATATGGATTTTTGGAAGTTTTTGCTGTAACATGATTGCATAATTTGCTGCATAATTTGTATTTACCCCTGCATAATTCTGGGATCTGTGATTTACTCAATTATTTTTGGTCAGGTAATTGAAATAAACCAATATGTCATATCAGGTTATGAAAATACTCAGTATATTATGTCAGATAATAGACATAATAGAATATAATGTCAGGTCTGAAAAAAACTTTTTTAATTATGTCAGGTAATGGACATGATCAAATGTATATAAAGTCACGTCATGCATATACTATACAGTGAAACCTGTAAAATGGAACACCTCTGAAAGTTAAGCACCTCCATAAGTGGAGCACTCTTAAAACTTCTACTACCTATAATCTCATAATGTAAAATGAACTTCTGCAAGTGGAACACCTTCTTTGTGGAACATTATTTTGATGTTTCAAATGTTTTCCACTTACATAGGTTTCATTGTACTATATTTATGTCAGATATCAAGACATAATCAAATATATAATGTCAGGTCATTTATATACAAACTTGTATTTAATATGTCAGCTCTTGTCCACTAAATCACAATACTCAATTATGTCAGGTCGTCAATCACTGAATTTAGTATTTTTTAAATATTATTTAGAGAATATTCTATGTTTTTAGGGGCGTGGTTTTTATCTACACATGTCTATTTTATTTGCCACAAGTTAGTGTATACAATAATGTTTTTATTGAATGTATGTTTTGTAACCATAGCTACCATAACAGTTTGATAAATAAATTATACTCAAATACATGTTATCCCACAATTGTAGAAAGATGAAGAACAAATAATGTATGGTGAATAAATATGCTTTAATTGGTCAAAACTGTATTTAGTTGCATTATTCATAATTTCATTTTTGCCAATTAATAAATTTATTACAAGAAAATGTTTTAAAACATGCAATTGAATTCAAAGTTTACAATTGAACATTTGGAAACAGAGAGCTCATATATACAATGTACATGTACAGGGTGATCAATAAATAAGGTAAAAGTATCTGGCATTTTGTAAATATTGGTCCAAACATCCTGAAATTTGGTCAGAATATACCTTGTACATTTCTAAATTATAACATATAGATATATAACTTCTGCCATCTGATTGGTTAATATTATAGTTACTATGGCAACTAGAGTCGGGGGTACCCGGGGCAATTTCATTGCGTCCAATTTGAACAAAAAATTATAAAAAGCACATCTTTTTCAAACTGAAAAGAAATAAACGAGGGTGCCAGCATTAATTGTTTTAATACTTTGTTTACATTGTTACATATTTTCTTGCAAATTTGATGTTTGATGTCACGGAAAAGATTAATATATAATGAAAACTGATGTGACCATAGCAAGTCTATGACACAGGTCAATGATGAAAAACAATACCCAGAGAAGAGATTTGATGAGAGAAAAGAGAAAGAAGCTAAGACTTAGAGGTCTGCAAAACGTTTCACATTGCACTGGGATAATGCTCCTTCTCACAATGCCATTCTCACGGTACAAACCATTGAAGCACTAGGTTTCCCACTGTTAGGTCATGTACTATACTCTCCTGACTTGTCCCTTTATGATTTTACTGTCATGGTGAGCTGAAGAGGGAGTTGAGAGAGTTTTTCATGGGATGACTTGAAGCCAGTTGTTTTAAAAATTTGCAGGCTATGGGAAAATGGTTTTAAAACAAAGACTGGAGTAGAAGACATGAACTATATGTTAAAAACAAAGGACATTAAGTAGCAGTTATGAAGTATGAAATAAGAATATGATATGTCATTTTAATTGTGATTTGAAATATATTATCAAAAGTGTTTCGGCTGAAAATTTAGTTTTTTTAAAGTTGCCCCGGGTCTTCATGCTTTCTGTTGCTATGGCAACTATAACTTCAACCAATCACATCACTTTAATCTGTAACTTGATATATCAATTCAATAATGTTTAAACATTATTCTGTGCAAATTTTATGAGGATTGGGTAAAATCTGAAGAAATGCCAGATACTTTTACCTTATTTATTGATCACCCTGTATATGTATTTTCATCCATGATTTTCAACTTGTTTATTCTGTAAAATAAAAATTCAACTTTGATTCAGATATTTCCCAATCCCTGTTCTGTACAGAGACATATAAATAGAAAAAAAATTGTCAATACAACCTTTTTAGAATACTGTAAATTGCTTTAATTTGACATTCATTTTAATATTTGCGGATTGATAAAATCTGCTGAATTATAAGTTTCCGCCAATTCCATTCCGCCATTTCCGGAAGGTCTAAAAAATAAATAAAAGCCTGTTATATTTTTTTAAGAAAAAAACTTGAGTGTATCCAATATCTTAATTAGTTGAGGCAATTTATTCCCAAGATATGACTACCATTAGATTTAATGTGTAATTCAGTGAATATACAGGGTGTCCCCAAAAATTGTACAGAGACAAACACAGAATAACTCCATGCTTCTGGTTAGAATATGACTTGTGAAAGATGCAGAACAGGTTTAATTTACATCTCAATAGAGTTAAGTATTTGTATGATGTCTATCTTCAAGAAACTTCAGGCAGGTATAAGTTTTAGTATTATTTTGAGCAATTTTTGTTATTTATCTATTTACATTGTACATATTTTATGTTTCAGGACAAAGTTCTCAAACATGAGAAAGAGCGGAGGAAAAATCGGTTACGAGCGGCTCACAATAATGACGTTTGGGAATACAGATCAGAGCCATATAAGGAGTGGAATTCTCCGTTATCAGAAGCCAATGCCCAACAAGCAGAACAGACGTTATTTGCAATCAAAGAAAAGGAAAAACTTTATAAACAAAACAAAGAACAATCTGGAGGTTCTATGTGTGTTATATCATAGCATTTTATATATGATCTAGGCAATTTTCTTAAAGAGGCAGCAAAGAGAGACGAGTGAGGGTAACTTTTTGAAAAAATTCACAACCACATTTTTTCTTCTCCCAATCATATTCAGATATTCTTGACTATTTCATAAATTCATACAAGGCCTGGGAGGACTTTGATAATTTCGTAAAATCTGGTGATTTGTTTCTGGATGTTTGAAGATATTACAGAGTATGTTAGGGGTCTTTCTTTGATGTGACAAAAAATAAGAAAAATTTGGAGTTACTGACAGCTAGGCATCTGTGAGTTTTCATTTGAACCCTAAAATATTGCTTCCAATATTTTACACTCTATCATACTTATTTGGTGCCTCTTTAAGACTTTTTTATTATTATTTATTTCATAAAAATAATCTTTTTATAATAGGCCTGTATGGGTCTTTGTTTTTATTGGTTGATTACTACATGAGTTGCATGTAATGTTAGTGCATGACTGCACATTATTTTGTCAGAAATGTATATGGAATAAAGTTAATTTCTTTTGTATGTACAATATAGAATCTTTTAAGAACTTATATATTAAAATGAATTCCAACATCAAAATGAAAATATGGAATATGGATCTGTGTTGTATCTCCAATTTAAGTTCATTAACTAAAGGAGTTGTGTCGCCTTATTGTCTTTATAGGGATACAACGGTATCAATTACTGGGGAGGTTAAGCTACACGTTTTTAAGACATCTCGTAACTGAACATGTAACATTATGACCCCCAGGGATTACTGCCTCCCTCTGACTTAGTTTTTCCAGGGACCTGATTGCAACTATTTTACTCAAACTGTGAAACGTACATGTTAAATGCACCACCTTGCAAGTGGAATACTTTTGAGAGGTACCAAAGGTGTTCCACTTAGACTGGTTTTACTGTACATTTATACTTAGTCTGGCAAGAAAATATTATGAAGGGGAGAACTAATTCATAGAGGACTATAATTCTGCGTGTTCACGTTCAAGTTCTTTTGAAAATGTTGATCTTAACCTCCCTACTTTTTCAAGTAACCTTATACATCTGTTTTCTTTGAATACATACAATTTGTGCTTTTCTCCTTTGAAAGATGGCGTACCAGTTTGTCCAGCTGGATTTCATGAATATAAAGATTGCCACATCATCCATTCTTCTCTAATAGTTAATGGGGGATGGGATTTAATCCTAGCATAGCCATAATACTAAAGTTCAATTGGCTCTAACACAGGATGGAGGGAATAGAAAGGGACTTGGCGCTATATATTCTCATCTTCATCAACAATTTAATTTGTCCAGTTTCTAAAAGTACATAAATTTTTTGACAGTTCCATCAATTCCAAGCAACCCCCCCTCCCCCCCCCCTCCCAATCTTTTGCTTCCCAGGTTTTGCTTCCCAGGTAGGCATATTTGTTAGCAAAGGCTACATAAGGGCTTGATGCATTGTAACCAAAAACAGAAATTACAATAAACCCAGACACATCTCATTCATTGTGAACACTATCTTTTGTTCTATTGCTATGTTATTCCCTTGGCTGATATTATAAACAACCTGCTGAGTTAAACACAATTGTTGTTCAAATAAGACTGGTATGACTTCTTTGTTATGCGCAAAAAATGTGACATCATGGAAAGAGTTGGCCAGAGCCTGTCTATGACACACTTATATTTAGCCAGTAGCTGTAGGCTAAAAGCCTGTAGCCAGGAGGGGGAGGGGGTGTCAGGGGATGAGCAAACTCCCCTCTTTGGAAATCATGCAGTTCTTTCACCATTCTGAGTACTTTTCAAGTGGTTTTGGGCCAGAGTTGTCTAAAGTGAACCCCCCTGAAAATTTTGAAAAAGTGAACCCCCTTGGCAAAAGCTGGCTATGGGCCTGTAAAGCTACCACATACAAGTCAATTTTGAATAAATGAACCTTCTCAAGCAACATACATGTTTATGTAACATGTAATTGTATATGGAAAGATTTCAACTTGTTTAATCAGATATTGTGCCAGATAATGGCATTAAACCAAGGAATGGAGGTCAACATGTAGGTTTCTATATAGGGCAAGGGCTTTATATAATAAAAAAACATAGTACCTCTGCCTCATACCCACGTATATGGGTTGTGATACAGTCTGAAGGGTTCAATATTTAAAGTTTTAAAAGATGATTGAATTAGTTAATTCTAACTTAGATGTATCAATGCAGTGGCGTAGGAACAATGTACGCCAAAACGCCAGTGCGTAGTGTTGAAAAGTGAGAATAAAAATTTTCCCATGTTCTTTAGTCATATTTTCTCATTGTTCATAAATTGTAAAAGTAATCTCGAGCACACTAGCCTAAAGAAATGTTTTGTGGATACCATATCATTATTGGTCTGTCTGGCAAATATCATTTAACAGATTGAATTCCCTAACCAACATGCTTTATTTCATGAAAATCGAGACTATCTTATGAATTTTAAAAGTAAAATACAATTTCGCCAAATATTCGTGAATCGCGTTCTCTTCACGAATTTGAGAGAAAAACTGTTTTTTCATTTTTTCTGCATGTTCCGTAATGCTTATGCAAACTATGGTATCATATGATTATAATGATGAACCTCTTTAAAAGATGTATATTTTTTTATTCTCCCCTACCCTGATTTTTCAATTTCACTACATCGATTTATATTCCTTTGCTATGCAAAATCATAGACAGAAATTATAGTTAAGTCAGCAATTATCTATTTTCTTACTAAATCACTAATTGTTATTAGTAGTACTTCTTGAAATATGAATGTTAAAGACAAAAACAACTTGAAAATGCTGATTATTCAATAACACGTTTCATTGATTTCAGTTCAAGAAAAGCGATTACCTAGTTTTTTTTCATTTGAAAAATAATAGATTCTTGTTTTATAACATTTTTGGCACCCCCTAAGTCACGTTGACCTCGATTTGACCTTTGTTGTGGGGGTGTTTATTTGTTTCATTGATCACGAATGCGTTTCAGCTTCATATCAATTGATCAAACTAGTTTCTTTAATCTGTACGTATTGTATTGCACGGTACACGATGGAATCAGACAATACTATATATCTAAATTCAATTATTCGAAAATTATTAAAAAATCTCTTATTGTTTTGGAAATTGGTCGTCTCAATCGTTCGAGACATTAGCAAAGTGAGAATGATTTGTGTCGAGATTTAAAAGATAGGCTTTCCAAGGTGATTTTAAATGATGAAAATCATTCGAACATATTAAAGCACATTAAAAAGGTATCAGGGATTGAAAGCTTGCATATAAAATCGAAACGCCAACCTATACGTATGACCAATCGCCCATACAATGCATCGCTTTAGTATTTCCGTTCACATTTAGGTTGTGAAAAACATTGCTAGCTTAAAATCTCTGTTTTCATAAAATGACATTTTACGAGCATAAAATAGGCGTTTTGATATAGAATATTGACACAATTGTTTCATATTTTTGGCGTAGTGTTGAATTTACACCTTCCTACGCCCCTGCAACATCATAGTTTGTCTAAATAGTGCCAATCAAAGGCTCATTCAATTGGGAAAATCTACGCTAACTTAGTTTTAAATATGTTGGGGATATTGAATTCTGGTGATTTGTTTCTGGATGTTTGAAGATATTACAGAGTATGTTAGGGGTCTTTCTTTGATGTGACAAAAAATAAGAAAAATTTGGAGTTACTGACAGCTAGGCATCTGTGAGTTTTCATTTGAACCCTAAAATATTGCTTCCAATATTTTACACTCTATCATACTTATTTGGTGCCTCTTTAAGACTTTTTTATTATTATTTATTTCATAAAAATAATCTTTTTATAATAGGCCTGTATGGGTCTTTGTTTTTATTGGTTGATTACTACATGAGTTGCATGTAATGTTAGTGCATGACTGCACATTATTTTGTCAGAAATGTATATGGAATAAAGTTAATTTCTTTTGTATGTACAATATAGAATCTTTTAAGAACTTATATATTAAAATGAATTCCAACATCAAAATGAAAATATGGAATATGGATCTGTGTTGTATCTCCAATTTAAGTTCATTAACTAAAGGAGTTGTGTCGCCTTATTGTCTTTATAGGGATACAACGGTATCAATTACTGGGGAGGTTAAGCTACACTTTTTTAAGACATCTCGTAACTGAACATGTAACATTATGACCCCCAGGGATTACTGCCTCCCTCTGACTTAGTTTTTCCAGGGACCTGATTGCAACTATTTTACTCAAACTGTGAAACGTACATGTTAAATGCAGCACCTTGCAAGTGGAATACTTTTGAGAGGTACCAAAGGTGTTCCACTTAGACTGGTTTTACTGTACATTCATACTTAATCTGGCAAGAAAATATTATGAAGGGGAGAACTAATTCATAGAGGACTATAATTCTGCGTGTTCACGTTCAAGTTCTTTTGAAAATGTTGATCTTAACCTCCCTACTTTTTCAAGTAACCTTATGCATCTGTTTTCTAAAAATACATACAAATTGTTCTTTTCTCCTTTAAAAGATGGCGTACCAGTTTGTCCAGCTGGATTTCATGAATATAAAGATTGCCACATCATCCATTCTTCTCTAATAGTTTATAGGGGATGGGATTTAATCCTAGCAAAGCCATAATAATACTGTAATACTTAAGTGCAATGGGCTCTAACACAGGATGGAGGGAATAGAAAGGGACTTGGCGCTATATATTCTCATCTTCATCAACAATTTAATTTGTCCAGTTTCTAAAAGTACATAAATCTTTTGACAGTTCCATCAATTCCAAGCAACCCCCCCTCCCCCCCCCCCCTCCCAATCTTTTGCTTCCCAGGTTTTGCTTCCCAGGTAGGCATATTTGTTAGCAAAGGCTACATAAGGGCTTGATGCATTATAACCAAAAACAGAAATTACAATAAACCCAGACACCTCTCATTCATTGTGAACACTATCTTTGTCCTATTGCTATGTTATTCCCTTGGCTGACAACCTGCTGAGTTAAACACAATTGTTGTTCAAATTAGACTTGTATTACATCTTTGTTCTGCGCAAAAAATGTGACATCATGGAAAGAGTTGGACAGAGCCTGTCTATGACACACTTATATTTAGCCAGTAGCTGTAGGCTAAAAGCCTGTAGCCAGGAAGGGGAGGGGGTGTCAGGGGAGGAGCAAACTCCCTTCTTTGGAAATCATGCAGTTCTTTCACCATTCTGAGTACTTTTCAAGTGGTTTTGGGCCAGAGTTGTCTAAAGTGAACCCCCCGAAAATTTTCAAAAAGTGAACCCCCCTTGGCAAAAGCTGGCTATGGGCCTGTAAAGCTACCACATACAAGTCAATTTTGAATAAATGAACCTTCTCAAGCAACATACATGTTTATGTAACATTTACTTATTTATGGAAAGATTTCAACTTGTTTGATCATATATTGTGCCAGATGATGGCATTAAATCAAGTAATGGAGGTCAACATGTAGGTTTCTATATAGGGCAAGGGCTTTATATAAAAACATTGTACCTCAAACCCACGTATATGGGTTGTGATACAGTCTGAAGGGTTCAATTTTTAAAGTTTTAAAAGATGATTGAATTAGTTAATACTAACTTAGATGTATTAATGCACTCATCGTTTGTCTAAATAGTGCCAATCAAAGGCTCATTCAATAGGGAAAATCTACGCTAACTTAGTTTTAAATATGTTGGGAATATTAAATTCAGGAATTCAGCAAATAAAAAAATAATATTAGTGTAGATTGCTTCAAACTATTAGTGAACAACCATTTCAGTTGCGCAATTTTGATGAAGGATTAAATAGCACTTATTTTATGACTAAACAAATGTTAGATATATGAGATATACATGTTGCAGGCCCGTAGCCAGGATTTGCCAAGGGGGGTTCACCTTTTGAAAATTTCCAGGGGGGTTCACTTGTGACAATTTTGGTCCAAAAATGGCCAAAATGGTGAAAAACTGCATGATTTTGAAAGATTCTTCTGCCGGGGGGGGGGGGGGGCGGGGGGTTCGCTCGAGCCCATCGAACCCCCCCCCCCCCTGGCTACGGGCCTGTGTTGACATACGAGCGCATTAACAGATTAATGCATCTACAATTCAGCATAGATGGAGACCCGGGAACGGAGATTGAATAATCTTAATATTTTAAAAACTGAACCCACATATGTGGTACATGGTTCCGAGGTTTTTTAATCAAAGCCTAGGGCAAGGAAGGGAAGGTTATATAGTACTTACCATCTCTCTAATTAGTTTCCCTTCCTTGTTTTTTAAGTGTAAATGTTTCACTTCTAAGCTCACTGCTAAGTCTTGTCTTAAATGTGAGGTTTGACTAAAGGAATAACATGTACACGTTCTGAGTTCAATGTTATCTTCCACTTTATCAATTTAAAGTATTAAAGTGAATTGAAAAATTAATAAATAAGTTGATATTTACAGGAGGTTGGTTTAATGTTTGTTTTAAACATTTTTTGAATGTGAATGCATATATTTGCATTATAATTCCTCATATTTCCCTGGTATTTTAATTATTTTCATATTTGTAGGGAATTTTAGGATAAGTATGAGGATTTAAAAAAGATTTGATTTTAAGCCATCAGACAACAGTAACTTTAGTTGTGTGTTTGATCTAAGACCCAGTGAAAAATTAATGTCCCATATAAATTGAGTCTATGCTGGAGAGTGTTTGTATCAGCAGTTCATGCTTATTTCACTCAATTTCTCTATAAATCTGAATGAACTGTTTAAGTTTCCTTGTATTTCCGTTCAATTTAGAGTGTTAACTACATGCCTGTTTACTTCATTTCTTGCTAATTCCTCTCTTTCGAGCATGATTTTGTATTTTTAAGATGACCCCTTTATTGTTATGTTTACGTATCCACGTGGATTGATTTGATAAAAATCCAATGTTTCTGTATCGTGCCAATTGTTTTATAACTTCAAATAGTGCAAAAAGCAAAAAGAATAGACATTATTCAATTCGTTGGCAGCATTCAAACTTTTTTTTTGTTTGGAGAGTGAATTGAATCGCAAGCATAGCATGAAACAGAAAATGATTTCGTCAATTGGGAGAACTTTATCTGTATATTGAGAAGGTAAGTAATTTTATTTTATTTGATAGTTCAAAGGAAAACCATAAAATATACATTACTGAACCTGAAAACACATAACATTAACTTTTATGGGTCAAATCAACCTAAAATGTACTTTGAAGTTAAAAGAGTTTGACGTGAAGAAATCTTAAGATGAATAATTTTCTGATTTTAAGTCAGGAGTTTCCGATCTATTTTAACTTTGAAAGTTTTGCTTCGATAGGTTTTTGCGGAATTATGCTCAAGGAGGTTATTCATCTTTGGAGGAATTAATTTTTACTTACAAGTAAAGTCAGTATTTAATCAAAGAGCTTACTATATAAAAGTTAAATAATTCAAGCGTGTCGTGTCCTCTAATTGATATGACATGTAATGAAATGCTTGATAACGTTTTTGAAGAATTTCACAAATGACTCGAGGGATCGAAATATATTTTCACAGACAGATATTCTTGACATGTCAGATATCATTCTGAATCTATGATGCAAGAAGAGAGGGCCATGGTATTCCAGTTGAAAGCCCATGGATATTAGAAGGGAAATGAAGTCACTTAGTTACTAATAATAGGTTTAAACAAAATTTGATATTCATGATATTTATATATCACGAATACAGAGTGTATATACACGATAAATGGGAGATACTTATGACCTCACAACAAACTTACATTCTTGTATTTCTATGATACTGTATTTTGAATCTAGGGCTTATTGAATAGGACCGAATATCTAACAAAGAAATGACACAAAGTTGATGTAAAAATGGGTTTGATACAATATTATATTATATCAACCAACCAAAGTTAAAAACATTGGTGGCAGAAAAAGTCTTCATTAAATCTTTCTTTAAAGTTTTAGCAATGCAAGGCAGTTACTTTATCTGTTATATGGTCGGTTGAAGTACATGTTTTGAATTTGGATTTTCAGAGAGACATCAGGCTAGAAGGGACATCAAGGGGAGCCTAAGAGAACAAAACAAAAGCAATATATGAGAACATGGCATGTGTTAGGAACACAATCAGTGTCTCAAAGATTATACTTTTATTTCTCGCATTAATGACATATTCAGTTTTATTATCTCTTATATCCAGTGAAATATTTTTAAGGAGATATCATTCGAATATACTAAATCAGTCTCGTGATTTAAAAGGATCTGATAACATTTTAAAGCAACTTGAGATTGTGCCGGAACAACCAAGTATTGTGTTGGTACAATCAGATGTTGTGTTAGAACAATCAAGTAAAGTATTAAAAGTACGAAATGATTCAGATGCAAAATCAAGTTCAAATCAAAATAAAAAGGAATCTATGCAAGTAAATAGTCACCATGACAACCAATGGAATGGAAAAGAGGGCAATCGTGCATTCTATAAAATACCAGGGGTTGAGATTTACCTGAAATCTGCTCATCTGGATGATCGATTTAACGAGACATGTGTCCGGATGTTCGGTATCCAAAACACACGTATCAAAAACAATCAGACAAGATTGTATTGCAGATTTACAATAGATGGCGCCACTTATAAAAGCTACAAATATGTACCGGTGAAGATTGTACCAGTTTTCCCACCTTACCCATATGGTGTGCTTTTCTACACAAGCTCGTATTGGTGTGATGTACCGCACCTCAGTGATACGGATTTCGTTGGAATATATACAAGTAGATCTATCGAAACAAATGATGGAACATTTCTGAAAATTGAAAATGAACAACTGAAGACTGGAAAAGTGAAACAAAATATGTCTATTTGTGTTAAGCCAATCACAGGGACGCAAAACGTTCTACGATTTGTAGAGTGGATAGAGTTCCATAAAATCTCAGGGATTGACCATTTTGTGATTTATACCAATGAAAGCAATAATGCTAATAAGAATGAGGTTGAGCAAATCTTGGATTATTACCAGACAAAGGGATTACTAGATGTGCAATATGACAGGTTTTTCTATAGCATACTGCCCCATTTGAAAGTAAAATATGAACTTAATGATGAAAAAATTGGTTGGATAATGTCACAGGTTTATTTAACGTCCTATAATGATTGTCTTTATAGATACAGGAACAGATTCAACTATATTCTTATGTTAGACCTCGATGAGATAATCTCTTCTAGTGATCCAAATATTCGCATTATTGACGTCATCGAATCAGGTGCGGCGAGGCTACCTAACGTCGGAGGATGGCCCTTTCATTCTGGTTGGCACCTGGACACGTATGGTCAAGTAAATATTTCACCACATCAGCATTTACATTCTCAAATGTACCTCAAACGCTCTATCATAAACAGCGACTCCGATAAAACATTCAGCGCGACTGCGTACGCACTGCTGGTCACATGGCATGTGACGGTTTACTGTAAATACACACAGGGACCAATCAGAGAGAACTGCAACATGTTCCCTGGGATGTACCTAAAGCCTGCTGTGGAACAAGCCATTGTTGTGCACCATTACAGGCACTCTTGTAGGAGTATGCCAAAAAAGTGCGAGGAGTACTTGAAAGGGACAGTTGTTGATAATTCAACATTGCAATATGGGGATGCTCTGAACATAAATGTAGTCAAGGTCTTCAAAGATTTGGACTTACCATTTCCTTAAAGGCCCCATATAAAGTAAAAACCAATTTGGCTTCTATTTATATAGCCTAGTCTTACCCAATGTTATAAAATATGATATGTGAAACTTTTTTTAAAAAGTGATTTTTGAAGGACTTTTTAATTTGTTTGAAACTGTTTCCATTCTAAGTGATATCATGATGATTTCACTAAGGGTGCAATTTTTTAAATACGCTGAAACATTTAAGTGTTACATTTTACTATTGAAATAATGTGTCCTTTGTTCAATCTTTGCAATGGTGTTATACGATCCTGTATTTCACAATGTAAAAAAATAACTAAAATAACTTTTAAAGTCATGATAAATGATAAAAACACATTTTCAAACTTTGCATGGGGCCTTTAAAGGATAAGTATCGATGTAAGAATAAACTTTGGGGGGAAAGGTAAACCCCATTTAGCTTTGTTCACACATTAAGAGGAAGATACATTCGACAGAATAGGATATGGATGATAATTGGTATAGATACAGAATACAGAATTGACACTTTACAGAATGAAGCATACTTATCCTATGCCAAGTAGAGTTTAAGGGAGATAAGTTAGTAAGATATATCCCGTATCCTGATTTTGAGGTTTCCATATCCAGAACCTCCATATCTCCCGCCATATCTCCCGCTTCGGTGCATATCTTTTCGCTTCCGATGCATATCTTCCCGCTTCCGGTAATGCAATAAAATGACTTTGCATATGAATGTTTTGTTTATTTGTACACCTTGTACTATTGAAATGGCCATATGCCCCTGAAAACTCTAATTGGTATAAGATAAAGCAGTTATGTACGGTCGGTTTGGATATTGGGTTCATCCCTCGTGAGATGTGGACATCTACCCTCGGTTCCTACGGTCCCTCAGGTAGATATGCATATCTCCCTCTGGATAAACCCCATATCCAAAAACTCCCAGTACACAACCCTTATGTATTGGCACTTTATGACCCTCTCGTTATTTAACTTTAAATGTTGAAGTAAAAATCTTCATTAAAGCAAATATATATTATTGTCATTTGATGGTACTTTTTATTGACTTATGCTCATATTATTATGGGAAGGTACACTCTACAAATTTTTAAAAATCCCAGGACAATTTAAGTAATTACTCTGAATATACCAACTTTGGGGAAGTTTTATTATTCGTATTCATATCTAACTGTTTTAATCTGATATATTTTGTACAAACGTCAACGCGGTAGCCTGACGTGAAAAATATGAATAGTTGTTTGTACATATTGATCTTTTTATCCAATGTATCTCCTTTTTATAAAGGGCAATAAATATATACATACAAAAGGATATTTTCAAACGTTGACATGCTTGGAAAAACAAATTTCATTTCATTAAAGTTGAACTCCACTCCCGCTCCTCTACAGGGTGTCCGGAAAGTAAAGATACAAATGCTCTTATTTTATTAGATTTACCTGTTGTGAGATGAAATTGCTACAGATTCTAGGACGACATTGTAACAATTCTGTCATGACAAATTGTTTCAAAATATAAAAGTTATGGTTGTTATGGTAACATGAGTCACGGGTATGTGGAGCAGCGTCACAATTATGTTTTATATTTCTTTTCTCCTGTTCATATCATCTTGACGCTCCGTCGTCTGTTGCTATTATGCCTCAAATTGTGTACCACAACAGCAAAAGGATTAGTACTGTAACATTATTTAATCATTTGACATTACTACTGTTATCCAGTATTATGTATTTTCCACCTTTATCTAAACATTCTTGGTACATTTTGACCGGAGATTCAAAGACCTGACAAAACCATTGCTGTCAGTCTCTAAGATTGCCAATAACATTGGCTTCCAGCCTAGTCTCATTTTTATGTTGAACTTCTCACAAATATTGCTTTAACATATTCATTAATGTAGAAGTCCAACGGGACATCATCAGGAAAATATGGGCCATTGTACAAAAAGGTTAATGTCAAGACATTCAATTGTAAGATTTGTTTTCTTCGCTTCGTGCATTGGAGCATTGACTGTGGAGGTGCACTATTGACTTTCCTATTAATCCAGGGACCCTTTTTCTAAGCACTATTATACCCCTTTTCTTTGATTATACTTGTGACATTACATAGTTCTGATATGTATCAATGATATCATTATACTATACTAAAGAGAATACTATGGCAGCAAGAATACAATATTGAACAAAAAAAACTGATAAGAAATACAATGATTAACACTATTTCAAATGGTTATATTCTAGCAATTTATGACTATTTAGCGATATCCTGGAACTGCTCCGCATACCCCTCACCCCCGTAACCATGACAACCATAACTTTAACACATTTAGACTATATGTTATAAAAGCTGGTCGATGTATTCTACTGTAGTTCCTCTACAATTTGTAGCAATTTAATTACAATAAAACTAAATCTCTTAAAATTAGAGTATTTGTATCTTTACTTTCCGGACACCCTGTATATAGCGGAAAATGTTGAGATGTGTACCTTTCGAAATTTTATGAAGTCCTCATTGGAGTCATATGTTATTTTCAGGAACACATAATTCATTTTATATAAGGTCTACGAGTACATGTACATCTTTCACATTTGCACAAAGAGTTATAGTGCACCAAGGTACATGCACCAAAAGAAGAGTAGTGAATATATAAAAATGGGAAAATAAAGTGAATTAGGTACTTATTTCGAACTTTTAATAGGTATGTCACTGAATTTTCTCATTGTTTCATACAATGTACATTTTATAAACAAAATATTATCCACACTTCAGAAACAAGTCAAATTCTTTACTTCAGAGAATATTTTTAATTTATTGAGACTTTCGACTAATATCCCTTAGTCTTTTTCAAAATATAACAGCATGTATACATTTATGTGACGTCATAAACAGACAATGGAAAATTTAATTATGTAACAAATGACCTAGTAACCTAAAAAATAACAACAACAAAAAACATAGATACGAAAAAACGAATGACCTAATAATAACCTTAAGATAAATATATCATCGTTATGGTAACAATTAAACTCAAATATTACTATTGCATACTTTGCTATTGACCCTATGCATCAGTGTGACGTCATGCCTTTGTCCGGCCAGAAAATATTGCTGGCCGTCTAGAAAACGTCATAAGCAACCAGTGCTCAAAATGGCGACGAAGTGATGAGAAAAAGTAAAAAGAGTATGCCTAAATGCTGCGTTGCCAAGCGCGTAGCTACGTTGAGGCAAATGAGGCAGCTGCCTCGAAGCTTTTTTCAGCCTTTGAAAAATAATGTTCGGATATAAAACCATTAAAATGAGCATCTTTTTCTTGAAAACATACCATTAAAATGAAAGCTTATGTTCTGTTGATTTTATCTAAATATAATTTCATGTACGCTTTATATAGAACTTAAAGTAGCCTTCTCTCAAGAAACTTGCGTGCGATTTTATACCGTTCGCATATCGCCTAGCCTTCGTTTTTGAACCAAATTATAACGGCGCCATTTTTCAGATTTTTGATGGATATTATGATACAAGACTCACTGTGGCAAGAAGATCAGGTACCTTATTACACACTGGGGGGTATCGTGATGCAACAACACCGTGTTGTTGCATCAAGATGGCCAGACTTCCGGTGATAGATTTTCGTACGATATTTTGTTTTCCCGATTTAAACCCATTTCTAGGACGAGTTGCTCAATAATCATACACGTGCAGTTAGCTCATGATCTATATTTTAAAAAACTCATTAGTTTGCATGTAGCATCATCAAGAAACGAGAAATTCGCGGTTTTAATTCCTCACTATTGATGCAACAACACCACTCTGTTTATTATCAATGATGCAACAACACCAATGTGCTGATGCAAAAACGCCAATATAATGTATCATTGAATATCAAGAGAAACTGTTTTATGTTCTGTTTATAGGTGTTGGTCGGGACATGAATAAAACGCGTGAGTGCATGGTTCATGAATGAAACGTATTTTGTTTGGTTCCTTAATGTATTTGTCTTTATCAAAGTTAAAAGGATATACAAGGTAAACTAAATACATAGGCTAAGTATTGAATCCCCGGGAGCCAACCCCATTGATATTGTATCTGAAAAATAAAGATTATTCATTTTCTAAATTAAATCCCCTTGATTTACTGTATCGTATGGAAATTGTTTACAAAGAACTAATATAACTAGACTGGAAATTGAACAAGTTCAATTTCAGACTCCAGATCTGGACTTTTTTAAGCCGAGTCATCCAGAAAAAGATGGATGGATGGATGGATGGATGAAATAGGAAGGAGGGATAGGACAGAATAGGATGGAACGATGGGAGAGAATAGAGAAGAAAGATAGGATAGAATAGCAAGGAAGGATAAGATAGGAAGGAAAGGATAGGAAGGATAGATGGATAGATAGGAAGGAAAGGATATGAAGGATAGATAGGAAGGATAGGATAGAATAAGAAGGAACGATAGGATAGAATAGTAGGATAGGATAGGATAGGAAGGATGGATGGATTTTTCAACATTTTCTTCGCTACTCTTGACTTTCTATCAGGATACCATCAGATCGATTTTTCTCGAAATTTCAAAACGCCATAACTTCCAAACCGGAAGTCGGATCGAAATTTGGTTTGCAGATTCTGATTCCTGAGAAAAAATTTTTCTTCATTCATAACTCAAACTTTAATTTTGGAGAAATTTTTATTTTGACCTACTTTTTGGACACCATATCTCAAAAGTGGGTCAAAATACTTTCTGACGGCAAAGGCTAACACTATTAGTACACTCTTGGCTACATGTATACACAATTTCGAAGAATATAATTGAAGTGTAGTGTCAGAATCACAAAAATAAGGAAAACTTTGAATTTGACCTAGACATTTTTGTGTCCAAATTTTGAAGCTAGATTGCTTTTGAGGTACCCTTCATTTAAAGGCTTTCATTAAATTAAGCTGTACTCGGTCGTATATATGTCGTATTTTACACTTCAAAAAAAAAATTCCCATTGACTTAACATGGGGCACCAAATTTAGCGATTTTGAGTTTTCAAAACGCCATAACTTCCGATGAGTGTTGGTTTAATGATATTGCAGTTATACAATGCTATTATATAGAGGTTATTTACTGAGAGGGATTCAATATTGGTTTTATTCCGGGACACATTATGATATTCGGGTGCATTATCGAGTGCATTATCAGTATGCCGGATGTAGGAAAGAAATTGAAAAATCGAGCCGGCATCTAAGTCGAAAAAGTCGGCAGTTTGGAAGTATTTTTGGACTCCGATATCACAAGGTAAACGAATTGGTGATATTACACCGTGCAGACTATGTGAAATGCCGATCACATTCGCGGCAGATGCTTTACATTCAATTTTAATGGACGTTTTTTATTTCTGAATATGATTTAGAAAAGTGAAACTGAAAGTGAAACTGTCATCATCAGACATTGCATCATTTTTAATGTTCTGTCCCGTCCCGTCCCGAAAGTAACGTGTTGAGACCATTTGTACCGTTCCGTACCGTACCGAAATTTTCTTGGACCGTGACACCTCTATTGCGAATTCCCTTTTTTACGGTTTTTCAAAATGGCTAATTCATATTTTGGTTGGCTAAAAAAATTTGGAAGATTTAGTCACAATGGCTAACAAGTTTTTTCAACTATCGTGATCTCTGTAACTGGTATCAGGGTCATCAAGCTATGGAACAGGGGTTTATGATAATAGATTGGGTTACTATAGCTTGCAATGCTAAAGGTGATTGAACTATGTTATAAAACAACTTCCAGTACATTATGATATTTAAAAGTATAAATTTTTGAAAATACATATAAAGAATCTTCGCCCGCAGGACGTGTATTTTGAATGCCTGAGAAGAACTCAAATGGGTACTGGTCCGGTGTTGCAATAGTAGCATTTAAAAATCTGTTCCTCTCGAGATTTATGGTCTTCTGAAATTACACTATTAAGTGGTGTTGTTGCATCATTGCTCAAATCTAGAGGAGTGTTGTTGCATCTTCGGTTTGGTGTTGTTGCATCAATAGTGAGGAACTAAAACCGTGAACTTCTTGCTTCTTGATGATGCTACATGTATACTAATGACAGTTTCTTTAAATATAGATCGTGCGCTAACTTCACGTGTATGGTTATTGAGAAACTCGTCCTAGAAATGGGTTTAAATTGGGGAAACAACATATCGTACGAAAATATATCACCGGAAGTCTGGCCATCTTGATGCAACAACACGGTGTTGTTGCATCACGATACTCCCAGTGATTACAGTGGCTTAGGAACAAGGTACGCCAAAACGCCAGTGCGTAGTGTTGAAAAGTGAAAATAAAAAAGGCTAATTAATTTCAACTATGTTCTTCAGTGATATTTTCTCATTGTGCATAAGTTTATCTCGAGCACACTAGCCTAAAAATGTTTTTGAATACCATAGGCCTATATTATGCTCGATGTTTCAATAGTACTCTTTTGCAAGGTTTTTGTTCCTCTGTTATTTTTCTAATCGTGGCACAGATAAATGACACTTTTTGAGAAATGAAATTCATATAATATTTAATTAGTTTTAAAATATTGAACGTTGTCTTGTTTCTAATACTGCAGAAAATGCAAAGTAATCATTATTGCTCTGTTTGGTAAGTAATCTTTGAACAGATTGAATTCCCTGACCAACATGCTTTATTTCAAAAAAATCAAGACACTATTGACTATCTTATGAATTTTAAAAGTAAACTACAATTTCGCAAAATATTCGTGAATCGCGTTCTCTTATACGAGTTTGAGAGAAGAAAGTTTTTTTTTCTACCTGATGAAATGGATGACTGCCTTTGCATTTTTGTGCATGTTCCGTAATGCTTGGACAATATATATTTATCTAATTTCTTACTTATTGTCATTGATATTACTTCTTGAAATATGAATGTTAAAGACAAAAACAACTTGAAATTGTTGATTATTCAATTTCGCATTCCATTGAATTCAATGAGTTTTGGCGATAAATCCTATCCTTGAAAGTACATAAAGTACAACTTCAGCTTTTTTGGAGGGGGCGTTATTTTGTCTTGCGATCTAGTGTTATAAAAAGGTTGCAGACATTTAGGTTAATTGTATAATTGATCACGAATATGTTTCTTTAAATCGATTGATCATACAAGTTTCTCTAATCTGTTTTGTCGTATTGCAATAATATATATCTAAATTCAACTAATCAGAAATGGTTAAAATCTCTCAATGTTCAGGGGCGTAGCCAGCTTTCTATCAGGGGGTTGCGATCGCCAAAACAATTTCGGTTTTCAGTCAGGAGGATTGCGATTGTGGCACTAACAAGCCAAAAATAAGTTTTATTTGAATTTTACAAATATTGATGCAACTTCCTTCAAAATTGAGCTAGAAGCTTCAAATATAAGTTCCTTTCTTCTTCTTTCTCATGGTTTTATTTTTATTGGTTATGGGGGATGCATCAATCGCACCTCCCCCCTGGCTACGCCTATGATGTTATCTGGAAAGTCGTCTATATCGTTCGAAAAAAATAACATTTAAGAAAAGTGAGAATGAGTTGTGTCAAGATTTAAAAGATCGACTTTCCATGGTGATTTTATATTATGAAAACATTCAAACATTTTAAGCACATTATATTAGCCTAAGGTATTGCCATAGAATGACGTTTTACGAGCATAAAATAGGCGTTTTGATAGAAGATTAGACCCAATATGTTTCATATTTTGGCGTAGTGTTGAATTTAAACCTTCCTTCGCCCCTGTTATTTTTTAGGGTATTTCTTTTTTACTATCACCCAGATATAACGACCTAGGAAGGTCTATCAACACTAACCTACTCAAGGAACTATTAAGCTATTATTCGAAATTCAATTTTACGCTGGTTAAAAAGTCATTTTTATAACTTCCAGCGTAAAGTGTAAAACTTAAAAGTAATCAATGTGCACTGGGCTGAAACGCCAATCTTTGAAATTCATTTTTTATTATTTTTTATCTTTCTATTGAAAGTATAATATTTTATGTCTCAAACGTACTCAGACGACCAATTTTACTTTGGTCAAACAATACTCCAAATTACTACCCTTTGCATTCGTTTGACTTCCCATGACCACTATTTCTCTACACACTACCACTATTTCTCTACACACAGAGCGGACTGGCCTGTGTGTCCATATCGAACACCTCTTTGAATCATCTGAGGTTCTGGCGGAGAGTAGCAACCTCATTGGTGACTCTTTGTTAACTGTTGCAATGTCTAAAACTTGGTCCAGAGCAGATTTTGGCATGTTGTGCAAAATGAATGATTATTCAGTGGTCCGTGGTCTTATATGAATAATTGACATACCATTGGAAAGAGGAGACATGTGGCTTCCTGGTAAACTAAATCAAATTGATGTTATCATCACTGATTTCCTAGTAGAAGAAACAGTTGTTGTTTTGCTTTCCGTCATATTTGATTTTTTGATTTCCCCGGGCTTTTCTAGACGGCCAGCTGAACTGAGCTGGAAAAATGTGTATTTGTGACGTCACTCGTGCATAGGGTCAATACCATTCTTAATTTACAATATTTTATGATACAAATTGTCCAACTGATACCCATTATCTCTGTTCATTTTAGGTTGCATTGTTTTAATATGAATTGCTTCCTTAACCCTACGTTTAAGATCATGACTCTCATTATCAATGATTTTTACATTGTTCCAGTTTATATTATGATCATATTCCATGGAATGTTCAATAACCGCAGAAGCAAGACCTCCAGTCGACAGTAATGTGGGTCTACGATGTTCTCTGATTCTAGTAACTAGTTCCCGCTTTGTTTCACCTACATAAGTGGCAATACAGTCTTTACAATCAATTTTGTAAATTACACCGGACTTCTTTTGATCATTAGTTTTGTCCTTTAAATGCACCAACTGTTTCTAGGGACATTAGGAGTGCACTCTTTGTGCAAAACTGAAAGATGTAGACAATGCGGGGAAGGAGGAGTACGTCATATTTGAAAAGTAATATGTGACTATGAGGATTGCATCAAAATGGCCCAAAGTACACATTGACCTTAAATTTTTATTGCACTCTTTCTGGGCTGATCTGGGCTGATGATCATGCATGCGGGCCGGGGTATGCCACAAAAATCTTCATCTTCAAATCGTCATTTCCTTTTCTCCCAGATCCCTCACAAATTAATATTGTTCTTCCACAACAGTTGCAATTGTTTACTTTCGGAATTCATGCATGTAAAGGAGAACCTGTGCCAGTGGAACACCTCTCAAGTGGAACACTTTTCAGTGTGGTTTCTCAAATCATGTACCTTGAATACCTCCCATATGGAACGCTCAAAGGTATACCACTTATGCAGATTTATGTACTTATATGCCTTACATCAATGTCAAATTTTCAAAAATAGATAATTAGTTTCTGTTCAGTGGTGGGCGGGGCTTTGTTTACATTTGATTTCGAATTTATAGTGATTCTGCGCATGCGTGACCTTTGTGAACTTTAACCGGAAGCACATGGCGAAACAATATTTTCAAAATGCACAAAATTGATCAAGCATTACTGGATATATTCTGGTCTCTGGCTGAATCTGGCGAAGATGAGCGGGTCAAGTCAGTGGTTGAGATGGTCAGGATTCTGAAAGATAAGCAGTCTAACTCAACAGATGAGGTACGTTCACAATATCCATACGAAAACAAATGTGAATAATTTTTCGAGAGGATTTTCGATCATTTTGAAGATTGGGCCATTGCATTTAAAAAATGTACAGGGGGTATGGATATATGGGTAGTGACCGAAAAACTCTGGGCGGGGGTAAGAGATGCAATTTTCTGGGGGGTGTGGATACAATTTTCTGGGGGGGGGGGGGTACTTAGACTGTATCCTTCGTCTGAATAAATATTCAGACTGTAAGTCACCTATTGTAAAATGTGGTGTTGTATAAATGTTACAAATAAGTTTGTTTAATGATAGAATGATTACCTTATAAAGAACTCACAATATTATTTTTTCGTATATTGTCCTCTTACTGAAGATATTCATAAAATGTACAGACGCTTCTTGTAGCGAAGCCATTGATTAGGTCAAGCCATTTTGGCAATGCCAATTCTCACGATAAACGAGATTTAGCCAGTGACGTCAGTCTATTCGTAAACAAATAACACGTGGAGCGGGAGCAACATTACGGAAGCGTATTGCTAAATTCCATTTGTGCGGGAATTTATTAGATCTAGACTAGTCATTTATTATCATTATCCCGATTAATTTTCTTCATTTATAGTAAATAGAGCGGAAATATTCATGAAGAAGGCCGAGGTAATCAAGTGGTCATGTGTTGTCAAAGTTCAAAATTTGCATATCTCGTTTGGATCTCGTGAACTCAAACGTCCTTGACATTGATTTCGCGATCTACTTATGAACACATCCTGAAATTTTGGTGAGTCTGAACATTTCATAATTTTATATCAACTTGTACCCGCCTTATACAAATATTTTTGCTTCTAGTTAAAGATGAACATCTCTTCAACATATTCACCAATTTTCAAGGTGAACATTCTTATAATAAACGAGAAATTAATGTGCAAAAAATATCACCGCGATTTCCACAGGAAATATATCAATCATAACAGACCGAATATTATATTCGGTCTGTTGGATACATACTAGGGGGGTACTGGGGGGGTGTCTTAGCCTATGCATCCTGCCCCCCGTACTGTGATATGGACTTAATCGAGTCTCTAGCCATTACTTGGCTAGAGGGGATTTCATCTGGAATACTTTGGACTCCATTTGAAAAAAGCTGGCCGCCGTGTCATAAATTAATTGAATATTTTAAAAATCGCCAGATAAATAAATCATAATCGAAACGAACCCGCACGGCTCCTTGTTGAGATATGACATGATTTCATCAGGATTTAAGAATTTCTCCATCTAAACTGTCACTCGACTTTTTGGCAATTAAAAGTCCCTGCCTGCATCTAGTAGTCATATATTGTCATATGCATAATTTTGAAACCATATCCTAATTATTTCACAAACCCTTTGTTGATTCTGCTATAGTTTCCAATTTGTAAACAGCATTTAGCCTTTTTAATTGGGAAGTTTTTTGAAATTTCCAAATCGGATGCCATGTGATTCCAGAATTAACATGAGTGTGACGTGACATCACAGTTGCTCGTTCCTAGGTAACAACTAAGATCACAATTGCTCATTTCTAGAGAGCAACAAGATTTTTGATAAAATGGCACAGAATTACCCTGATTAACACCCTTAAAATCTGATTTTCAAAGAATATATTTGGAGAAACAATAAAAGGTAAGTGGAATAAATTAGAAGATGGTTTCAAGTTACCACAGAAGTCAATTTGAAACTCAAGAATGCTTTCTTTGACTCATAATCACAAAAAAGTCGAGTGACATTTTAGATGGAGAATTTCTTAGTCTAAAATTCAAACAAAATGGCTCCAAGAAAAATGGCGATGTTCGAAAACTGGACGAAATGTCGTTAACGTCTGACATTAGTTACTGGCTGTAAATTCTAAGTTAGCGATCCAGAAGATGTGAACTAATACACTGATCACTTTATGTGTGTTTTGGAATTTTTGGTGAGGTAATAAGACCAAAACTCACAATTCAAATTGTGATGTGGAAAAATGGCGGACATATGATTTCAAATTTTATGATTACGACATGAACAGTTGTTCATGCAGGAATATATCTTTACTGGAAGCCCACGATACAGTGGCCTTAGAAGAAGGATAGACCATTCAAATTTCTTTTTCTTTCCAAATAAACTGTTGAAACTTAGTCCACTTCTACCGTATTTGGAGGCTATATCTACAGATACCAAATCAACTGCATACCGACTTTGATCCATGCTCTTTCTTAATGCAACGTGACACATGACAGCTTTCAAAATGCAGTTCCACCATTTTGAAATCTGTCACAGGTAAATAAAGTTAATTGATGTTGCATTCTGGGAGCCAGTCCTCCTTGGATCACAACAATGGTGATCCATGAAAACATTCATTTCGATTTGGTAGGAATTTACACTTTGCAGGTATGAAGTCTTGGATTCATTTATTGTGCTATAGAGTGAACAGGGATTATTTTTCTTCCGTCGGGAACAGTTTGAAAAATAAAACTTAGAATTTAGCTCATTGTGACAACTTTTGATGGCTGAGATTTATTTAAGTTTTCCAGTGTTGTGAACACCATCCATTCAGGGATTCTAATAAGAGACTGAAAGTGAGGTTAATTGTCAAAATTAAAAATTTGAAAATTAAAGGTTGAATAAATAGTGCAGAGATGTAAACCGACGATCATGGATCTAGTGAAAAAATATGTCAAAGTTTGGATACTTTCATCAAGGCTAACATCTATTTTCATTAGCTACAAAGAAAATTTATTTCTGCCGATATTCACAATACCAAATCAACCTTAATCCCAGTAATCTTCTCCTTAAACCATAAAACATCGACAGACGTTGCACTTTTAGCTCAGGAAAGGCAAAATGACTCCCAAATTTCCTCTGTGGTCTTTATTACACCTTTAAGGAAGAATTTTTGAAAAATTAGATATATTTAAATATTTAACTTTATTTTAACAGGACAAATTAATTGTTTTAAACGGTCTTTATTGCACTTTTAACTTTCTGTATATTCAATCGAATACACAGCCAATATAATTCGGCACCGTTTCTGCATCCGTTTCGGTACCGGAGTCTTTTGACACCAAAATTTGCCATCTGACTAGTCAGTCCATTTGGTGCCGAGACGGCACTGAAATTTGGCACCAAAACGGCATCGAAAATCATATTATATTTTGGGGGTGTATAATACTCTTCAACATTGAATACTTTCCCACAAATCTTTGCATGAATATGTGCTTGAGATATTTAGGAAGACTAATAAAGTACCATAAACACCTGATTGGACTTGATATATGGGTGAAAAATGCAAATCTCTATCAAAATTTGAAATGGAATATGTCACATGTTTTCAAATGCTGTTGATTTGTCTGATATACCCCCATAAATGTGGGGTTAATTTTTCAAATCACTCCCACAACTACTTGTAAATTATTTTGATTTTAAAGTGACAGTCCTCCTCATATAAGCATTCTACATTTACAATGTCTCATCTGAATTTTCACTTATTTTATCCTAGGTTTGTCCAGAGTTGAAATATGTCGTCTCCAGATTAGTGAGAGGACTAGCTTCTGATCGCAAGTATGCAAGACCAAGCTTTTCCATGGCCCTGTCCCAGGTTCTACAGGCATTCACCAATGTTCCTATTGAACTTGTCCTGGATGAGGCACGTGAAAAGCTGAAGACAACACAACAAGATTCTAAAAGTGTAAGTTTGATTTCAGTGAAGAAATACCATAATATTTTATAAACTGTACAGAAAATAAAGAATATATAATTCAGATACCGTATTCTCTGTAATTAGCACCCAAGGGTTAGGAAAATTCAATATACTGTCTTCAGACCATTCTAATAAGTGCCCATATATGAAAGAAGTCAAAAATCCCCACGAAGTTCATATATGGCAATATCCTATACATGTTTCGGGAACATGTTAAATTTTTGTTTCAATAAACAATGTTATTTAGTCCATTTCTATACTATAGGATGAGACAAATGCGTTGCTAGGGAAACTCATGGTGTATCTAGCTGTTATTCAATCTGGTAGGATCTTGAAAGAAACTGGGCCTAACATCTCCTCAATGGTTGCAGACATGTATAAACTACCAAGCAGTAAACCATTCCTAGGGCAAATAACCACCCTGGGACTGTGCCAGCTAATTGAGAAGGTAAACGGAATGGATTTTATGTTACATACATGAATATATCTGTCTACAAGTGTTAACATTTTTGATTTTCTCATGTGTATGTATTACAAGAGCATTTTTGGTAGTTTTTGCCAATTTACTATCTTCATATTCAATACTTGCCGTTTATTCTGTGACATTACACACACTTCAATGTATAATTTGTGGAAATTGAATAAAATCTCTCAAAATGTGAGTCACTTTAGTAAAATATTCTGTGGCTAATATATATCAATGACTCCGAGTATTGAGAAAGAATCACTAAGAACACTCATAATCATAACAGCAATTATTGTAATGCGTTTGATTTTTTGCAGGTTTCAACAAAAATATTTACCAAATCCATTCTTCCGTCTATCCAAGAGGGAATTTCTAAAGGCTGGGAGGACTGCACGCCAAACACACTGCTGCTACTCATGTGCATTGCAAAACATCATATGGTACGTCATCCCAAACTTATTAGTGTACAGATCATGTTACATATGTTAACGAAGAAATGTAATATGGATTTCCTCCTGAAATCCATTTGGTGTGATACCAATATATTGTAAATGGCAAGTTATGTTAAATCGTTACAGTATGCACCATCAACAGACTTACATGTAGCTAAGTACCCCATCATTATCTGAAAATGATTCTAAAAAGGTCCATACACCTAAAGCAATTATTCTGCTTTCTAGTAAATAAGGAATTGTTTTCAAAGTGTGTTGACACATTTACTTTTCAATTATCAGAGTTAGGGACTGACTCCTTTGAAGTTAATGGATAGAAGAGTGCATCCTCTTATGAACAACTCTGGTTCGATATCTACATGTACTTTACTCATGTAAATTTTTTTATTTATAGAAAAGTGTGAAGGAGATATTGAGCACAAAATGGGGAACATCTGACCTTCTTGCATCGAAGCACTACAGCCACATTGCTCAAATCATGATGGTAGGCTTCTTCAATTTACATTAGGAATTTTGTCAAAAAGTCATCAGTTGCCGAAAATAAAAAAAAAAAAAAAAAAGTTGATACCATTAACCTTTGTCATTATAACCTTTAGTATGCTGACAGCTGCGCCACATCAATTTAAATTTACCACCATTTTTGATCGTGAATTTTTTGACCAATCAGCTTCATATTTCACACTGACCTTGACCTTGGAGAATTTATTACAAAGAATATGATACCTAGAACTTCAGTAGGTATCGGATACATCTGTCATGTGTGGGGCGATTTAAGATACCGGGTTTATCCTCAGTGAAACATGTCCATCCTTCAATGTGGTCCCTAAGGAGATCAGCATATTTTCCTTTCAGTTAACCCTGTATTAAAACCTTCAAGAACATAATGCTTATGTATATTGTATTTCCTCTAGGCCAGCACTAGTGAACACCCTGTAATACATGAGGTCTGCAAGCAACTTGTCACCACGGCTTTAACCACTCTTACTTCAATAGACAACCTGAAAGCTTTCTGGAACAACATTATCGATGGTAATATTATAGAAATGTAATAGTAATATTGCAAACGATAACTTGGTAAAAATACCATATTTCATGGGTTCGATCCCCACTTGGGTTAGATTGACTTTTTCACATCAACCCTAAGTACAGGATTTCTTTCTGTGTTTTCATTGATTCTGGCTAAATAAAAAATGAAGTTATTCTATATTTCAAAATTGCAGACGTTCAGTTTCTTTTGGTAACCATAACAATCAATGTTCAATAAGTTGAATAAATGTGGCTATATTTGATTCTCTTTCCAGGAAAACTAGCATCGGGTAACAGCACCCCTAACAGAGTGTTCCTGTGTTACCAGCTTGTTGAGATTGCTTTGAATGCAGCTACTAAGCCAGAACAGGTACATGTTCACTCTACTGCGTCTAAACCGTCACTTACTGAAATATGAAGTTTTTCATTCATGCTTAAAAGTTTGTCGAGGCTAACTTTCGTACATTCACTAAGACCTTCTCATACTGAAATATATATATTTTTATGTCACCACCAAAAAGTGGTGACATTGTTATGGTCTCCATTTTTTGTGACCGTGATCGGCAGTTGATGGTTGGTGTTTGGTGGTTGGCGATCGGCGTCTGTAACAATTTCTTACAACTTCCAATAACTTTACAAATACTGTTTAGACTGACTTCAATTTTTGAACAGGTACACTCTACTGAGTCTTAAACCATCACAAACTGAAATATGAAGTTTTCATTTCTGCTTTAAAGTTTGTAGAGATATTTGATTTTTAGAGGCTTACTTGAGTTGTTTTGAGGATTGAAAGAGTTCTTTAGATGATAATTTAATTTGTTCAGATGAAAGCTTGAGTTGTTTGAAGGCTAACGTTGTTTAGAAGACAACTCAAGTTGTATTGAGGATAAATCGAGTTGTTTAAGATTAACCTTAGTTGTTTAGAGGATATATAGGCCCCATATAAAGTTTGAAAATATAGTTTAAGCATTCAAATATTACTTTTCATGTAAATTGAAAAGTTTAACATATAGCACATTTTGATGACATTTGGTAGGACTGTAATTTAAGCCAATGTGGCCTAAACTTTATATGGGGCCTTTAACCTTAAATTCACTAGAGGATTATTGGAGTTATTTAGAGGATAACCTGAGTATTATTATTATTTTTAGATAAAGGTGATCATGTCAAAGAACATTTTAGAGAAGTTGCTGAAAGACTGCAGTAAGAAGTCAAGCCTGTTACACAGTGCTGCATTGCAGTTGGTAAGTTTGTTTCATTTCAATTGCTATTGCACATACTCCTTAACTCTAGGCCAAAATTGAAGCATGACTGGCCTGAGCCATGTTTGTTTTATGAGTATTTCATATATTTCAATTGCTGTTGCATATACTCGCTTAGCTCTAGGCCAAAATTGAAGCATGACTGGCCTGAGCCATGTTTGTTTTATGAGTATTTCATATATTTCAATTGCTGTTGCATATACTCGCTTAACTCTAGGCCAAAGTTGAAGCATGACTGGCCTGAGCCATGTTTGTTTTATGAGTATTTCATATATTTCAATTGCTGTTGCATATACTCACTTAACTCTAGGCCAAAACTGAAGCATGACTGGCCTGAGCCATGTTTGTTTTATGAGTATTTCATATATTTCAATTGCTGTTGCATATACTCACTTAACTCTAGGCCAAAATTGAAGCATGACTGGCCTGAGCCATGTTTGTTTTATGAGTATTTCATATATTTCAATTGCTGTTGCATATACTCACTTAGCTCTAGGCCAAAATTGAAGCATGACTGGCCTGAGCCATGTTTGTTTTATGAGTATTTCATATTTCAATTGCTGTTGCATATACTCGCTTAACTCTAGCCAAAATTGAAGCATGACTGGCCTGAGCCATGTTTGTTTTATGAGTATTTCATATATTTCAATTGCTGTTACATATACTTACTTAGCTCTAGGCCAAGATTGAAGCATGACTGGCCTGAGCCATGTTTGTTTTATGAGTATTTCATATTTCAATTGCTGTTGCATATTCTCGCTTAGCTCTAGGCCAAAATTGAAGCATGACTGGCCTGAGCCATGTTTGTTTTATGAGTATTTCATATATTTCAATTGCTGTTGCATATACTCACTTAACTCTAGGCCAAAATTGAAGCATGACTGGCCTGAGCCATGTTTGTTTTATGAGTATTTCATATATTTCAATTGCTGTTGCATATACTCGCTTAGCTCTAGGCCAAAATTGAAGCATGACTGGCCTGAGTCATGTTTGTTTTATGAGTATTTCATATATTTCAATTGCTGTTGCATATACTCACTTAGCTCTAGGCCAAAATTGAAGCATGACTGGCCTGAGCCATGTTTGTTTTATGAGTATTTCATATTTCAATTGCTGTTGCATATAGTCGCTTAACTCTAGCCAAAATTGAAGCATGACTGACCTGAGCCATGTTTGTTTTATGAGTATTTCATATTTCAATTGCTGTTGCATATAGTCGCTTAACTCTAGGCCAAAATTGAAGCATGACTGGCCTGAGCCATGTTTGTTTTATGAGTATTTCATATTTCAATTGCTGTTGCATATACACGCTTAGCTCTAGGCCAAAATTGAAGCATGACTGGCCTGAGCCATGTTTGTTTTATAAGTATTTCATATTTCAATTGCTGTTGCATATACTCGCTTAACTCTAGGCCAAAATTGAAGCATGACTGGCCTGAGCCATGTTTGTTGTATGAGTATTTCATATTTCAATTGCTATTGCACATACTTACTTAGCTCTAGGCCAAAATTGAAGCATGACTGGCCTGAGCCATGTTTGTTTTATGAGTATTTCATATATTTCAATTGCTGTTGCATATAGTCGCTTAACTCTAGGCCAAAATTGAAGCATGACTGGCCTGAGCCATGTTTGTTTTATGAGTATTTCATATTTCAATTGCTGTTGCATATAGTCGCTTAACTCTAGGCCAAAATTGAAGCATGACTGGCCTGAGCCATGTTTGTTTTATGAGTATTTCATATATTTCAATTGCTGTTGCATATAGTCGCTTAACTCTAGGCCAAAATTGAAGCATGACTGGCCTGAGCCATGTTTGTTTTATGAGTATTTCATATTTCAATTGCTGTTGCATATAGTCGCTTAACTCTAGGCCAAAATTGAAGCATGACTGGCCTGAGCCATGTTTGTTTTATGAGTATTTCATATATTTCAATTGCTGTTACATATACTTACTTAGCTCTAGGCCAAGATTGAAGCATGACTGGCCTGAGCCATGTTTGTTTTATGAGTATTTCATATTTCAATTGCTGTTGCATATAGTCGCTTAACTCTAGGCCAAAATTGAAGCATGACTGGCCTGAGCCATGTTTGTTTTATGAGTATTTCATATTTCAATTGCTGTTGCATATACTCGCTTAACTCTAGGCCAAAATTGAAGCATGACTGGCCTGAGCCATGTTTGTTTTATGAGTATTTCATATATTTCAATTGCTATTGCACATACTCGCTTAACTCTAGGCCTAAATTGAAGCATGACTGGCCTGAGCCATGTTTGTTTTATGAGTATTTCATATTTCAATTGCTGTTGCATATAGTTGCTTAACTCTAGGCCAAAATTGAAGCATGACTGGCCTGAGCCATGTTTGTTTTATGAGTATTTCATATATTTCAATTGCTGTTGCATATAGTCGCTTAACTCTAGGCCAAAATTGAAGCATGACTGGCCTGAGCCATGTTTGTTTTATGAGTATTTCATATTTCAATTGCTGTTGCATATAGTCGCTTAACTCTAGGCCAAAATTGAAGCATGACTGGCCTGAGCCATGTTTGTTTTATGAGTATATCATATTTCAATTGCTGTTGCATATACTCGCTTAACCCTAGGCCAAAATTGAAGCGTGACTGGCCTGAGCCATGTTTGTTTTATGAGTATTTCATATTTCAATTGCTGTTGCATATACTCGCTTAACTCTAGGCCAAAATTGAAGCATGACTGGCCTGAGCCATGTTTGTTTTATGAGTATTTCATCTATTTCAATTGCTGTTGCATATACTCGCTTAACTCTAGGCCAAAATTGAAGCATGACTGACCTGAGCCATGTTTGTTTTATGAGTATTTCATATATTTCAATTGCAGTTGCATATACTCACTAAACTCTAGGCCAAAATTGAAGCATGATTGGCCTGAGCCATGTTTGTTTTTAGAGTATTTCATATTTCAATTGCTGTTGCATATACTCGCTTAGCTCTAGGCCTAAATTGAAGCGTGACTGGCCTGAGCCATGTTTGTTTTATGAGTATTTCATATATTTCAATTGCTGTTGCATATACTCACTAAACTCTAGGCCAAAATTGAAGCATGACTGGCCTGAGCCATGTTTGTTTTATGAGTATTTCATATATTTCAATTGCTGTTGCATATACTCGCTTAGCTCTAGGCAAAATTGAAGCGTGACTGGCCTGAGCCATGTTTGTTTTATGAGTATTTCATATATTTCAATTGCTGTTGCATATACTCACTAAACTCTAGGCCAAAATTGAAGCATGACTGGCCTGAGCCATGTTTGTTTTATGAGTATTTCATATATTTCAATTGCTGTTGCATATACTCGCTTAGCTCTAGGCCAAAATTGAAGCATGACTGGCCTGAGCCATGTTTGTTGTATGAGTATTTCATATTTCAATTGCTGTTGCATATTCTCGCTTAGCTCTAGGCCAAAATTGAAGCATGACTGGCCTGAGCCATGTTTGTTTTATGAGTATTTCATATTTCAATTGCTGTTGCATATTCTCGCTTAGCTCTAGGCCAAAATTGAAGCATGACTGGCCTGAGCCATGTTTTTATGAGTATTTCATATTTCAATTGCTGTTGCATATACTCGCTTAACTCTAGGCCAAAATTGAAGCATGACTGGCCTGAGCCATGTTTTTATGAGTATTTCATATATTTCAATTGCTGTTGCATATACACGCTTAACTCTAGGCCAAAATTGAAGCGTGACTGGCCTGAGCCATGTTTGTTGTATGAGTATTTCATATTTCAATTGCTGTTGCATATTCTCGCTTAGCTCTAGGCCAAAATTGAAGCATGACTGGCCTGAGCCATGTTTGTTTTAATGAGTATTTCATATATTTCAATTGCTGTTGCATATACTTACTTAGCTCTAGGCCAAAGTTGAAGCATGACTGGCCTGAGCCATGTTTGTTGTATGAGTATTTCATATTTCAATTGCTGTTGCATATTCTCGCTTAGCTCTAGGCCAAAGTTGAAGCATGACTGGCCTGAGCCATGTTTGTTGTATGAGTATTTCATATTTCAATTGCTATTGCATATACTCGCTTAGCTCTAGGCCAAAATTGAAGCATGACTGGCCTGAGCCATGTTTGTTGTATGAGTATTTCATATTTCAATTGCTGTTGCATATTCTCGCTTAGCTCTAGGCCAAAATTGAAGCATGACTGGCCTGAGCCATGTTTGTTTTATGAGTATTTCATATTTCAATTGATGTTGCATATTCTCGCTTAGCTCTAGGCCAAAATTGAAGCATGACTGGCCTGAGCCATGTTTGTTTTATGAGTATTTCATATTATTTCACTTGCTGTTGCATATTCTCGCTTAGCTCTAGGCCAAAATTGAAGCATGACTGGCCTGAGCCATGTTTGTTTTATGAGTATTTCATATTTCAATTGCTGTTGCATATTCTCGCTTAGCTCTAGGCCAAAATTGAAGCATGACTGGCCTGAGCCATGTTTTTTTTATGAGTATTTCATATATTTCAATTGCTGTTGCATATACTCGCTTAGCTCTAGGCCTAAATTGAAGCATGACTGGCCTGAGCCATGTTTGTTTTATGAGTATTTCATATATTTCAATTGCTGTTGCATATAGTCGCTTAACTCTAGGCCAAAATTGAAGCATGACTGGCCTGAGCCATGTTTGTTTTATGAGTATTTCATATTTCAATTGCTGTTGCATATACTCGCTTAACTCTAGGCCAAAATTGAAGCGTGACTGGCCTGAGCCATGTTTGTTGTATGAGTATTTCATATTTCAATTGCTGTTGCATATTCTCGCTTAACTCTAGGCCAAAATTGAAGCATGACTGGCCTGAGCCATGTTTGTTGTATGAGTATTTCATATTTCAATTGCTGTTGCATATACTCGCTTAACTCTAGGCCAAAATTGAAGCATGACTGGCCTGAGCCATGTTTGTTGTATGAGTATTTCATATTTCAATTGCTGTTGCATATTCTCGCTTAGCTCTTGGCCAAAATTGAAGCATGACTGGCCTGAGCCATGTTTTTATGAGTATATCATATTTCAATTGCTATTGCACATACTTGCTTAGCTCTAAGCCAAAATTGAAGCATGACTGACCTGAGCCATGTTTTTATGAGTATTTCATATATTTCATTTGCTGTTGCATATACTTACTTAGCTCTAGGCCAAGATTGAAGCATGACTGGCCTGAGCCATGTTTGTTTTATGAGTATTTCATATTTCAATTGCTGTTGCATATAGTCGCTTAACTCTAGGCCAAAATTAAAGCATGACTGGCCTGAGCCATGTTTGTTTTATGAGTATTTCATATTTCAATTGCTGTTGCATATACTCGCTTAACTCTAGGCCAAAATTGAAGCATGACTGACCTGAGCCATGTTTTTATGAGTATTTCATATTTCAATTGCTGTTGCATATACTCGCTTAACTCTAGGCCAAAATTGAAGCATGACTGGCCTGAGCCATGTTTGTTTTATAAGTATTTCATATATTTCAATTGCTGTTGCATATACACGCTTAGCTCTAGGCCAAAATTGAAGCATGACTGGCCTGAGCCATGTTTGTTTTATAAGTATTTCATATTTCAATTGCTGTTGCATATACTCGCTTAACTCTAGGCCAAAATTGAAGCATGACTGGCCTGAGCCATGTTTGTTGTATGAGTATTTCATATTTCAATTGCTATTGCACATACTTACTTAGCTCTAGGCCAAAATTGAAGCATGACTGGCCTGAGCCATGTTTGTTTTATGAGTATTTCATATTTCAATTGCTGTTGCATATACTCACTTAGCTCTAGGCCAAAATTGAAGCATGACTGGCCTGAGCCATGTTTGTTTTATGAGTATTTCATATTTCAATTGCTGTTGCATATACTCGCTTAACTCTAGGCCAAAATTGAAGCATGACTGACCTGAGCCTTTTTTTAATGAGTATTTCATATTTCAATTGCTGTTGCATATACTCGCTTAACTCTAGGCCAAAATTGAAGCATGACTGGCCTGAGCCATGTTTGTTTTATGAGTATTTCATATATTTCAATTGCTGTTGCATATACTCGCTTAGCTCTAGGCCAAAATTGAAGCATGACTGGCCTGAGCCATGTTTGTTTTATAAGTATTTCATATATTTCAATTGCTGTTGCATATACTCGCTTAACTCTAGGCCAAAATTGAAGCATGACTGGCCTGAGCCATGTTTGTTGTATGAGTATTTCATATTTCAATTGCTATTGCATATACACGCTTAGCTCTAGGCCAAAATTGAAGCATGACTGGCCTGAGCCATGTTTGTTTTATGAGTATTTCATATTTCAATTGCTGTTGCATATACTCACTTAGCTCTAGGCCAAAATTGAAGCATGACTGGCCTGAGCCATGTTTGTTTTATGAGTATTTCATATTTCAATTGCTGTTGCATATACTCGCTTAGCTCTAGGCCAAAATTGAAGCATGACTGGCCTGAGCCATGTTTGTTTCATGAGTATTTCATATATTTCAATTGCTGTTGCACATACTCGCTTAACTCTAGGCCAAAATTGAAGCATGACTGGCCTGAGCCATGTTTGTTTCATGAGTATTTCATATTTCAATTGCTGTTGCATATACTCGCTTAACTCTAGCCAAAATTGAAGCATGACTGGCCTGAGCCATGTTTGTTTCATGAGTATTTCATATTTCAATTGCTGTTGCATATACTCACTTAACTCTAGGCCAAAATTGAAGCATGACTGGCCTGAGCCATGTTTGTTTAATGAGTATTTCATATATTTCAATTGCTGTTGCACATACTCGCTTAGCCCTTGTAGCCAATTTTAAATCACAAATGCTTATTTAAAATTGTACTCATGTTGTGGTTTAAGTATTATATGATGGCTTAACATTGTATTTCAGACTAATGGTTTGGTTGCCTTTGTTGAGAAAACTGATGACAAAGACTTGGAAGTGGCAGTAGCGAAAAGTTTAATTATGAACCAATCATCTACTGTTATGTTTAACGGTGTCACCAATACAAATACACTGGATAGGATCATACAAGCTGTAAGTAACCCGAGGGGTTGTGCTGGGCTGGGCCAAAATGTCAGATTTTTGCAAAACTGTTATAATGAAGACTCAGTTTTTACTTGAGTATTTTCAAGATTAAAGAAAAATAATTTACTGTTTTGGAGAAATTGCATTTCACAGGGTATATCATTATGTCACCACCAAAAAGTGTTGACATATTGTTATGGTCTCCATTTTTAGTGACGGCGGTTGGTGATCGGCGTCTGTAACAATTTCTTACAACTTCCAATAACTTGACAAATACTGTTCAGACTGACTTTAATTTTTATCCCATCGAACAAAGTTCGGAGGGATATAGGGAACGCCTCCGTCCGTCCGTCCGTACGTACGTACGTCCGTCCGTCCGTCCGGGCTATAACTCAAATACCGTTGGCCCGATTTTGTTCATATTTTGTACACATAAACCCTATGGGGATAGAAGTTCTGCTCAAAAACCGATTTTCAAAATGGCCGCTCATTTCAAAATGGCGGCCATTTTAGTGCCGATTTTACAGTTATTTAGTTGCAATATGTATAACTGTAATAGCAATATGTTTTAAATGTAAAAAAATTATAAAGGACATTATAATGCTACAAATGTAGATATTAAAGAAGCACATGGCAGCCATCTTGAAAATGGCGGCCTTTACTCGTCATTTTACGATTTTGCTGTAACTCAAAAAATAGTGGAGCGATTTTGTTCATATTTGGTATGTGAATACTATAAGCATTGCACACTTTCTAAAGACACTTTTGGTAGAAGGCGGCCATTTTGAAAAATGGCCGCCATTTTAACGTATTTTACTATAACTCGAAAAGTAGTGGAGCGTTTTTGTTCATATTTGGTATGTGAATACTATAAGCATGGCACACTGTCCTATGACACTTTTGGTAGAAGGCGGCCATTTTGAAAACAGTTTTGAAAATGGCCGCCATTTTAACATATTTTACTACAACTCGAAAAGTATTGGAGCGATTTTGTTCATATTTGGTATGTGAATCCTATAAGCATGGCATACTGTCCTATGACACTTTTGGTAGAAGGCGGCCATTTTTCAAAATTGTTTTCAAAATGGCCGCCATTTTAACGTATTTTACTATAACTCGAAAAGTAGTGGAGCGATTTTGTTCATATTTGGTATGTGAATACTATAAGCATGGCACACTGTCTATTTCTAATGACACTTTTGGTAGAAGGTGGCCATTTTGAAAAATGACCACCATTTTAACGTATTTTACTATAACTCGAAAAGTAGTAGAGTGATTTTGTTCATATTTGATATGTGAATACTTTAAGCATGGCACATTGTCTAATAAAACTTTGGGGAGTAGTTGGCCATTTTGAAAAATGGCCAACATTTTTATGTGTGTTATTTTACAAGTATGTGTGCGATTTTTCAAAAATTTTAGAGGTGGCTACTTAAAAGCATATTATTTCTTCTGATGACAACTTGGCTAGTGAGCAACCATTTTGAAAATGGTGGCCTTTCTGATGTGTTGTTTTATGATATTTGCTGTTCGTTTGTAAAAATGCCAGCCATTTCTGTTCGATGGGATTCGCTACGCTTTGGCGTTGCCGTTGTTCTGGTTTTCAAAATGATCTACAAGTTCTCAGAAGTCTGACTCTAGAATTAAGATTTGACCTTCGATGACTTTTTCAAGGTCAAAAAAGGATAAAAAAGTTCTTTTTTCAACTTGCTTCAAATTGACCAATTTCTTTTCAAAATCATCTACAAGTTCTCAAAAGTTCAAATCTGAATGTAGATTTGACCTTCAGTGACATTTTCAAGATCAAAAAAGATTTTACCTTCAATGACCTTCTCAAGGTCAAAAAGGTATTTTTTCATCTTGCTTAAAATTGATCAATTTCTTTTTCAAAATCATCTTCAAGTTTTCAGAAGTTCAAATCTGACTTTAGATTTGAGATTACCCCTTCAATGACCTTCTCAGGGTCAAAAAAGCTGTTCCAAATTGACCATTTTTTCAAAATCATCTACAGAGTTCTCGGAAATTCAAATCTGACTTCAGATTGAACTCATAACATTGTGAGCAGCTAGGTGGTGACATTTTGTCATGTTAATGCCTTGTTATACCTGTCCCCTCCATATTTAATCTTCATCAACGTAGGATGAAGAAGTGAAATTTCAGTGCCATTATGTACAATTTTAGAATAACTTGGACACCTTGTTATTCATTTGGCTTTAATGTAACTTAAATTACAGGGGGAAACTGTAATTGTCAAAGTAGACCCCATTTCTCATGTCAAAGTAAAATCATGGGTCCATATTCCACCCCCTTTTATATCATACAGAATAGCTAATTATGTCCCCACCACATAGTGTGGGGCCATATTGTCGGCCTAGGCGCGTCCGTCCGTCCGTCTGTCCGTCCGTACGTCCGGCAGTTTTCTCCAAAACCGTTACAGATATCACCTTCAAATTTTCAGGGATAACTTATGAGTGCATAAAGATGTGGATGAAAAAAAATTAACTCGATACCTACTTCCTGTCGGCCATTTTGAAGTCAAATGCTAAAATCCTTGTCTGCAAACTTTAAGAAAAACGGCCTCACAGTTGCTTTTCAAACTTTAACATCTTGTTCAGATCACTTCATTCTAGATCTGATTAGGTTTTGGACCTGTTAGCTCAGTCAAGTCAGCCATTTTGAATGTTTTAAGAAAAGTTAGCGCACGATAATACTTTGTATCATATTGAATGGTGTTTTTCAGTTTTCATACTTTAACTATTTAGTAGCTTTATAAATAATTTCATGTGTCCTTTGTTGTAAAAGCCTATTTTATTGTTAACAGTAGTTATATGTGATAATTTTGTAAAAAGAAATCAGCAAAAATCCATAATCACTTTTTTATTGTCGGCCATTTTTGATTTTTCCGTCCTAAAATCTTGTCTGTAAAGTCTTGTCTACGTGTTTTCAGGTGAACCGTTTGGTAAATCAATTTCAAATTTTCAGGGATGATTCTTAGTATGAAAATCTAGATCTGATTAGTTTTTGGGCATTCTGGGTAAATGTCAAGGCAGCCATTTTGGATTTTCCGTCGTAAAATCTTGTCTGTAAACTCTTGTCTACGCATTTTCAGGTGAACCGTTTGGTAGATCAATTTCAAATTTTCAGGGATGATTCTTAGTATGAATATCTAGATCTGATTAGTTTTTGGGCATTCTGGGTAAATGTCAAGGCAGCCATTTTGGATTTTCCGCCGTCAAATCTTGTCTGTAAAGTCTTGTCTACGCATTTCCAGGTGAACCGTTTGGTAGATCAATTTGAAATTTTAAGGGATGATTCTTAGTGTGAAAATCTAGATCTGATTAGTTTTTTGGCATTCTGAATAAATGTCAAGGCAGCCATTTTGGATTTTCCGTCTTAAAATCGTGCCCGTAAAGACTTGTCTACATGTTTTTAGGTGAACCTTTTGGTTGATCAATTTCAAATTTTCAGGGATGATTTTTAGTATGAAAATCTAGTTCTGATTAGTTTTTTGGCATTCTGGGTAAATGTCAAGGCAGCCATTTTGGATTTTCTGTCCTTAAATCTTGTCTGTAAAGTCTTGTTTACATGTTTTCTGGTTAACTGTGTGATGGATCAATTTCAAATTTTCAGGGGTGGTTCTTAGTATGAAAATGTAGAACTGACCAATTCTTTGGCATTCTGGGTAAATTTTAAGGTGGCCATTTGGATTTTCCGTCCTCAAATTGTGTCGGTAAAATCTTGTCTACTCATTTTTAGGATAACCATTTGACGGGATCACCAATAGGTGGGGACATTTTGTACACATTTGTGTTCTTGTTTATGTCTTGTTTACATGTACAATAGGACTCTTTGCCATAAATATGTTCTCCCAATATTTTCATCAATTTTCAGTTCTCACCCAAGGCGTCTGAGGAGTTCACAAAACTTTTACAGGAAATCATTGGTGGAAAAAATATATTTGGGTATGTATTCATGTAGCACCTTGTTAAATTACATTTTAAATGTAAATTATAATGATATTTCTAAAGTAATTGATAATGTAGAAAAACCTCGAATATTGAGTACAGGCTTCAAATATTTACAAATGTATGCATTTATGAAAATAACTGTCAAATGACCTTGAATTGTATAACATAATTCCAGGACAGGGGATCTAGATGCTCATCGTAAATGGGCGATACAGCAGCTTCCCCGTGTCATAACCAGTGGTGACACCAAGTGGCAGTTAGGAGTACTACAATACATGTTGATTCATTCATCCTTCATTGTGAAGACAACCTCAGATGATATCCCTATGGTTTGTACCATTTTTGATAATTTTTAGCTTTTTGGTTGTCCTCATTTTTGAGATCCAAAACAAATGCATTCAACCTACACCTTATGTAGTGTTTACCTGATTGACCATACTGACAACGGCTTATGGACAACACATCCCCTACACAACTCATTCCCTCTCCTGGGGTTGAGTTGTCTATGGGATGCAGGGCTCTCACCAGGCTTTTAGACTTTGGCGCAGCACCACACTCTATTTAGCTCCCTCCACACCCTATTGGCAAATCATGACTGTTTCCACAGTCTAAACTCGACTGAATATACAATAATAGCATGTATTACATACCTAGCGAAGCATTTGTATGGAAGTCAATGGGAAAGTTAGCGAGCTATATCCACCGATATTGCCCGATTACCCCGATATAGCCCGCTTACCTCGTTTTGATATTAGATTTCTTTAATAACCATGATAATATCATGACGTCACGTCATTGATACAAAGTAACCATGGGAACAAAGGCATGTAATACATCAGTTATGTCACTATGACGTGAAATATGCCTTCGTTCTTGCCCAAATATAGAGCCTCCCAAGGTCGGCATATATTGGGAGAACTCAGGCATATTTCACGTCATAGTGACATAACCTCTAAGTAAAAAGGATAAAATATAACATAAATATGATTTATCATGATTGAACGGTTATTCTGAAGATGTTAGCACCACACCCTAAATATTTCCTGGTGAGAGCCCTGGGATGAGTTGTCCAGGGGATTAGTTGTTCGATTACCCTGTCAACCATGCAGGAAATACAGTATTTCAGTGAAATTGATATTCATCTTATATACTGTACATGTGATTTCAGTTAAGCAAACTGTCGCTGCCACTTTCTGCGGAATTGCGACTGAACATCAAAGATGCCCTCTATAAATGTCTGAACAAACTAGCAACATATAAGGCCAATAAGAAAGACTCACATAGAGATACAAGAGCTTACATAAATCTACTCTATCAACTCCTCAACTCTGTGAATAGTTTATTCAATGATGTAAAGATGGCGGAACCAGTCAAGGCACTCAATGAGGAGGTTTGATATCTCATTGTCATAATTTATATTTTTGAATTGCATCGCAGAATTTATATTTTGAATGTTATATAATTTCAGAATTATGAAATGCAGACACATGAATGTCTTCACATCAGTTGAAAATTGAAATTATCTATATTTGGTTAAATATACCTTCTTGTATTTTGATTTTGTAGAGCTTGAATATCTGCATAGTGTAAGGGGATAACCAGGTTGTAATGAGCATTTTGAAATGAGCATTTTTTCATTTTTGTCAATTTTTAAAAGTTGCTATCTGTATATACAATATGTGATGTTTGATTTCATAATGTTAGTAAACATGGACCTCTTTCATACAATTTGAAACAATTTGTGTAGATTGTTTAGAAATTGTGAAAAAGTGAAAAATTCTTTGAATAATAAATTAAATCTTCTGACTGAGGTACTTATATGCTTGCTTGCTTTCATTTCAGGAAAAATCATCTTGGACTAACCTCATCGAGAAAGTTTCTGAAATTCACAAAGGCAACCATGAGGCTTCTAAAATGAACAAAGGTCACGCATTTGAGCTTCTGTTTCTTCATCTTGGATTACAACTGCTGTCTGAGCCGCAGAGTGTAATCGACATCTTGGAAGATTTATATGAGTGCCACGAGCGAGCCCTGCAGAAAAAGAAGAAATCGAAAAAAGAACTTCAAGGTATGTTTTTAATGTGCTATGCAAGGACGATTGCTTCCCAGGGTTCCAAGTCGGTATTTTAATCTCCAAGCAATTTGTTCAATGTTGAATGTACCTGTATATATTTATGGCTGCATGAAATATGACCCAATATTCTAGCGATAGCGACGACTGCGAAAATTCATGAATATCTGATATGGCTGTAATGAATGGCTGTAAATTCGTAATAGCAATCTAAAAGATTTGAACTAATATTTTGATCACTTCTTGTATATTTTGAAATGTTTTTGTTAGGTGATAAGACCAAAACTCACGATTCAAATTCTGAAGTGAAAAAATGATGCGTGTGTTTCATTTTGAATGAATCACAACATGATCATATATGGCAGAATATCATGATGGAATTTTGGGAGTCGATCCTCCTTGGTTGAGCAACGAAATAGGATTGTGTTATGTTATGTTATGTTATGTTATTTTATTTACCATCTACAAGATGAGTACATATTCATAATAAATATGTTACAAAAATAAATATACGAAAAATACTACAAGTTCAAGGTATGTTAGATGAGCAAAATTAATATGCACATATGTCAGAGTATGCTATTATTTACAAGGATTTAAGAAGGTAATGCCTTCTTTTGGGAATCCAGGATAAGCTCGTTATATTCTTATTTCACCACCAGAAGTTGTGAGAATTTTGTTATCGTCTCGAGCTTTTTGTGGACAATGTTCGGCAATTCGTGTTTGGCAGTAGGCATTTGCAACAAATAACAGGTGGTGACATTTTGCATTTTATTGCCTTGTTATTGAATATTTTATTGATGGTTCAATAATATCTACTAATTCATTAGCATTCATTAACATCTAGCATATAAGTCCTTAGCATATAGCATCTAATTTGATTAGCATCATTAGCACATATTAGGTGCTCCTGATAATTGTTTTGTTTGTCATATTTTGAAAATCAAAAAATCTGGATGTAAAGGTTCACTAGAAATTCTAAAAGAGTAAGGCTTTTTTTCACTAAAACATATTTATTCACAAAATATTTAAGACAAAAATAAGTAACACATTTTTGATATATAACACATCAAAACTAGATTTAAAGTTACCTTCTAATTACAATATTGGCAATTCAATCAAATACAACAGTAAGAAACTTTTTGATCGGCCCTTGTATATAGTACAGAGGTATTCTGTTGAATTAGAGAGACATTTTAAACAAGTCATATTCATTACAAATAAACAGGAAAAATAGACAACAAATTTCCTCTTTAATTTGTTTACCACATTGTGTTTTATATAATAATGATGTAGTGCATGTACCGATAGAGTGCCACTGTTCTAAAAGCATACTCCAAATATATATATGAAAAATTATGTGAACACTTAAATATGAAACACCTTTTGATCCTTCTTAAGTCATTTATGACCAAAGCCTAGATTGATATCAGGGATTGAGAGACTATGAAATCTTTGGCATTGGCCAGAATAATATAAAGGTGATATATTTAACAGGTTCCAGTGTAGTTTGGCAATTCCATAGGTGACAAAAGTTTGAATTATTAATATAAATTAAGAAATATATTTGACAATTAATGTATTCTTCAGGTGTTGGAGAAGTTTTTTGTATGAGAAAAGATTATAAACAACCAGCAAAGTATAAAAATAAAGATATATATTTCTAGGTACTGTATATCTATGTTATGTACAGACATCAGCAACATATTTACAAGCTTTTTGTGTAGATAAATGAAGTGTCTGAATTCAGGCAGATGTTTTACTCTATGCAACTCTTAGTATGGGAAAATATGTGTCTGAATTCAGACATGCCCACACATTTTTAATTTAAAAAGACAAGATTCTCTTAAACTAAAATAAGGTGTCTGAATTCAGACACTTTGCTAAGCTTGGATGAGGTGCCTGAATTCAGACAACATTCCATAAAACTGAAATATGGTGTCTGAATTCAGACACTTTGCTAAGCTTGGATGAGGTGCCTGAATTCAGACAACAATCTATAAAACTGAAATATGGTGTCTGAATTCAGACACTTTACTAAGCTTGAATGAGGTGCCTGAATTCAGACAGCAATCTATAAAACTGAAATATAGTGTCTGAATTCAGACAACTTGCTAAGCTTGGATGAGGTGCCTGAATTCAGACAACAATCTATAAAACTGAAATAAGGTGTCTGAATTCAGACATTCTAGTAAACTGACATTACAGGTAAGGATTCAGAAATTATAGTTTTCACTTCTGTTTTTTAATCGAAATTGATGTTTGAAATCAAATTCATTAAGTCAACATTTGTGTGTTAAAAGCAATTTCGATTCCATTTTTTGTTTGGCAACAGAAATTTTCATCGGATTGCAATTAACATGTCTTATATAATGTTTTAATTGCAATTCTATATAAGTATAATTTTAAATTTTATGACAAGATATTTTTAAAAAGTAGTTCATCACGTACAGATCAAGTAATCTTTAGCATTACAGAAAATACTTCATTAGAAAATAATGTAATTGATGGTACAACAGGCAGAAGATTGATCATTTTAACTTTTTTATTTTAAATCACACCTGATCATCGACAAAGTACAGTGACAAAATATACCCCCGTAGACTTTTGATGTACAGTGTCACTATTCTAACTGATATGAAGCAAAAGATATGATGTAGGTGTGATGTAGGTTTTAAAAATTAATCTGAGGAATGCATAAAGAATTTCATGTTTAATTTTGTGTGTATTCGATTAGGAAAACCATTAGCTTTCTGATTACGTTAAAAGATTTTCGAGCAGTACTCAATTTTTTTCATAGTAAATCTAACCACAAACAATAATCGGTTGGAAAATGTTGGGTTTTTCACATTTACTTTGATCATTTTTCCCCCTGTCGCCTAAGAGTGTCAATTATTTTTATGAGAATATGTTTCCCTAAGTTACACAATTAAGGTCGGTTGAAAATTTAATAAATATTCATGTTTTAGTTAAAATAATAAAAATCAAAAAATTACAAATGTGCCTTGTCATCTTGATGTACGTTGTCCCAACGAACTTACATATCTGAATTCACAGTTAACCCTGACAACATATTTTTAATAACACTAATGGGCAGGGGGATCAGATTGATTTAAAACTGAAACTTAACAATCACAGTATTACTTAAACTTGATTGAACCTATTGTTCCTCAACACTTTCCAGATATAGCATAAAGAGGATTTTAAAAAGTCATCTTCGACTAGCTAGTATAAATCTCTCTATCAACTTCTTAAGATAATTAAAATTCATAAAAGTGTTTCTTATTACGTTAAAGTACAGATGTCAAGTGATCAAGGGGTAAGAGGCTAACACCCCATGGTCACATATTAATCACCACACCAACACTTTTATAAAATGAAATAACATTCAACAAGATTTAAAAATCAAATTTACCTTAACTTTAGAACATCTGTATTGGGGATAATTGAACATGTTCCTTAAACATAACTTGTTTAATTATTGCATTGTTCAATATAACATCTTGTGAATTTCATTTACACTGACACCCTTCAGTGGAGTTGACAACTACTCTTCTGATTTTTTATTAAAATTACACCCAATACATAATATTTATCAAATCTTCACTCATCTTAAATTGTGTAGTTTAGAGAAACATATTCTCATAAAAATAAATGACACTCTTAGGCGACAGGAGAAAAAATGATCAAAGGAAATGTGAATAAAAATCCAACATTTTCCAACCGATCAATTTTTGTTGATAGACTAAATAGGAAAAAATCAAGCATTGCTTTTAAATCTTTTAATGTAATCAGAAAGCTAAAAGTTGAAGATGAAATTGAAATCTTTCAAGTATTCCCAAAATTAATTTTTGAAAACCTACATCACACCTGCATCATCAGTTTTTAGGGACACTGTACAATATAAAGTGTGCACTGGTATATTTTGTCACTACGTTGTCGATGGTTAGGCGTGTAAATATGAGTAATACTCTAGTTCTTTCATAATACATTATAATCTGTTAGCTTCATCATTATACTAGCCCAAGTTCTAATCTAACGATTTCAAAAAAAAAATCTGAAGTAAATTAGGGTCATATTCATCAAGTCTATCTTCGCATTTTGTCAGATTCATCTTCAAGGAATTTACAATGGCTTTGACATTTGCCACATAAATTGATCCCACCATATCACTGGCTTTGAATCAACAGTGAGAGTGTTCATTCCTATATAGAGAGATGCTATCTTCCCCAATTTCATCTTAAAGCTTATTTTTTTTCGAAATTGGTGTCGTATTTGGCTCTTATGGCTCAATTAATAATCTTTGATCCTGCTTGCTTTTTCTGTGTTGTATTGTGCAACAAATGAACATGCGCAATGGCAATCCTTGTATTGACATGCATACATGTTGTTGCTTTGGAAATAGCCAACATAAACCGCTCGCCGTTTTTTTTGGTCTCAAACATCACCTGGAATTAAACAAAAGAAAACTATAATATTATTTAAGTAATATTAAAATATTAAGTAATATTGCTGTACAGGGTGGTCAAAAAAAGCTGCAACCCTGTCATTTTAGGAAATAACTACTTGATATTTAAAGTCATGTAACATTGTGACTATATCAGGCTGGTAGTCATGAAATATGGTTGGTAAGTCACAGGTGGTCAAAGATTTGTCCAGCTTAGGGGAGCATGCTATTTTTTCATTTAAAAACATTTAGAAAACTTCACAAATTATTTTTTAGCTCAAATATTTTGCTATACCAAAGAAAATAACCTATCCCATGCAATGGGTATATTATTTGCGGATAACCTTCACTTCTCTTTGAAGTTCAATAACACTAAAAGTAAGATCTATTGAAAATGGCACCAGAGTATCACACTCTAAAATGTACCATTTCTTTTGATGGCACAATATAATGAAATGATAATATTATAAGTTATTGAATGATTTGAAGTCCAATACAGTATATATTCTGCTCGAGAAATTCTGTATTGGCAAGAGACGGAGCCGAGTGC